CTAACCTGGGGCACCTGGCTGCCCCGTGTCCCCGGGAAGAGGCAGAGGGGAGGAGAGGCGGGAGCTGAGGTAGGAGCTCACCCCGAGGTGAAGCCGTGATGTTTATAAAATGGGTCCCTGAGCCACACAGAACCACCGTGGGGCAGAAGGACACCCATGACCCTGGGCAGTGACCGGCATCGGCACCCCCACCCCTCCTGTCCCCTCCACCCACTATCCTGAGGAAATATTTTGGGTATTAGATACAGACATGAAGGGAACAACGACAAACCGCAAATGGTTAAAAGAAGTTCTCTCTACGTAACCAGACCTGTGCTTAACCGAAATCTCAAATGTTCCCACTTCGAAAAAGAAAACAAAAAAAAAAAAAAGAAAAGAAAAAGAAAAACACCTTCACCTGCCCCCCAACCCCCCCGCCCCCCCCAAGCCTGAGGGGATCCCGCCGCGGTGGTGCCATTCCCACTTCGGCCACCAGGTGGCGGCCAAGACCAGCGAATCCCTGCTCCAGGGGCAGGGCTTCCTCCAAGGGTCCCCGGACAGGGGGGGACACGGGGGGGGCGGGGAGAAGTATCTGCTGCTGCACAGGTGACCAGAGTGCCCGCTGCTTAGCCTCACAACGCTGCACAGTCACCCTGGCTGGATGCCTGAGGAGGCTGAGGCCCAGAGTGGAGGACAGAGTCCACCGTCACCACCCGTCAGGGACAGGGCCTGGGCTGGAACTCTGATTTCCCGGTCACTTTGATTCATCCCACAGACGCCCAGGGGGAGCACCCAGGAAGCTCGCGCCAAGATGGGGGCCCCACCCCCGCAGCAACCCTGCATGAGGTGGATTTGAACCCTCCGGCCTGAGCACCTGTGGCTGCCCCAGGCTCAGCCCACCACCTGCTGCCATCCGCAGGCCTGAGGCTCCAGCAGCGGCCAGGGGCCATCTGGGCTCCTGCCCCCCACTGTGGGGGGGGGGCCTTAGGGTCTTCCTCAGGTCCCACTGGGGCCTCCCCACATGCTCTACCCCCCCAACCCTGTCCCCCACTCTGGTCCTGTTGCATCACTCCTGACACAGGGCCAGGCCCAGACAAGGGCTACCCCACCCCCCGCCTGGGAAGCCACCTTAGCAGGGGCCTTGGGAAGCCTGTCCTACAGCAGCCAGGCCAAGAGTAGGAGGAACAGCAGGACCAGGGCTGCAGCCAGGGTCACGGAGGGCACCAGGTCCGAGTCCTCAGGACCAGGGATCGCATCGCCAAGGGCATGGTGGAGGGCAGCAGGGGCACCAGACAGCTGAGTGTCCGAGACCTTCTCCCCTGGGGGCTCCGGTCGGCCCATCTGTGAGAAGGAGGACATAAGGGAAGTGTTTCCCTTGGTCTCTGTCCCTCCCATCCCTCTCCCTTGGGAGGCCCTCCAGACACAGCAGGAGCAGGGCCAGGAGGTATCCCACAGGCCACCCTGGCCAGTGACTCCCTGAGACTCGGTTTCCTCCTCTGTAAAACAGGGATGCAGAAGGCCACCAGGGAGGACAGGGACCAGATGAAATAGTAGGGTCTTGGCATCTCCTCCCTCCCTCTTACCTTCTCTCTTGAGATGACCGGGCCTGGAAAATCAGGTTCAGAGCCACAGACCCCCTCCAAGAACTTTGTCCTTGTGCCAGGGGGTCTGGAATGCAGCTCAGCCAGTTCCTGGGGCACTCTAGGAAGCTGGCAGATTCAGCAGACTCATCTGGAGGGACCTTTGTCAAACTGCAGAAGCAGCTCCATCAAGGCCTGCCAGCTACCTTCTGCCCACACAGTGGCCCCCGGGAGGAGGGCACCCGGTTCCATCCACTTTACAGCTGAGAAAACCCAGGTTCAAAGAAGAAAGTGCCTCCCTGGGGCAGAGTTCTCGAGCATTCCCAGAGGTTGGCAGAGATGGTCACAGCAGCCTGAGACCAGGTCCCCAGTCTCCTCGTCTGTACAGGGGCAGACTGTGCACCAGGTCACTTGCTAAGCTCTGGTGCCCTGAATCAGTGGGGGAATGGAGCCAGTCCAGGAGCCCAGGCGTCAGCGGTGGTCTCTGCCCAGCCCCTCCCCAACCTTGGCAGCTCTGTGGGATGTTTACCTTCTAGCAGGGTGGTAGCTGCCACGCCCTGGGGGCTGTCAGGTTCCACTGCAGACACAGACCACTTGCAGCTCCAGTGGATCAACCAGGGACCTTTCCTCTACAGAACCCACCCTCCCTGGCGCCTCCCTCTGGGAGGAATTGGAGCTGGGGGGCGGGGAAAGGAGAGGCCCAGCCCCTGCTGTGGGTGTGTCCAGGCCAAAGAGGGGAAGCAGATCCAGGTGTCCCGAATCCCAGACCAGTGCTTTCTGCTGCTCCCAAGCAGAGGCTTCCCTGATGGGGCTGGGAGAGCCGCAGGAAGAGGGAAGGGCTCCGAATGCAAATAGACCAGGGGCCTCCTGGCACCAGGCACCAGGTGGGCAGGGAAGAGGAGAGCCCCTGCCCACTCCAGGGGCCAGGTTCCCAAGCAGCACATCTGGGGTTGACCCAGGTAGCAGGAGAGAAGGCCCAAGCCACCCAATTAGGGGGTAGGAGGCAGTGGATAAAAGAGACCTGAAGACCAGAGACACATCCTTGCTGAGAGAAATCATCTTTTAAGGACAAAGATGGCCATTGAATCAATAATCTTTAAAGCAAACATGTTTGAGATAGCCGTAATGCCCATGATCAGGTTATATCTCAATTGTTAAAATATGGTTCCAGAAATTGTGCCTCCTTAGCCCTAGGAGTCACTGTTGATTGGGTGTGCCTGGATCCAAAACTCATGTCCTTTACAGCAAGAAAATGCCTCAGAGGGATCCCTGGGTGGCACAGCGGCTTAGCGCCTGCCTTTGGCCCAGGGCGCGATCCTGGAGACCCGGGATCAAATCCCACATCGGGCTCCCGGTGCATGGAGCCTGCTTCTCCCTCTGCCTGTGTCTCTGCCTCTCTCTCTCTGTGTGTGTGACTATCATAAATAAATAAAAATTAAAAAAAAGAAAATGCCTCAGATGTAATATAAAGAGGCCACACAGTGGTGTACACACACACACACACATGGGGAAATATGCAGAAGGGACCCATGTGGGGAAGGACACTGGAAGGCTGCAGGGTAATGGACGCGACCTTCCCGAACCGGCTTTTTCCATTGTAAAACATGGATGCAGAAGGCCACCACGGAGGACAGTTGTATTGTGATAGTAAAAGAGAATTGTAGAATATCATTTTTTAAAAGATTTCATTTATTTATTCATGAGACACACACACACACACACAGAGAGAGAGAGAGAGAGAGAGAGAGGCAGAGACACAGGCAGAGGGAGGAGCCTCTGTAGGGAGCCCAATGTGGGACTCGATATCAGGATCCCAGGATCATGCCCTGAGCTCCCAACCTGAACCGAAGGCAGATGCTCAGCCACAGGTGACCCAGGTGTCCCTAGAATACCTTTTAAAAACAATTTACTGAGCAGCCCAGGTGGCTCAGCAGTTTAGCACTGCCTTCAGCCCAGGGCTAGATCCTGAAGACCCAGGATCGAGTCCCACGTCAGGCTCCCTCCATGGAGCCTGCTTCTCCCTCTGCCTGTGTCTCTGCCTCTCTCTCTTTCTCTGTGTCTCTCATGAATAAATAAAATATTTAAAAATAAATAAAAATAGAAACAATTTACTGAGGGCACTTGGATGGCTCAAGTCCATTGGGCAAACAACTCTTGATTTTGGCTCAGGTCTGATCTCAGGATTGCAGGATCAAGTCCTGTGGGGCGTCAGGCGTCTGCTTGAGAGTCTCCCTCTGCCCCTCTCCCTGCTCCCACACTCATATTCTCTCTCTCAAATAAATTTTTCTAAAAATAAAAAAAAAATTCAAACGACTTACTGTTTTAATAGGTACAATTTGGAAATAACCTGAATGCTCAACAACAAAGGATCAGTTAAAAAAGCACGTGTGGCACATCATGCAGCACACTAGGACGCGAGGCAGCCCCTCTCTGAAAAGGTCGCAAGTAGAGCTGGCACCGTGACTGTTATTGTTTAAGGGTAAGCCTCCAGGAAATCTCCAGTTTCGGCTTTTCTTATATTTTAATTTTATCTTACATGGATGATTCTCAACGAGCCCAGTGTATTTCTGCAGTCAGGGCCAGAAGTGGGGAAAATACAACTCTCTGCCACTGGGGCCACCGCCCCCTCCTCCCTGGGCCTTCAGCCCACACACCGTCAGGCTGTCACCCTCGGGCCGTCTGATGCTTTCACGTCACCCTGGGAGGGGAGGGGGCAGGCCCAGCGGCCACAGGATGTGGCAGGGAGGGAGTCCAGGAAGGCAAAGCCCAAGGCCTTCCTTGGGGGGAGACGTGTTCTCCGTGTGGCCTTGGGAGTCGGCTTCGCCTCCCCGGGCGGTTTCCTCCAGCCTAGAGGCGCTGGGCCGTGGTGGGGCTGCAGGAGCAACCGCTGCTGGTGCCCCCTGGGACCCGGACCCGGACGTGCTCCGCGTGACTGTCGCGCCTCTTACTTCAGGCGCGGGGTTCCCCTCTGAAGCGCCAGCCCGCCGGCCCCCAGGGGCGCACGAGGTGCGCGGCGCGGAGCCTCAGGAAAGCCCCGCAGAGCTCCGCGCCCCAGCCTGCGCCCTGCTCCGTCCCCCGCGCCGCGCCCCGGGAAAGCCCGGCCGAGCCCCGCCCCGCGCCCCGCGCCCGCGCCCCGCGCCCCGCCCCGCCCCGCCCCGGGAAAGCCCGGCCGAGCCCCGCCCCGCGCCCCGCGCCCCGGGAAAGCCCGGCCGAGCCCCGCACGCCGCCCCGCCCCGCCCCGCCCCGCGCCGCCCGCCCCGGCCCCCGCCCCGCGCCCGCATCCCGCATCCCGCATCCCGCATCCGCACCGCTCGCCGCGGCCCCATTGGCTGCCGCCCGCTCCGCAGGGCCGCCTCGCAGCCAATCGCGGCCGAGGGGTGGAGCTCAGCCTGCGCCGGATGCTCGGAGCCGCCGCTGCCCCGAGCGTCTCCCGGCCGCGCTGTCCCCGGCACCGGCACCGCACGGCACCCGGCACCGGCACCAGCACCCGGCACCCGGGCCGTCGGCGGCCGCACGGACACACTGCGAGCAGGGGCCGGCCATGCAGGAGCCGCTGCTGGGAGCCGAGGGCCCGGATTATGACACCTTCCCCGAGAAGTCGTCCCCGTCGCCGGGGGACAGGACGCGGGTCAGGTGAGAGTCGCCGGGCATGCGGGCTGCGGGTGGGGGCCTCCTCCGACCTCCGTGAGTGTCCGGCAGAGGCCCGCTGGCCTCCCCCAACCCCAGACACCTGAGTCCTATTTAAGGCGTGCTCGCCCGCTGCCCGAGGCCCAGCCCCCACATGACTCAGGTAGGGTGAGACAGGGAAGCCCAGAGAGAGCAAGGGGCTTGCGGGCCTGAGAGGCGAAGCTGGCAGCAGAAACCCAGGCTCCTCTTCTAGAGAGAACCACTCCTTCCCCGTGTCTCAGCCATGAGAATGGGCTTTGGGAAGTGTCCTGGGGATTTTCCCAGGGAAAGGACACTCAAGCCCTGGGAGCCCTCAGTCCCGCCCAGCGCTGCCCTCAGAGCCTGAGCAGCGGCCACGGGCTCAGGACAGGCAGCCTCTCAGCCGCAAGGGGAGGAGGGACTCCAAACCTCATCCCTCTGCTCCCCACCCCCACTAGGGCCCCACAGAACAAGAGGGTGTTCCTGGCCACCTTTGCTGCCGTGCTGGGCAATTTCAGCTTCGGGTATGCCCTGGTCTACACGTCCCCTGTCATTCCTGCCTTGGAGCACTCCCTGGACCCTGACTTGAAGCTGACCAAAGCCCAGGCATCCTGGTTTGGGGTAAGAGCCACGCTCGGAGCTGGAGACGGGCAGAGCAGGGTGCACGGGGCCCCACTGAGCTTGGGATGCCCTCTTGAGCCCTGGTCCTTCCCCTCCTCCATCCAGCCAGGCTGCAGGCCAGTCAGTGGGTGAGTGAGGCCAAATGATTGCTCTGAAATAGAAGGAGGAAGTGATAGCTAAGAAGGCATGGGAAGGAGCGAGTGGAGAGGTGGCCCTCCAGGCCTCCCCGCTGCCCCAGGGCCCCCCCCCCCCCCGCACAGCCGGACAGCCACAGCACAGCAGGCACCTCCCTGGATGATGGTGGGGCAGGAGCATCAGATGCCAGTAGAAAGAAGCAGTGGCTAGGGCAAGGAGGGTTCCAGGACAGAGCGTGGGCCCACAGAAGGGAAGAGCAGAGGCCCCAGGAGTCCCAGGATTCTAGAATGATGATCTTAGGGGCTTCAAACAAACAATCCCAACAGAGTAGCTAAGATGACACCCAGTGTGTACTGAGTACTTGGTGTGAGCCGGGGGTGCAGCTGGGCACTGGGTATGGGAGCTGGTTGAGTCCAGGGCCAACCCTATGAGGTGGATACTCCTCTCTCCCCATAAAACAGCTAGAGAAAATGAGGCTTGCGTAGCCCAAGTGATGTGCCCAAGTCACTGACAGGACCCTACTCACTACACTCCACAGGGAATCCAAGAACCCCCAAATCTAAAAATGCCAGTGGTTTCGGGTCACAGAATTCTCCCGACAGCTGTATTATTATAGTGTCAGACATTTAAACGTTCAGTTGAACAGAACCACTGTGGATGCACAGCCCCACACACTCCTCAGAGTGAGACTCCCCATGGTGGCGTCTCTAACAAATGGTTGTGCACGTGATGGTTGCACACCTCTAAAGACAGGAGGCTCCCTACTATTCAGGGCCTGATCCCACAAGCAAAGATGTCATGATCAGCCAGGAAAAGCAGCTGAGTCTGGGCTTGCGGGGTGGGTAGGAGCGATGGATGCCCACACATGTCTGCCCCTGCACCCCTTTCCTGCAGTCTGTGTTCACATTGGGCGCAGCAGCGGGGGGCCTCAGCGCCATGGTCCTCAATGACCTCCTGGGCCGGAAGCTCAGCATTATGTTCTCAGCTGTGCCGTCAGCAGCTGGCTACGCGCTCATGGCAGGTGCACACGGCTTCTGGATGCTGCTGCTGGGGAGGACGCTGACAGGCTTCGCTGGGGGACTCACAGCGGCCTGCATCCCGGTAAGGCCAGGACTGCCCATCCCTCCCTGCCTCAGTGCCATGCTGACCACCATGCAGTAAAGTCTCCTGGCCCTCGAGGCCCCTGGTCCAGGGGGGGATTTGTGTGCCCGGGAGCCTCAGCTTACCTGCAGCAGGGCGGCTGACCTGTCCCCACATCTCCAGCTGACCTGAGTCTGGACTTCTTGAGGTTTCTACCCCATTTCCCGACACTCAGGCACATTGCTCAACAGGAGAAAATCTGCATTGAGCAATGAGGGAAGGGGAAGTCTCTCCCCTCCCTAGGACTCCTCCCGTAGCTACACACATGCTAATAGGGGCCAGAGATGCCTGGGAGGAGTAGAGTTGGGTGCCCATGGGCCTCTCACTTCCCAGCCTCAGGCTACTTCACAGCTGAGCGCTTCTGCCCACCTGACAGGGAAGTGGGCTGAGTCACAATCAGGACCACAATGCCACCAGGAGGCCCGACTGCTCACTTCCCAAGGTTCAGCAGGGCCCCCTCTCCCATCTCAGCCCGGCCCGGGTGGGCCGATGTGTCTTGCAGGTATACGTGTCTGAGATTGCTCTTCCAGGAGTCCGTGGGGCCCTCGGGGCCACACCCCAGCTCATGGCCGTGTTCGGATCTCTGTCCCTGTACGCACTTGGCAAGTATCCTCCAGAGGAGCACTGAGCCTCTCCTGCGTGCAGGCGTGGGAGTGACAGGGTGCTACTGAGCAGACGGGGGTGGAAGGGGAGTGAACGTGCCCCAAAACAAACCCTGAGCTGGGAGACAAGGTACTTGCTTAGCCACCGCTGTGCTGTGTATCTCCAGGCAATGCCCTGTCTCTCTCCGGTCGAATGGGAAGTCCATCTAGAAAGGAGATGAGAGCACCTATGGTTGAGATGGAGTGGGGGTTTGGAAGTAGAAGCCTGGGGCCTTGTCTGTTCAGGCTACCCCTCCATCACCCCGCCACGGCCCTTGAGACCCTGCAAGGACCTCCTTCTGTGTGCTGGGCCCTGTGCTAGGGCCTAGCAATCCCCATGGCCCCTTCTGGGGCAACCAGGGTAGACTTCCTCTAGGAGGTGGCCCTGGGACAAGCCCTTGAGGACAGATGCATTGCTCAGAGGGCTCCATGGGAGGGGACTCTGTCCAGCCCAGATCCCACTCCTCACCCCCTCCTCGCCCCCAGGCCTCCTGCTGCCGTGGCGCTGGCTGGCTGTGGCCGGGGAAGGGCCTGTGCTCATCATGATCCTGCTGCTCAGCTTCATGCCCAACTCACCCCGCTTCCTACTCTCGCGGGGCAGGGACACGGAGGCACTGCGGGCGCTGGCCTGGCTCCGTGGGGCCGACGCCGACATTCGCTGGGAATTCGAGCAGATCCAGGACAACGTCCAGAGACAGGTGTGGGGGGGCAGGTGCGCAGGTCTGCGTGGCTGCGGCCAGCCTCTAGGCCTGTCTGTGCCTTGGCTGCTTCTCCTGGGGAGGGAACAGGGGTCAGAGCGGCTCTCCCCTCCAAGAATGAGGGGGAGTGGAGATGTTGCCGCACCTGCCCCAGAGTGCCGCCATTCTGGGCACCCAGAGATACCCACAAGCAGATATCTGCCTTGTCCCACCTGCTTATCCAAGTGCCTGTGGTCGGGCGGAGGTCCCCCGGGCCTGTCTGTGGCCCAGATTGCCTCCATGCACAGGGGTCTTTCCCGGGCGGGGTGGAGGGCGGGGGGGGGGAAGGGGGGAGGAGGAGGGAGGAGGGAGTCTCCGACCCGGCCCCGTACAGCCCAGGGCAGGGTGGTACCTGCTGGAGGGGCCGGCGCAGCCCCCTCAGTGGCAGCTTCATGTTTCTAGAGCACGCACATGTCGTGGGCTGAGGCTCGGAACCCCCACATGTACCGACCCATCCTCATCGCCTTGGTAATGCGCTTCCTGCAGCAGCTGATGGGCATCACGCCCATCCTTGTCTACCTGCAGCCCATCTTCGAAAGCACTGCCATCCTGCTGGTGAGAGCCCAGCCCCACACCCCCAGCTCTGCCCCCGGCGTCCATGGAGGCCGGCCCTCATTGAGCACATGTCAGTGGTGCATGCGCTGTGGGGAGCACCCTAGAGTCTCTTAAATTTGTTTCTGTCTCATGCATCTGTTCTCAGAATAACGTCTGTAAGTAAACTTAGGTGTTTGAAAATATACAGAATCACAAAGGAACCCAGAGCCCTTGGGGGCCACGGACCCCGGGTTCAGGGTATCAGTCACTCGCTGGGGAAGTCGCTTCCTTCCAAAACTCAGTTTCCGCCTCTGTAGAAGGGAGATAACAGGGTGAGCCCCCATTGGCCAGTCCCGGGCTCAGCGGGAGAGGAGATTGAAAGATTAGTGACAGCACAGTCCCAGTCATTGTGGCGCCTGGATTCTGTGCTGGCCTTGGGCTCGGTGGTGGGCACCACACCTGTGCCCTGCCCAAAGGGCCCACAGGTGAGGCCAGGGGACCAGAGTAAAGCCTGGCACGTGGTCTGCGCTCAGCAGCCCAGCACTCCAAAGGAGCTGCAGCCATGGCCTAGGACCTGAGCACCCTGTGGCCCCTTGTTGGGGGCCGTGTTAGTGGGATGAGCACAGCAGGTGGAGCCCCTCAGCCCTGGTGGCTTCCTCCCTGCAGCCCCCAAGGATGACGCAGCCATTGTGGGGGCCGTGAGGCTCTTCTCTGTGCTGATTGCTGCCCTCACCATGGACCTGGCTGGCCGCAAGGTTCTGCTGTTCGTCTCAGGTGAGCACCAGCCTGTCCCCTGCACCTGCTGGCCCCCACAGGGTGCAGGGTGCTGAGGGGCTCTGCAGAGGAAGCCCCTGGCTTAGAGGGTCCTGGCCCCCGAGGGCCACCTGTGTGTCCACAGCCACCATCATGTTTGCTGCCAACCTGACGGTGGGGCTGTATGTCCACTTTGGCCCGAAGCCTCTGACCCCCAACAGCACCATGGGCCTAGAGAGCATACCCCTGGGGGGCACAGAGCAGCCCCTGGCCACACCCTCCAGCTACCTCACCCTGGTGCCCCTGGTGGCCACCATGCTCTTCATCACAGGTGGGTATGACAGTGCCACCACGGGGATGGGGCTCTGGGAGACTGATAGCCAGCTAGCAGGGGGCTATCTGCTGCTTAGGTGTGTGGAGGACACGCTAGGGCAGGGGTGGGGTGCTGCTGTCCTGCTTTGTCAGGGTGTTTGGAGGGGGGCGGTCTCAGCAGCTCAGTGGAGGCAGAAGAGGCCCCTTGTCCCCTCTGTTGGCAGGCTACGCCATGGGCTGGGGGCCCATCACCTGGCTCCTCATGTCGGAGATCCTGCCCCTGCAGGCCCGTGGCGTGGCCTCGGGGCTCTGCGTGCTAGTCAGCTGGCTCACTGCCTTTGCTCTCACCAAGTCCTTCCTGCTGGTGGTGGTGAGTAACGAGGGTTAGGCTTCTCGGCCAAGTCCTCTGGGTATCACACAGGCCCTCTAGGCCAGGACGAGCACAGCCACGGGGCCACCCTGCCCACCCAGCTGGGCCTTTGTCTGGGTCTCTCAGCCGGGGTCCCCGCAGGCCCTGAGGCCAGCCAGATTCGTGTTCCCCCGCTCCCAGGAAGGAAACCTGACAGGCCTCTGGGGCCAGTGCCTACCCTGGTGTAGCCAGTGGGGCAGGGCAGGGCTGAGGAACTCGCAGTGTGCCCAGCCCCAGCAGAGGCACTGGTGAGGTGGGGGCCAGGCAGGAGGACAGGTGGGGTGGCTCTAGCAGCACAAGAGCTTGGTCCTGTGGGGTTGTAGTGGCAGGCCTCCTGCAGGTGGCAGCATGAAGCAGCCAGGGAGAGAGCTGAGGGCAGAGCTCCCGCCTGGGCAGGCCACTGCCTAGGGGAGGCAGTCCTAGGACCCAGTGCCACAGGGAGGCTGCTCCAGACCTCGAGGGTCTCAGGGCCATGCTAAAGCATTTACATTTCCTGTGGGAGGCAGTGAGGGAATATGGTGAAGGCCCCCAAGGCTAGCTGGACTAGAAGGGCCAGGAACCTCCATGTGACCAGGCATCCCCTCCATGTCCCCAGAATGCCTTCGGCCTCCACGTGCCTTTCTTCTTCTTTGCCGCCATCTGCTTGGCCAGCCTGGTGTTCACCGGCTGCTGCGTGCCGGAGACCAAGGGCCGATCGCTGGAGCAGATAGAGTCCTTCTTCCGCACCGGGAGGAGGTCCTTCCTGCACTAGGTCAGGGTCCCCGCCCACAGTGGGCCAAACCACTGGGCGCAGGGCCTCTCCGCTGGTCAGGAGCCTGCACACCAAGGCCGGGAGGCGGCAGCCAAGTGCCATCAGACGGAGCACAGGAGGACGGGACAACAACAGCAGGACGGACCCCCACGGTGTGCGTTCTGGCTCCGGGCAGGCAGCACCTCTACCAGCCTGGGTCCCAGCTCAGGCGGCCTGCCGTGTTGCACGCTCATCTGCTAAGACCTGCTGGGGCAGAGGAGGCAGCCACGGGCCACAGGGCAGCACACGGCCCATGGGCCAGGACAAGGCCCTGCTGGGTGACCTGGGGCCCAGTTCCTTACTCGTACACAGAGGACACCCCCACAGAGGACTGTAACCAGGAGAGACGTGGGGCAGGCACACGGGGCCATCGTCACACCGTTTTGTTCTGATCCTGAGTTACCACAGAACGACTTGACTCCGGGAAGGAAGACAGATCTGCACTTCTGAAGGCTTGTGGCTGCACTGGGGAACATTCTGGACTCCACCCAGGCCAGGGCACAAGACCCAGAATAGACACTTCCTCCTGCACCCACTTGGCCTCTGGAAATATGGGACTCTTCAGCACTCCCATCTGCAAACCACGTTCACCCCATTTGTAAAAATAAATCAGGCTCTCAGCCTTGGAATAGAAGGTTGGGGTCTGCTGCAGGTGGGGGTGCCTCCCAGCAGCCAGGTTTGGCTAGACCCAAACTCCAGGCCAAGGCCCTCTTCGTGGCCACCCCCTTCCTGTCCACAGTAAGGCAGCAAGGAGGGGAAAGGCGGCCAGTGAGGGAGAGCCTGGCTCTGCCCCTCAGGCCCTGGTCCTTACCAGCTATGTGACCTGGGCAAGCCACTTCCCTGGTTTGAGATGCCATGAACAGGACTGGGATGGAGCCAGGAGCACAGAATGTCCTCAATAAAATGGCACTTACCCCCAGGCCAGGGGTCCCAGCCTGCTTGTTTGTGAGACCAGGGGAGAAGGTAACAGGCAGAGCATGCAAGCAAGCATACAAACTACGACCAGGCTTTATTGCTCAAAATTTAAGCTAAACACAGCGTACATGAGTCCCCCAAGGAGACAGTGCAGACCCATGGGGGTGGGGTGGACCCTGGCGGCCCAGCTCCTCTGCCCCCGATGGCTGTTCCTCACAGGGCAGCACCTCACACCGAGGGATGGTCACTGACTCCAGGACTGCTTAGCTCTACTCGCTGGGAACCTCGGGCACATGTGGGAGGGTTTGGAGCCCTCCGCCCTCTCTAGGGCCCACCCAACACCCCACTTCCTGACAGGGTGGAGGTGCAACCTTCCTGGATCACAGACAGCCTGTCTCCTGCAGAAGGAGCAGGAGGACTGGGCCCAGGTAACCCCGAGTCCCACTCCCTGGGTAAGAATGAGCCAAGAGTGCTCCTCTTGGGAGGTAGACAGGTCTTGTTCACGGCACACACAGAACACACACAGAACACACACACACACACTCCCGCCCGCCTGGAGAGTCTAGAGCTCACAGCCCTTTGAACCTAGTGCTTGTTTGAGGAAGGTGGTCCCAGAGGACACCTGAAGGCACGTGTCTCACCTGGACGGCCACCCCAGGGCTCAGCCTGGCCAGCTCTAGAAGGCAGCAGGGCCCTCTGCTGACCAGAAGCCCTCTGACACGTCCCCAGGGCAGTGACTGCTGCTCTCGCTGTCCAACACTGACAAGCCCCCAGAGAGCTCCCTCTGGGAAGCAAAGATCAGGACACAGCCCGAGGGCGGTTTCAACAAAGCAGGGCTGGGGCTGAGCTCCAGCTGTGAGCAGGCACAGCCAGGTCCTAGGGGAAGGATGGGTGGGAGCTGGGCCCCAGAGGGAGCCTTGTCCACACCAGCCCGTCTCTCCCCAGTGCCCCCTGGGCTAGGCCAGGCCCCATCAGATGGGCCTAGCAGCTGGGGGGCCGGTCTGGGGAGCGGAACGTCAGCGGGCTGAGGCAGACACACGTGGGGGACACAAGTAACGACGGCATGGAGGGTGGCCGGGGTAGATGGCGCACATCCCGGGTAGGGCTGCTTCCTTGGGCCCTCTGCATAGGCCTTGTTCCCTGATGGCCTGGCACCTGGAGCAGTGGGGACAGCTTATGGTGTTGGAGGCAGCTGTGGTCTCTGCCCAGCTCTCAAAGGCAAGAAGCTCCCCGAGGGCACGGTAGGGGGCAGGCCAGCAGGAATGTTGGTGGGTCGAGCTTAGCCCTAATAACCGGGCTTGGGCCACGGCTAACATGGTAGGACCGCATCAGACAGGCGGACAAAGAGCCCCATGGGACAGAGGAGAGCCTGCCCTCCCCAGTTGCTTAGCACCAAGGCCCTGGGGGTTACGGGGAGAACCTGGGAGCATGGGCCAGGCCCGTGAGAAGTCCCTGGAATGGCCTGTCCAAGGTTCCAGGGAACTGAGACAAGTACCCAACTGTCTACCCGCTGCCAAAGCTGCTGTTCTGGGTACTCGAGGAGCATCCTGGAAGTGCTGTGGGCTTCCACAGACAAGAGAGAGGTCGGGAGGGGCCTGGGCAGTGGTAAGAGACCCTGGGCAGCAGGGCACAGCTCTGTCCCGATGGCAGGTGAACAGAGGGGGCCCAGGTGGCTCAGCCTACGGGGTATGTTCCTGCCTGGAGAGCCAAGAGGAGGCTCCCTCTGACCAATGCCCAGGCCCGGGTTGACGTGCCTCCCATCTGAGCACAGGCCCAGCATCTCCGGGGGAAGTTCCTCCCAAGCCTTCAGCAGATCCCCGGTGGTTCTGCTAGTGCTGTAATTCTGGAAATGTGCACAGCAGCCTGTTTCTGGCCAAGCCAGGCCAGCTGTGAGAAGTGGAGCCAGATGGGCTGTCGGCATAGCTACTGCAGGCTCTTCCTCCAGTCCTGTGGCCTGGGTCACCCCTGAGGCTACCTGCTGTCACTGCCAGTCTCCTTGCTGCTGGCTGTGGTCCAGGGCCAGGAGATACCAAGCTATAGAGAGGAAAAGACAGAAGAGGACTCCAGGTGTAGGGACAGGCGTACAGGGACTGCTGGGAGCCAGGCAGGGGCTCCTCTTCCAGGCTGTCCTTCGGGTTCAATGCTCCAGGCCTCGTCCTTGCAGGATGTGTCCACACAGAACCAGAGGGCGAGCGGGAAGCTCACATTACAGCTCCCCCTCCAGGGTGTCTGTGAGTTTCTCCTCATCTGCCTGCTGCTTCTGCTGCTGGATCCTGGCATAGGAGATTGCATCACCCCTGGGAGAGAACGAGTCCACATCACAGTGAGGACAGACCCCAGGCACACAGCCCTCCCAGCCACCACCAGATTCCTGGCCTGTGACCAAGGCATGACCTGCAGAAGAGACTACTGGGCCTCTGGTTTCCCCAGAGACCCTGTTGCTACGATGGCACACACATCACCTCTAAGAGTGGCACAGGCTGCCTGGGATGGTGGGTGGAGAAGGACTGAGAGTTGCAGTCTTGGCTCTGAGGGCAGAGGAAGAAGCTCCCCCAAGCCAGACTTGCCATCCCCACTATCAGCGGCAGCAAGGTATAGCCGGGCCACCAGAAGCCCATGAACCCTCTCGCTCTCATTCCCTAGAGCTGAACACCCTGGGGACACTGGCAAAAGTCACTGACAACCTCTGTGCCTCAGTTTCCACAAACGGCTAAGGGGGGCCTGTCTCTGACCTCCCTCCCTGAGAGACTTCAGATTCCTCCCAGGAGCTGGGAAAGGCATACGTACTTTTTGCCCAGAGCAGACAGCCCGTACAGTACCCCGGTGGCAAATGCGATGGCGTTGCCCAGCAGCGTGGTCAGGGTCAGGCTGATGACAATGGGAATGATGGCCATCCTAGGAGAGAGGCAGAGGTCAAGGGGGTACCCCCACCCTGAGGCTGCCACCCCACCTCCAGGCTCCCCAGACCAACCCCAGCCCCCTTCCCAGACAGCCAGGTACAGGAAGGGTCCCTAGAAATCAGTCTGGACATAGGTTCACCAGCAGGCTTCAGAAACACCCATGCACCTGTCCGCACAATTCTCTGTATTTTCTGGGGAGAGGACATAAAGCCTTCATCAGATCTTTGAAAGGGTCTGTGGCACACAAAGGGTGAAACAGCCCTGGGACAATCCACCCTCCCTGTTCCTAAAACAGTTCACCCTCTACTGGCTTAGCGACTTGGCAAGTTCCTGAACTCCTCCGTGTTAACTACACAACACAATGCCCGGATCAGCAACGTTAGCACCAAACATATGGTAGCTCTTCATGCTGCAGAAAAGCCAGCCCTGTCTCACTAAGAAAGATCCCAGAGCTTAAGCTGCAGAAGGCATGGGGCTTCCTAGTTGCAAGGTTCCCAGCAGGAGCAGCCCTGGCTCCATCTGGTCCCCTGACCACAGTCTGGTGCCACTTGGTGTCCACTTGGTGCCACTTGGTGGCAGGTGCCACTCCAATGTCTCCAGGGCTGACTCCACACGCTGGCTGGGATTCCCAGACCAGGGGCAGTGGCTAGGGTGAACCAGAGGACCAGCACTCTGTCCTGTTACTTCCCTGGGCCAGGCTGCCTGCCCAGCAGCCCCACCTGCCCTCACACACCCTGTACACAAAGAAGGTCAGACTGGGCCACCAGACTGGCCAGTCCAATTCCACCTGACTTTCTATCCAGAACAGACAAGTAAGAGATCGTGAGGTTTTACTGTGGTTATAAAATCTCTAAGTAAAAGCATAATAGAAATGACACACACACAAGAAGAGCACAGAGGAAAATCTTCTGTCAAAACAAAGGGAAACCAGCTGAAAAAATATTTGCAGGAAATATAACAAAGGATTAAAAAATCTTCACTCCAGGAAATCTAGGAACTTGCAATGTAAAACAGTAAGATGCCATTAATGAATGTCTCCCATTAATAGGTAAAAAATAAACTAGACCATTTTCAAAAAAGAAAATGCAATTAGCAAAAACATTTGGAAGAACAGGTCAGCTCCTAAACAACAGACACAACTGTAAAACGGTGCATGGCCCCAGGAGGGTAAAGAAGTGGTGGAAATGCTGAAAACCTCTTTGGAAAGTAGCAGTCATGTACTGAAACCTTTTCAATGACTGTGCTCTCTGACTTCATAAGTGCACACCTGGAAACATATCTCAAGGAAAGCATCACAGAAAATGTGTTGGCACATCACTGTGTATTTGATTTGCACCACAGTTTGGAACTTAAGAAAAGCATGACGTCCACAGTGGAATGAGTATTCCCATCATTAAAAGTAACCTTATAAAGCCTTTGCGGTAGTACTGAAAGTGAGTGTTTATATCACGATATTAAGTGAAAAAAAGCAGGATACATATTTACTTAGGATGGAGCTAACTGTGTAAGAAACAGGTTTATTTTTTATTTTTTTAAGATTTTATTTATTCATGAAAGACACAGAGAGGAAGAGACACAGGCAGAGGGAGAAGGGGAGGCTCCCTGCAGGGAGCCTGATGTGGGACTCGATCCCAGCACCCCGGGATCATGACCTGAGCTGAAGGCAGATGCTCAACCACTGAGCCCCCCATGTGTCCCAAGAAACAGGTTTAAAAGGCTCCCCATGCAGAAGTGGACAGAGACCTAAACGTTCCAAGCAATGGGGCTTTAATATTTTCCAAGTCATTTTTAATGAACGTATATCTCTCTTAGTATTTTTAAAACACATTTCTTAAAAATAAAGATCAAGGGCGCCCTGGGTGGCTCAGTGATTGAGCGTCTGCCTTCAGCCCAGGGCACAGTCCTGGAGTCCCAGACATCTTGAAATTGGTTCAACCTCATGACTCAGGTAGGCAGTGCTGTGTACCAAATCTGTTGTCAGAAGTGGGAAAATCAGGGGTGCCTCAACTGTTCAACAGTTGAGCATCTGCTTTCGGCTCAGGGCATGATCCCAGGGTCCTGGGATCGAGTTCTGCATCGGGCTCCCCACAGGAAGCCTGCTTCTCTTTCTTTCTGTCTCTCATGGGTAAATAAATAAAATCTTGGGGGTAAAAAAAAAGTGGGAAAATCAAAGGAAAGCCTATTGGAAGGTGACGGTTTATTTTGCAACCTGCCCTCATGTCAGGGCACCTGTAAGGACAGTACTCTCTCCAAAGGCTGCCCACAGATGTGTCCTGTGGACCTACCAAGATGTACTTAACTCCTCGAGGCTGGGCCAGAGCTGCAGGCACACTCACTTCTCTCTGACGCAGCCCAGGGCAGGGCTCCCGCCCCTCACATCTGCAGCGCAGGTGACTGCAGCGCTGAGCTCACTCCCAGGCCACTGCACCACTGGTCCCACTTCACAATGGCCACCGTTGTGGTGCAGAGGACCCTGCACCAGGCTCACCCAGGCCCATCCTCACCAACAGCCCCTCATGCTGGCTGCTATCCATCACCTGCCCTTGGGGTTCCTGAGTTTGGGGGTCAGCCTCCGAGCCATCCCGGCCCCTGGGGCCCCTCACCCGCAGTAGAAGACAGCCTTCTGCCAGGAGCGCAGCCGGTCCACCTTCTCCGCCACAGTGTTCGCAAACTCAATGAACTGGCAGCAAAAGGGTGCCTCGCAGAGCAGCAGGATGAAGGCGTTCATGCTGGAGGGCAGGGAGAGAGGGCAGCAGGCTGACGGGCCTGGAGAGCAGGGGGTCCCCAATGGCCCCCCACATCTCCTCTTGGGGCCTCTGCGGAACCGCTGCCCACATACCAGCCTCCCTAACCAAACTGAATGCTCCAGAGGGAGATTCCGGTCTTCCCTTTATCCTCCTGTATTTGAAGGAGACAAGACCCCCTCCATCATGGCACTGCTGTCCATAGCACTTTGCAGAGCGTGGACTGCCACTCAGCTACTAGCATGATCACTGCTGTCACCCACAGGGCCATCAGCCCTGAGAAAGCTGTCCCCAGCAGCGGCTTGCCCACTGGGACAGCCCAGAGTGGGTCAGTCCGTCCACAGTCACTGAAGGCTGCCCCTCACAAAGCCCACGTAGGGAGGAGGGAGCTTAGCAAGCCCTTTTGTGCAGTATTCTTCCCCTGCCACCCCCTACCCTGGCCCGCCTTCCTATATTCGGGCTGGGAACAACTAGGCCGTGGGGACTGACTGAGGGTCTGCTCCGGTCTTCGTGTTCTCCACAGCTGGGTCACCGTCACAGACACTGGGCCCTCATGACCTACAGAGAATCAAGCTGAGGGTGCCCCAGGTGCCCACCTGAGCCCCAAGCAGGGACTCTACACAGCCCACACTCGCCCTGGCTCTCCCTAGTCCTCCCAGCCCTTCCACACCCAGCCAGCCAGTCTCCTGTCTCTACCCACTGACGCCTGGGCCCAGCGCCTTGACCCACCCCCATCCCTACTGCCTGTGGCCAGCACAGGCCTCTGGGCCCCACCACAGCAAGCCTCACCCCTGGCCTGAGTTCTCTGAGGGCAGGGCCCCCCGTCTATCTCTGTGCCCCTCCCCGGCCAAGTCCCATACGGGCACAGGCACTGCTTGGTGCACAGCCACTTGGCGCGTGCGCTAGGTGGGTTAGATGCAGCCAGAGCTGCACTGGTCAGGGCTCACCCCTGCGTTCCCTTCCCACGGGATCGAGGTATCCTGACATGAGGTGGGCAGGGAATTCATCTAGGGCATTCTAACTACCTGGTCCCGCAACAGCTCTGACCTGCCCTGTCTGTGGCTTGCCCACCTCCCAGCTGGAGCTCCTGATCCCAGCACCTGACTCCAACCCCACCAGACACCAAGCCTCCAACTCAGCCCTTGACTGGCTCTGACGGCCCCCAGAGCTCCCAGAGGCCAGGCCCATGGTAGTGGACATGGTGCCTGCAAAGACTGGCTCAGTGGGCACTCGGGAAATGTTTGTGACTCTGGCCCTACAATAAAGGCCTGGGTAGGTGCCTCCAGGGCCCGGCCCTAATGAGAATCAGGAAAACCGAACATGGCAGGGTATGAAGGAGGTGAAGACCTGCCCGGCGACCAGAAATCCACATGCCCCAAACCCCACCAGGCAAGACAGTAGGTCACAAGGCTACTCACATCATCCACACGCCGGCCGCGATGTTCAGAGGGTGGATAGTGACGCAGTTGAAGAGGCCCGAGATGGCACAAGCTTGGAAGTGAGACAGGAGCAGGAATCAGCGGGGAAGAAGGGACAGAGCCTGCCAGGAAGGATTCCTTCCGACACCCAGCACTTGTTTCCCCCCGCAGCACCCACAAGCCTCCTCTCTGCCAGCGGACACAAGTGGGACCAACGTAACTGCCCCACACCCCAGGTGAGGATGCAGGCTCAGAGAGGTGAAGCAGCTTGCCCCAGGGCCCAGAGCAAGTGTGCGTGCAGCTGGAGGCTGGTGGGCTCAGAGGGCGTCTCACCCTCCATCCAATCTAGCGCTGGGAGAGCTGGCCTCTGAACCCCAGATGAACCCCTACCGACCTCAAGGATGAAGACAGAGAGGAGTCTAGGGGGTTCAGGCCAGGCAGGCACCACCACTCACAGGGTTAGCCACATAAGAAGCCCTCTGATGCAGGAAACACGGATTGGATTTTGGTTGGGTCAAGGGCTGCCTCTCCTCTCGGAACAGAAATTGGGACCAGGGAGACCTGGATCACCACACCAGCTGTGACCTGCACACCAGCTGAGGAACCCTGGGGATGTTGTTACTTTTGTAGGTCCGTTTTCTCTCCTGCACACAGGCAAGTGCCACAGCCCAGCCCACCAACCCCTGGAATATCAGGCCCTGAGGCCCCAAATGTGGAGCCTGGCCCAGGGCTTCTGACTGTGCCCCACAGGCAGGGTGTGCCACACTCACCTCCGCCTCTGCACACAACCAGCTGCCTCTGGGCCCTGCTTCACCCAGAACTCCCGGAGCTGGCCAGACACTTCTGGGCCCTGGCTACCAGCTGGCACCCAGCCTGGCACCCAGCCCAGCACCCAGCTGGGGCCTTAGCTGGGGTGGGGCTGGAAGCTCGGCCCTTAGGCAGCAATTAGCAACCAGTTCATTAAACTTGCAGCAGCTCCTCTGCACTTGATCCCTGACTGGCCTGGAATTCTCGGGCTGTTTTCCCTGGTAACCCAATGCAGACTACCGGTGGTGGGAGAGGAAACCAGATGAAGTGAGCCCAAACTGCAGAGGGACTGCCCTCATGTGTCCCCAAGGTCTCCTAGAATGACAGAGGTACGTTCTGCCTACTAAGAAGGTGGTACTCCCCTTGGACATGGCATGTATGCTTTCAGGCAGCGAGATTCCCCAGGGCCACAAATGTGAGCACCCCCAACACAGTCCTGCTTCTGCCCTGATTTCAGCTAGGCCTGGACTCACCTGACAGAGGCCTACACCTGTGGCAGCTAGCAGTTCACCTCCAGGTCCCACCCTCCCCCCACCGTCCTGCCAACAGCCAACCTTGGGGGAGAACCAGGTTTCGACCCAGACAGAAGCTTCAGCCAGGAGTCCTAGGACAATCTAGGCTGGAAGATGTCCGTCCCCCTGAAGTTTCCAGTTCTTGCTAAGTGAGGGAGGCATCCTGTACAGTCCTCTTTGATCCTAGGCTATAGCTTCTGGATGACTGTTGGGACCCAGAATAAATGCCTCTCCAAGACGCCTGCTGACGAGGAGGGCAACCCTACACTGAAGAGACCAGCCAGAGTGCAACCCTTATCAGAATTCCTGTTTCATCCCTAAGCTTTTTTTATTTAAAATTTTGTTTTTGGGCAGCCCCGGTGACACAGCGGTTTAGCGCCACCTGCAGCCCAGGGCGTGATCCTGGAGACCCTGGATGGAGGCCCACGGCAGGCTCTCTGCATGGAGCCAGCTCCTCCCTCTGCCTGTGTCTCTGCCTCTTTCTCTCTCTCTCTCTGTGTATCTCTATGAATGAATAAATAAAATCTTTAAAAAAAAATTTTGTTTTTAAGTGATGTCTACACCCAACATGGGGCTCGAACTCATAACCCCAAGATCAAGAGTCTCACATGCCACCAACTGCACCAGCCAGGTGTCCCTCATCCCTAAAATTCTTGGGTGCCTTGCACTCTACCCTGTGCACACAAATACCTTATGTGGTATTTACATAACAACCCCTGCCTCACAATCTTCGAGTGAAACTGACATTTGAGAGCAATGGCATGAGCTTCTCCTGGTGCTTCATCTGTAGCCCCAACACCATGAAGTCCTGGGGTGACCTAGGTACCCCACTTTGAGAGGCACAGAACTGCCTGAGGACCTAGAGAAATCAGCAGGGACGCTGAATCCAAGACAGTGGGAGGGTGACGGCCCACAGGCCACAGTCGGAACCCTTCCTTTCTCTCCCACTGACCACTGTCGCTCCCTCCAGGACCCCCTACTCTGATCTGCAAGGAAAATAGCTAACCAAACTGGAAAGGGTCTTATCTAAGACCTGACCTCAAACCACCAGTCTCTCCTCTGGAGGCAAAAACGTGCTTGCTCTGACACCAGTGGCAGGGACGCAGGGGCCACCTCTGGATAAGGGCATGCCCTGCCTGAGCCGCACACTCCCACCTCGCACTCCTGCACTTCCAGCATCCACCCACCCGGCAGGGCTGCGGGACCTGCAGGGGACCCTGAAAGGTGTTCCCCCGGCAGACTGGATGGGGGTCTGCCCCGCCCCACCCTCTGTGCCAGGTGCCCTCTCCGGCTCCAGCAATCCCCAAAGTTGAGGGCCACGGGAAGAGAAGAGGAGAGCGGACCACTCAAACAGCCCAGGCGCGCCTCTGCCTTCGGAAAACACGCCGTAGGATCTTTGCTTTACTTCTGCAGCAGGTCTGCCTCCTATCCGCGTTCCTTCGGGGAGGAGGAATGTGCCCCGGCTTCCCCGCAACCAGAGGTCAGGATGTGCGTCGGGGATGGCGCTGTGGGCATTGCGTCGGGGCAGGAGAAGCGGCAGAGCGGCCGGCAGAGGGATGGACGGGGAGGACCCCCCTCTCCGCCCGTCCCCTGGCACGTCCCACGGATCAACAACCGTCGCCCAAAGGTTAAGGCGGCTGCCGCCCCCACCCACGCCCCGGTCAGCAGGCGAAGCCGCGCCCGGCCCGGGCGCCATCTGGGAGGACCCGCCAAGCCCCGGGCGCAGGGACACGCGGCGGGGGCAGCGACTGGGCCGCGGGAGCTCGCGTTCCCTCCCGGAACGTCCCCAGAGGCGCCAGCCCCGCCCGGGGTCGCCGCAGCCCGGGCCGCAGGGCCAGTAACCATAGCAACCACCGGGCGTCCGCTCCGCGCGCGCCCCGCAGCCCCCGCCCCGCCCCGCAGCCCCTCCCCGCGGGGGCGCGCCGCAGGGGCAGGACCGGGCACGCATGCGCGGTGGGCGACGTGGCCGGCCCCTCCCCCGGGCCGGGTACTCACAGGCGGCCCCCAGTACCCCCGACAGGCGACACAGCCAGCGGTACCACCACGTCATGCCCTCGTCCTGCGCCGGCGGCGCGGAGCTGACAGCCGCCGCCGACGCCCCGCCCGAGCCGCTCATGGTGCCGCCGTCTGGCGCAGCCCGCCGCCCTCACAAAGCGCTCCGGAGCCGGCCGCGTCGGCCCGGCGCGCTGCCTTGTGGGAGAGGCGGCCTCTCATTAGCATAGGGGGCGGGGCCCGCAGGGCGGGGGGCAAGGTGCGCCCGAGGGGCTCGTGCTCATTAGCATAGGGGGCGGGGCGGCGCGGCCCGGGCGCTCTCGGCGCTCAGATCGTCCCTGCTGCACGAGCGTCCCGGCCCGGCGGCGCGCGCAATTAACAGGTGCGCTGGGTCTGGCCCATTCTTGACTCCGCAGCCCCCCGCTCCTCCACCCTGGGTGGCAAAGGGGAAGACCGCTAGGGATGGCGCGGCTCAAGAATGGGTCTGGAGCCCGACCGCTGCCAGGGAATCCAGGCAATGCCTTGGGGCAGGTTTTCAAGCCAGATTGGACAGGTTTGAGGAAGGAAACTCTACTCAGACTGCACATTCCGTTTATTGGTAGAGAGGCTGGAGACTGCCTTTCCAGCGAGTCCAGTCCCTGCCTCCCACCGCCCAGCCTTTGGCATGTTGGAGGAAGTCCTAAAGGAGATAAAGATTGGAGGGAATCCAAATTGGAGAGCCTTCAGAGCCCAGAATCAACCCTCCGGGCCTCACCGGGCACCTAAGAGGTGCTCATAAATGTCAGGCTCCTTCCTTTCTCTTCTGGGGTCTGGAGGAGGCATCCCCCTGTGCCCACAGGTCACTGGAGGTATGTGCTCAGAGAGGAAGCTAGGGCTCAGCCCAGCCAGGTTCCTGCACTCTAGATTGGAGGGTCCAGTACTGGCCTCGCAGGCTGGCATGCGCCTCCAGGAAGCCCTGGCTAAACTCCATCTCAGCCTGGCTTCCCTCCGACTCCCAGTAGAGTGCCTGCTGCCCACGGAATGTCATCGTCTTCAGGCTGTGGATGTCCCGGATCTGAAGGAAAAGGGCCAGCCCCAGAGGGCCAGCCACAAATGATAACTAGCTAGCATTCAGGGAGCCTTTGATATACAAGGGATCATACAGTCAGGATCACATATAATCTTCACACAACAGCCCTATCAGGAAGGCACTGTTATTCTACCAGGAAACTGGGGTTCAGAGAAGTTATACTACTTCCCCAAGGATACACAGCCAGGGTGTTAGAGCTGGGATCAGAGCCCAGGTCTGTCTGATTCCAGAAGCCAGGCTGCCTACAATAGGGGAGCTAACACCTTGCAGAGGACAGTCCCCCATGAACTTTGTGGGGGGAGCCCGCTCTTCTGGAAAAGTTCTTTTGGGGTCTAAAATTATGCATTAGTCCTGGGCTAGCTGACAGTCTACACCAGAAAAAGTGTATTCCTATTTCACTCCTGTGAGGAGCTCAAGAAACATTTGTTGATGCACCTGGAGGAAATTCTCTCTCATTCTTTCACTAATGATTTTGGGGTTTTTGAGCAAACTCGGGGGGGGGGTCCTCTAGTAGAGTACTCCTGGCTCCCATCCCCAGAGACAGCTGTCTAGATTCATAGCAAAAGTCCGCCTGTTCCTGTCCCCATCCTGGCCTTACCAAGACATAGCTGGCACCGGTTCCTGTGCCGTCAGTGGCCAGGGCATGGATGGCAATTCGGGCCTGTGGGGCCACATTAATGAAGATGCGGCAGCCCCCTGAGTTCCTCCCATCAGCACCCACAGAGGGGCTCACGATTTCCCCCCAGGGTCCAAAGAGCTGCATGTCACACTCTGTAGAGAGGAGCAGGTGGATGAACTGGATGTGAACTGGGTGTGGACCACCAGGGGAGCAGTGAAGGGGGGCAGTTTGATGTTGTGGTCAAAGTCAGGTCTCATGTCCACCCATGTCACTGCCAGGCCCCAGCGAGGAAGGGCGCAGCACACATGCTGGGACCTCATCCTGGGGTCGAGGAGCCAGGGGTGTCTTCCTCCATCTCCATGGGTGCCCTCTCTGCCTGGCCAGCCGGCCAGTTAAGAGTAGCGCCCACCCAGCCACCCTGCAGGGATGTGGGGGAGGCTCAAACGCCTTGCCATACCTCGGTGGAGGGCTCCCGGTGCAGGCCGGCTCCTGTACTGCAGCACAACCCCGCCTTCCAGCCGCACGCGGCGCTGCCTCACCACCAGCGTGTTGGTCTTGGAGCTGAAAGTCATGCCAGATAGCTTCCCGCACGTCTTCTTCCACGTGAGCCTGTCCCAAAGCAGCAACACATCCCCTAGGAAGCGGCAGTGCAGTGAGGCTCCAGCACCCCCACTCCAGGTGTCCTGGGGTAGACCCACTGCTGTGGGCAGGGCCCTCCCACTTCCCGGCTGTGTGACTCTAAGTCACTGGACACCACCTCAGTTTCATCATCTGGGGCGTCCCAGGCCAATCGCGCAATGGGCATGAGGATTATGCGTGGAGATGCACGTGGCACATCTGGCCCCGAACGGGGTGGGCTCACGCTCACTGGTGCTTGGCGGCCTGGCACTTGCAGCACTTGCACACACGGCCTGAGACGTACCAGCACTGCAGCTGAGGGAACTCTCGAGGACTTGGAGGGTCACCACCTCACCCAGGGGCCGCCCAATGGCCACTGCACAGTCAGCCCGCCCTGGGCCTCGCATGTCAATGGTTCCCATTGGCTCAAGATGCTGCCGCCCACAGGCACCTGGAAAGGCGACAGGGGCCCCCGGTGAACAGAGGTTCCGGGTGGGCAGGGCATCCCTAGCAGGGCGGGGCCTGGATTTTTCCATGCTGGGTGGGAGACAGGCAGGGGAGTGGCTGGCATCCTCCTAGGCCCAGCCAGACCATGCTGAGGGCAGAGAAGGGAGCTGCATGGGTCCAAGTGTCACCATCCAGGGCACAGAGCCGCTTCCAAGATGCTCCAGACAGAGGGAGGCAGCATATATAGTAGGGCCTGGCTTTGAGTCCCACAGACCTGGGGCCAACTCTCTGAAAACACAGGTTCCCTTCCCTTGATGATAATAAAAAGTGAGTTTGCACCCTGCTGGTGGATACAGAGTGGGAGAAGAGGGCCAGCCCGGAGCACCACCTCCAGAGCCCATTCCTTCAGTCCAGCCGCACACATCCCAGGGTTCTGAGGGTTGCTCTGCAGGACAGCCCCAGGGGTCCCCACAAGGAGCTAGTCCCAGCTCTCCCAGTGGTGGTGCCTTTGCCCACCCCTCCTGCAGCCAGCCAACCAGCCACCCAGACAGAAAGGTTGAAGAACATAACTGGACTCAGCTGGGTTTTCCTGAGACCCAGGCAGAAGCCTCTGAAGCGGGGGTGCTGGGGAGAGAAGGTGGGCCTGGGGCTGAGGCCACTCCGGAGAGGCACCAGCAGTGGCCTGGTCTGGAGCAGTGGCTTCCTCGTTGGGTGCTGGCCTGGGAGTCACCTGCCCACCACAGGGCCCAGCCCAGCAGCCCCGCACGGTGGCTGGCTTGTGCAAGTGCTGGCAGAAGTCAGCCGGCACAGGTGCCTGGGCCTGGGGTCCAAGGCAGGCCTTACGCCTGCGCTGGATGCCATCTCCGCAGGAGACAGAGCACTGCCAGGAAAGAGGAAAGGAAGCTGAGGCTGACCTTGCCAGAGGGCATCGGGGGCAGCAGTGACCACTGGCCAGGAATGATCCCATCTAATCTTTGCACAGCCCAGGAGGCAAGTATGTTTCTCCATTCCACAGGTGAGGAGACTGAGGCTCGCACCCTGTCCTCGTCTGAGCTCCCACCTCTACCCAACCTGGATGCCCAGAGTCCTGTGACCGACATCAGCGGTGGCTGGCTACTTTGTCTCTTCTCCCCCTCTACATCACGAGTGAGCTTACCCAGCAGGAGACCTAACCTTATTTACCTTTGTCTTTCTAGTACCTTGTGAGGTGCTAGACACAGGACAACACCAGAAAAGCAAGGTGTGGAACAGAGTTACCTTCCCCTTCATCTTCTGGTGTCTCTGGACCTTGGGCTAGACCTGCCCCTTGGGTCTCGAGGCCCTGCTGTGTCTTCCATCTCTGGGTGCCCCAGCGACCTCCTACCCCACATGCCCCCTCCTTTCAGGGGATCACAGTCAGAGCCCCCAGGGTTCCGTGTGTGAGGACCCTCAGCAGATGCACTTCCCAGCCCCAGCCCCAGCACCAACCACACAACTTACCTGCGTCCAGGTGCTGACATGCCACCGGTAGGTGCAATAGGCGAGGATGCAGGGGATGCTGGCCTGAGGCCGAACCAGAGCTGCACAGGCTGCCCCATCCACCTCAATGTCCTGGCCTTGGCTGAGCTGCACACAGGCCACAGAACGTGTGGCAGTGCCAAAGCCACAGCTGGCTGAGCATGGGCCGAGGGACATGATTTTCCACCTGCAAGAAGAAAAGACCCAGAGTGCAGCCCTGAGCCCAGGAAGAGCGAGCCCTTCCTATCAATGGCTCACCATTCCTGGTTGGTGATTCCAAGTAACAGATGGAGGAAAACATGCCCCAGGAGAATGGAAAACAAATCTTGGTGTGGGTCAGTTCTGCCCATTTTAACTTGTAATCATTCAATGAATGGTAACAGCCGACATTTTTTAGAGCTGAGACCGAACCCAGGGAGCCCGTGCTGGAGCCTGAGGCTCTAATGGTGACACTGTGCCACCTCCTGGTTCTGGGATGCCACCTCTCAAACACATGCCTTCCGTGGGCCTGACACTCTTCTAGACGCTAGGAAAATGGAGTGAACCAGACCAAGCCCCCCACGCCACCCTTCAGAACACATATGCTCCTCCACTTCGGCACCACTGACATTTGGGGCCAGTGGTTCTGTCGTGGGGGCCATCTGTGCAGTGCAGGATGTTCATCAGCACCCCTGGCCTCCACCCACTCACCAGAGGCCACTAGCACCCCCCCCCATTCCCTAGTCATGACATTTAAAATGTCTCCAGACATTGCCACATGTCCCCTGGGAGGCAGAATAACCCCTCGTGGAGAAACCACAGGTTCGAAGGAAGAGACAGCAGATAGAGAAATAAATGCTAAGTGGTAGAGTCAGGCAGCGCCGAGAGTCCTGGGGTGAGTAGAGTGTGCTTTCAGGACTCCCCACCTTGCTGCTGTGGTGCTTTGAGCAGAGCCTGGTTGCAAGGATATCCAGAGAAGACGCATTCACACAATGGGAAGGTAGGCGCAGGAGCCCTGAGGCAGGAGCATGTGTTCCAGAATATCAAGGACACGGCTACAGTGACATCCAGAGAGGAGCTAGACCTCATGCATGTCAAATTCCCATACAAGTCCCAGATAAAATCCCATATAAATGAATGTGCTGCATGGCCAAGGGACTTTAGCCCAAGCAAGGAAGCCAAGAGACACTGGTGCGGGTGGTAAATGGACCGCAGAACTACAGTATTTAAAACAGTCTGAAACGGGGATGGGGATCAATGGGGGATTGTGAACTGCAGAATCGGGTCAAAAGCCCTGACACAGATCCCAACACACACAAGGATCTAAGAGGACGTGATAATGGAGCCGGCTGGGGGAGTTCTGTTAGCAATCTGGAGAAATAAAGTATGCTCCCTACTTTGCAACATACCCCCAAAGATATCACAGATGAGTTAAGGCTTCTAATTTAAATGAATTCTTATCTGGAATGGTGTATTTCTTTAAAGCCAAGGACATGAAGGAAATGTGGCAATAAAGCACATCTGTTAAACCTGGTGGTGGCACATGGGTGTCTGTTTGCCTCTTTCGATGATACAGAAAAGCATTTCATTGGTCAAAGTGCAAAACTACAAGGACGCAGCCATGGAGCTGTGAACAAGGTGGGCGATTGTCTGCTCTTCCTCAGGAGGCTCGGACCCCACCTCTGGACCTTGCTGGCTTGAGCTCTTCTGTCCCACACCCCAGCTGGGACCATCCTTGGGCTCCGCTGAAACCCTGCCTTCTCCCAGGGAAGCTCTCCAGCCCTCCCCACACCTTCACCCCACTCAGAGCGGGCCACGCCACCTGCATTTTGTTGGAATGTCACCTCTGACACTTGGTACAGCCTGCCAGTAGTCCTGCTTCCCAAGGACTGTCTCCCTGGCCAGAGCCACCCTATAATAAGCCACACGGCAACTGGCCTGGTGTCTGCACACTGCAGGACCTCAGGCTGCTTCCCCAACACCTCGGGGCTGCTGACCTGGGTGGGCAGGGCTCTGGGCTGCAGGCTTCCTGCTGCTCTGGACGAGGCAGCCCCTGGCACTGGGTATCTGGCAGGATCTCCTCATCCTCGTCCTCCCCGTGAGCCCGTGCACAATATAGCATCCTCTGCGCAAACCCTCCTCCACAGCTCACACTGCATGCGGCCAGCTTGTACCTCCACCTGGGGCAAATTGGAGTCAGGGGGGACCCAAGGGAACAGGGCTTCCCCTCATCTCCCCATACTGGAGAGGGCCTGGAGGGGTCCTTCCTCTGAGGGTCACCCTTACATCTCCATGGAGTAGCTGGGCACAGTGGACGGAGAACATTCAGAAGGGCCTGTTTTACAGACAGAAAGCTGAAGGCAAACTGATGTGTTCAAAGGGCAGACAGGGGAAAGGCAGGGCACCCCAGGGGTACTGCAAAGCTGTCTGTCTCCCATAGGGATCCCAGCCTGGACAGGGCCTGGCCAGCACTCCCAATCTTCCTTCCTGCTGTGTTTGCCACATCACACCAGCACCACCTGTCAAACTCTGTCTCCCTGTCTGTTTGATTTCTCTTCCATCTCCCCACTACCCCTGGTGTTTGGTCCAGGAGGGCAGGGCTAGGTGCTCACTGCTGCAGCCCCACTGCCAGAACCGCACCTGGGCATGGCAGGCCCTCAGTAAAGAGCAAGCAATGACAAGTGAACCATCGGCCACATGTGCCCACAGCATCCCCCACAGCCTTCTAGGACACCGGTGTGACCCACTCTTGCAGGTGAGGGCACTGGGGGTCAGGAGCTTACAGGAAGGTGATGATGCCACCTCTAAGGATGCATGCCTAGGACTACCTGTCTCCTTGGGAAGGGGCCCACCTGGCAGGGCAGGGCTCTGGACTGCAGTCCTTGATGGGATGGGGCCTGGGGCCGGCCAGCTCTTGGAGTGAGGCAGGGGGATGGGGTGGCTGTGGTCCAGCCCCACACAGTGAACATCAAGTGGCACCTGCCCTCAACCCCCCACCCCCACCAAGGCCTGGGTCTCCCACCTGCAGTAAGAAGGCCAGCACTCAATCAGAGGCTACACCCCAGGGTAAGACTCCTTCCTCTGTAGGGGACCCAGCTGCTGCAACGCCCCCTGCGGCACTGAGGCACTGAGTCTCCCCACCACCACCGCCACTCACCAAGCCGGGCATGGGGCAGCCTGGCAGACCTCCTGCCGGCTCCCAGGCTTGCTTTCCAGGTCACATAGCTCTTCCCGGACAGGGGTTCCCAGGGCAGAGTCCATACACATGAAGTTCAGCTCCATCAGGCCTGCAGGGAGGAAGCAGGGACCCCCAAGCCCCAAGAGGAGGGTTCAATAAGAACTAGAGCGGCCAGCTCTCTGGAGAGCTCTAGCAGAAAAGGCCTACTTGTGTTTGAATCTTGACTTGGCCACTTGTGTAACCTTGGACAAGTGACTTAACCTCTCTGAGCCTCAGATTTTTCACCTGATGGTGCCTAACGTACAGGGATATTTATATAGATTTTTAAAATGGAGATACAAATTACCTGGCACATAGTAGGTGCTCAAGTGGTAGCTGCTGTTGTTTACTGTTATTTTATGAGAATTGCCATGTGAAAATCTCTTACCGTGTTTATAACAAATATGTTACTAGAGCTGGTTTCCTTGAACCTCCCCTTTAGGAGTATCCTCAAAAAAAGTCTCTGGTCTTGAGTCTAAATATGCACAAATTTTGGGACACCTGGGTGACTCAGTGGTTGAGCGTGCCTAGGACCTGTTTGGCTCAGGGCGTGATCCCGGGGTCCTGGGATAGAGTCCCACATCGGGCTCCCCACAGGGAGCCTGCTTCTCCCCCTGGGGAGCCTGCTTCTCCCCCTGCCTGTGTCTCTGCCTCTCTCTCTTGGTGTCACTCATGAAAAGAATAAATAAAATTGAAAAAGAAAGAAAGAAGGAAAGAAAGAAAGAAAGGAAGGAAGGAAGGAAGGAAGGAAGGAAGGAAGGAAGGAAGGAAGGAAGGAAGGAAGAAGGAAAGAAAGGACACAGCTTATCTTAAAAATCTCATTCCTCTGGTGTGGCTGCCAGGAAGCTCAGAGCTACTGGGGCCCTTCTCTTGCTGCTTTTCTAGATCTTAACAAATTGCTGAGTTTTGTCATCTTTTCTATCTTTCAGCCAAGCAATGAACAAGTTTACATGGTGGTCCTTACTCTGCCCCAACGTCCTCATGTATTACATCATGTTCCTCCATAGTGTGGATTCTCTGTAAGCCAATTCACATGCTTTTTAGAACCAGGCAAAATGCAGGCAGGGAAGAGCTCATGAGCCCTGGGCACCTCACCTTGACCACAGGAGGCAGAGCATGGCCCCGCCAGGGGGGTCCACATGTGTGTGGTGCGAGCCCCCAGCCCAGCACTTCCTGATGGGGATGTGGCCTCCTTCTCCTCCTCCAGAGACTGGAGGTCTGGCTGCAAGGGACAAGCAACAAGCTCGTGCATTCCGGCTTGCCCCCTCTAGATCCCTGAGCACCTGGTCCTCCCTCCCCCATCCCAATCTCTTCAGGAGAGGGCAGATGTGGTCACCAACACCCAAAGCCTGCCCCTCCCTGCTACTCCTTTCCAGGGAGGTGTGCTCTGGCTACCAGAGGATGTCCTCACCCCACTACCCACCTAGGTCTCTGTACTGGCATGAGTTATTGCTGGGGGGAAGGGCTGAGGCTGGGGCTCAGGAGCCAGATTTGCAGGCACACTTGGCTCTGCAATCACTACCAGCCTCAAGGACACAGGCTTGGCCAGTACCCTTGTCTGCAAGCCCCAGGACACAGGCGGGACTGTGGCATGGTTTCGCTGTGTAGTGGAGAACTGGCAGCATTCTGACAGGGTCTGGGTCCCTGGCCCTGCTTGCCAGCTGGAGGGAAGGCTAGGCAGGCTTCCCAGCGGTCCCTTGTGCTTTTTCCCTAGGTCCATCCTCTGACCAGGGGGATCCTGCACACAGTAGCACTGCAGAAGGACAGTCTTTGTGCTCTGGCCAGGAGGTCTATGGTAACCAGTGCTCCCCATTCTCCTGACCAGATACGCCCCCAATAGCCCGGGTCACCCTCATGCCCAGGACACTCACATAACCCTGTCCCGGAGGACATGCCGTGGCCACACAGGGCTTGAGGGCAGGCAGCTTCTCATCTGTGGAGCAGGGTCCAGCCGTGGCCAGTGTCTCCAGGCCAGCTACCCCGTGCACACACGTCACATTCTGTGATGCCAGGTCTGCTCCACAGGCTGTTGCGCATGCATCCGATGCCTCCTGCCTAAGGATGGCACAGGACAGACATAAGGCCCTGCCTCTCATTGGGCTGTAGATACAGCTTCACTCCTGGGACAGGAGGCAGTGAACCTACACCCTGGTGTCCAAGAGCTCAATGGGAAGCCCCACAAAGAAATAAAATCCAGAGGCTGCTCCCCAAAAAGGTTGGATGAACTACTGCCAGCACTCCACTCAGCACCCCAGGGACAGTGACACAGGCCCTGACCCTCCTGCCATCCAGAGAGGAAGGTGGGCCTCCATCCAGAGAGTAACACCACTCCTTGCACCCAAGTGGGTGCTGTAACACAATCAGATCACCCAGATCAGGGATGGCCACTGTGTTTCGTGTGTGTGCCAACCCTGACAGGTGGTGGCTTCCTGCCGTGCTGAAGCAGGAAGGGTCCTGAGGCAGGAGTGGGCCTATGTGGGAAAGGGTGAGGATTCCCAGGTCTGCCAAGGATGGGAGAGGGACAAAGGAGCCCAAGCCATGCGTGCGCCACCAGTGACCTAGGCCAACCCCCTCCCCACTGGGGCCCAGGGAGGGAAGGGACTTGACCCGGTCACCCAGCCAGTTAGTGGCAAATCAGAATAAGCCACTGTCAGCTTGGACACCGAAGGGATGGGAGGTGCCCTGGGGACAGCAATGGCAAAGTGACACATCGCTTTACATTTGTGGCTTCACTTGGTCCTCACAACCCCTCCTAAGCAGGGACTAGGGGGTTCAGAGAGGGAAATGGCCAGCCCAGGGTCTCTTGGATAGTGATTCTGAAGCTGGCCACTCCAGACCCAGCCAGAGTCCTGGGAAGAGGGGACACTCAGGGTAGAGCTCAGTGCAGGGACAAGCCCTGCCAGGCACACTGCCTCCCTGCGTCCCCAGACCCATCTCCTGGGGCAGGGATGAGAGTCGCAGGTTTCTAGCACTGCTGGCTGCGGGGCCGGTACTCTGCACCAAGTAGGGGGCAATGTCCTCAGGAGGCTGCCCTGGGCCTCCATGCAATGCACCACCCTCTCCTGCAAGCCTCCCCCATGGGAGGCACTGCACACACCAAAGTCCTCAGCTGCCCAGCTGCAGAAGAAGGGAACAGAGTGTTGGGCTCCATCCCCTGGGGGAGGCGGTGAGAGACAGGCAGATCTATCCAACTGACTCGCTTCCCTGTGCTGGGCCAGGCCCCAGGTCCCTGCAGGTGCCTGGACACTGCACACATACAGCCACCTCAGCCCAGGGACCCTCCAGATATCTCCAAGCTGCACCTGAGCCAGAGGACACCTGTATAAAAGTGTTGGCAAGGGGCGCCTCGGTGGCTCAGTTGGTTCAGCATCAGACTCTTGCTCTTAGCTCAAGTTTTGATCTCACGGTCATGAGTTTAAGCCCCATGTTGGGGCTCCACAGCCAGTGTGGAGCCTACAATCAATCAATTTTTTAAAGTGCTGGCAGGTAGCTGCATCAGCTCTGCACTCAACAAGGACAGTCTTGTTCTTAACGTTACACTCCTACCAGCTGCACAGGCCAGGTACTTTCCCCTGTCACCTCTCTGACCCTCACCACAACTGTTCTGGGGAGGGCAGTCACCTCCACCTTGCAGCATGTGCCCACAGACGAGGTGCAGCAGGTATGGGTCACACTAGGCTGTCACCTGTGTTTGCCCGAGTTTCCATGTCCTCACCTGCAAAATGGGGGTAGTGACATAACCCACCTCCCAGGGCAGCATCCAAGACTACGGAGAACATGCCTGGACGTGGCCTCACTGAGCGCACGTGACATGGGCTCCGTAGCCAGTGAGAGCCCAGCGGCCATGGCTTAGCGCAACAACACTCACTGTGGGGGGCAGGGCCTGGGGGCGCAGGACTCTGACCACGCTGCTGGCTGCTGGCTCCCTTCGCACTGGGCAGCCTCCACCCACACGTTCCTGGCCTGGTCCAGACAGCTGTAGGTCACCCAGCGCCGCCCTGGGAGGGAAGAGGGAGGCTGGGCCACCTCCCTGCAGGGCGCAAACCATGCTTCAGGCGAGCCCTGCCCCAGGCCTCACCTGCCCCACAGCTCACCGAGCAGGATCCCCGCACGGCAACCCAGGCCCAGGCCTGTGGCTGTTTAGGCTCGAAGTAGGTGAAGGTGATGTCTGGGCGTGCAAGGTCACCATACTCCTCCCCGTAGCGCCTGTAAACCTTCACGAGACAGACAGAGAGCTCGGGTCCTTGTCCAGTGGGCTCTGTGAAGGAGCTCTGAGGGTCACACTGGGCTCCGTCCCCTAGCCCAGCCCCAGAGAGGGGCCAGGCTTGAAGGCTAAGCTCTGGAGGCCTCCAAGGTTCCAGCACCTGCCCCCATGATGCCTCATCTAGCCACACAGCACCATCCTCTGTTAAAATGGGGGTTCTCGGGCCCAGCCTGGCAGGTCCTCATTCAGTGGCTCTTGGAGGGGCCCAAAAATGTGTATTTTTATACATACAAATACATACATTTTATACATACATGTTTGCAAAGGATGCAGACAGCTCAGCTGGCTGCTACCACCTGAGAACCATTCCTGGGGGCAGGGAAGTGGTGGAACTGGGCTGCGTGGGCAAGCAGGGAAGGAGTGAGTGGCTCACCAGGGGGCTCCTTGTGGCCTGGGTGGACTCTGGGGGAGCCCCACTGTCTCCTCCAGCTGTGGGGGCAGAGGCTAGGGCTGCTAGACCAGAGTCAAAGACCACTGAGACTTGGCCCCCTCCCCAAGAGCCTCAGGGCTGTTTACACACATGCTAACATCCATCTCTCCAAGTGCCTTCCTCAGCAAAGCACGCATGGGAACATGTGCAGAGGAGCTCACGTGCAGATGACGCACCCAAAGCATGTGCTCCCATGTACCTCTGTCCCCAAGAAACAGTGAGAGTCAACATCCACTCAGAGTTTCCTTGGTATCAGCAATGGCTGCCAACACTGCCTGGCACATGCACCCATAACCCCAGCAGGCAGGCCAGCAGCTCATGCGCATTCTACAGAGGAAGCCTGAGGTCCAGGGTGGTGGCAGAGTTAGGCTGAGAGCCTAGAATGCTCTGCAGAGGACAGAGAGGCTTGGGAGAGCATTCAGCTTCCAGGTCAGGCCCTTGCTGTGCCTGTCCCTTTGCCTCAGGACTTCTGGTGGGAGGGGGCTCACTTTCCCACCATTAGGATGGGGCATCCTCAGTGTTGGGTACTTTCAAGACCTAAGCCATCAAGGACTTTTGTCACAGCAGCCACCTTTCAGGGTGCTTGCGCATGTAGGGTGCCAGACACACCACCACATGCCTAACGCAACTTATCTTTAAATAATGAACCTTTATAATAACTTCATAATGTGTGTGCTTAGCCCCATTTTGCAGATGGGAAAACTGAGACTCAGAAAAGTCAATTCCCTTGCCCAAGTTCTTGCAGAGCCAGGATTCAAAGTCCAATCTACCTGAGTGCCTAGGCCTTGGCCCCTGATCTCTGGGTTTCCCTGCTTCCAGCTGCTGGGCTACAAGAGTCTCTAATCTGGGCACCCCACAGTCTCACTCCCCGCACCCTCCCTCAGCCAGGGCTGACACAGGCCCAATCCCCCCTGTACCCTACACAGAGCCCCCTCACCAGCCTCCCTCCCCAACCCCTGGAGATCATGAAGCCCTCCAGCCCCCTCCCCTTCCCTTATCCCTCCTAATTACCTACCCTGTGCACACCCTCTTCCCTCAACACACGCCACTCCCTGCTTGGCCCAGCAGCATTAGCTCATCTCAGACCTCTGCCACACCGCCCAACCCCAGGCAAACCCCTGACCCCTGCACACCCACCCTCAGAACTCCAGGGGCTGCTGAGTGAATAAGCAGGTGATACCAGGAGGAGGCCCTGCTGGCTCCCCCAGGCCCTCTGGGTCACCTGGATCTCCATGTCTTCCTGGGTGGGTCCCCGGATGGAGATCTCCTCCAGGCGTGGCAGCCGGTCCTCTGTGAGGGTCACTCTGTACTCCACACGGCTGTCCTCCAGGAGGGAGGGGTAGGTGGTGCTGGGAGAGATGCTGGAATTCCCAGCCACAATGTAGTGCCCTCGGATCCGCACCGCTGTGGGGGGGCAAGGCTGTGAGCAGGGGAGCACCCCCTCCACAGCTGTGGCAGGTGGGCACCAGCCACCCACCAGAACAGATCCTGACTTATGGAAAGGGGTGGTAGCAACAGTCGGATAAATCTCCTCGCCCCAGGCCCCAGCCCTCCCCAAGGAGCCCGTCTGCCTAGCACCTCAGTCCACAGGCCATCCCCACAACAAGCAAGGCACATCCTCCCATAGGCACACAGGCGCCTGCCCTCAGAAGGCTTCCGCATGTCAGTGGCTCTGTGGCTCTGTCCAGAATCTAGTGAGCATTGTGGACCTGCCTCTCACCAAGTGTGCTCATGTGCAGGCTTGGGGGCTCAAGGACCTGGGGCCAGCACCCCCACTCCAGATTCAGAGGACAGGCATAGGCGCCCTCTGGAAATCAAGAAGCACAGATGTGGCCTTTGCCCTGGGACCTACGTCACACTTGATAGGAGTGTCTTTGTTTACAGTGGGGACTTCCCAAGCCAGAAAGACTAAATATGTGATTTAGGACAGCAGCTTTGAGTTGATCTCATCTGTAAACCCAGAGACTGAGGCCATCCACATGAGTAATCAATCAGTCATGCCTCATATCTGCATAACAAAGTCCTAATCAAAACTGGACACTGAGCCTGGGTGGCTCAGCCGTTGAGCATCTGCCTTTGGCTCAGAGTATGATCCTGGGATCTGGGATCGAGTCCCACATCGGGCTCTCTGCTTCTCCCTCTGCCTGTGTCTCTGCCTCTCTCTGTCTCTCATGAATAAATGAATAAATCTTTATGTTAAAAAAAAAAACTGGACACTGAGCCTGAGGGAGTTCCCCGGGTGGGCAATACTCTGTGTGCGTTGCCATGCTTGGGATGGTGGACATGGAGCCCTCCCACACTGTGCCCTAGGCATTTCCTGCTCAGGCTTGTTTTATTGTCTCCTTCCCCTGTAATAAGCCATAAGTGCGGGTATAAAAGCTCTCAGCATTCTGGGGGCCCTGGTAGTGACATACCCAACCTGGCAGTTGGGAACCCCCTAAACCTGCAGGTGGCACCAGTAGTGAGGGCACCTTGGGGACTGTGCTTTATAAACTTCAGTTTGGCTACCTCTGGGGGAGTCCTCAGGTCAGCTCACCCAAGTGTGTGAAGAGAGGCCTCCGGTTGGTGATGTGTACACTGGTCAGGTTGCGGGTAACTGTCAAGAACGTGACATATTCTAGATGGAAGCAGACATGGTGGGTGGTCTCAGATCACTGACATCACAGTGAAAGGGAGCAAATGTCAGATGCCCAGGAAGCAGTGCCTTAACACCAAAAGCTAACAACAGGACCACCTTGAGCAGTAGACAGTCTCCTGTCATGGTTGGGGGGTGGGTAATCAAAGCTGGGGGGACGGTCAGCTACCAGGGTGTGCCCTGGCCAGGAGGAAGGACTGAATCCAAGGGCTCAGCAGGTGGGACTCCACTCCTTGGCTGACCATCTAAGCGCCTACTTGACAAATGAGTTGACTTCTTTTATAAATGGATCAAAGTCAAGGGTTACCGAAGTATAATATCCCTTCTGATGGAATTCCTTGGGGAGGAATGGAGAGGCCAGCCGACCGCAGACTGACCAGTGTCCGGGCTTTATCTGCATCACAGCTACTGTGAGCCATGAGGGCTCAGTGTCGAGGTTCTGGGCTGCAGGTGATTTTAGAAGCTGGGAGGAGCCCGGCCATCCATCCCTAGGGCAGCTCCTACCTCTGGCCCTTCCGGCTGTGAAAGAGCCGTTCTGTGGGCTGCAGGTGCTGTTGTCCCCTCCGCACACCTGGCACACGTCTCGCACCTGTTGGGAGCCCATCCTGCCATCACAGCCGAATGTCTGTGCAAAGAGCAGTGGCAGGTGACACCCAGGCAGGTGTCATTGGAGGGTGCTGGCCCACTCACCCCATAGCTCCGAGGCTCTGGGAGTCACACCACAAATTAGAGGCATTTTGCAAGCATCTGACATGGATGCAGGAAGCAGGTGTGACTCACCCAAGGTCATGGCAGGGGTCTTAACACCCAGATGACTCCAAGGTCAGTCCACCACCCTGGCATCACCCCGTGCAGACTGCTGCAGCTTCATGGGGGGCCAGCCCCTGCACACTGGCCCCCTCGGAGCCCTTCAGCATCTGGCTTTTGAGGTGACTGGCCTCGGGGCCACCCTAGATGGGAGGGCACCTCTGCTGCCCACACGCACCTACCTTGCAGCTGCCCAACATGCACAAGCTCAGGGTCCCGTCTTCCCGCTGACCACTTGGCACACACCGGGTCCCATCTAGGAAACTTTCCCCACGCCTCACAATGAAGGCTTCGCCAATGGCCCGGCACATGTGTCTGCACAGGGCATCCCCTGGGAAGGCAGAGGGACAGGGAACCCTGGCATGAGGGGGACAGGGAGTAGGGGGAAGGCGGCAACCCTGCAAGGCATGACCCAGGTGGGCCCACCTCCCTGCCAGGGCTATCTGTCTTCATCCTTTGGGTTGGGGGCAAGGGTCCTGCCTCCTGAGGACATGGTGATTGTTACTGAGTTATAAACCAAGGAGCACCCTTGGTGCTGCCCGGGGATCATCTCACTGAACCCTAAACACCCAAGCAGGGAGGCCCTGCTCTAACTTCCATTTTTACAGATGGGAAAACCAAGACTCAGGCCTGTTAGCCAGGAGCCTTGCCAGGATGTGACTCGACTGATGCAGAGCTTGAGCACAGCCCTGCCATCTACAGCATTGGGGTAATGGTAGTCAGTCACACCTTGACTGTACTGCTCAGCGGAGCCCCAGCGGTAGAAGGAGGCATTCCCCGGGGTCAGGTAGAGCGGTTTCCTGTCCGTCTGCGAGCACTGCTCAGACATGAACTCCAGCTGGGTCTTCTCACAGGCCTGGCCGGGAGGAGGCAGAGGACAGGCACAGGAGGGGCCCTGGGATGGGGGCAGGGGACCTAGGACCTAGGACCTAGGCCCTGGGGACGGCAAGGCACCCTGCAGCACAAGGTCAAAATGTGGATTGGAGCCCAGTTCCTGGCTACACTTCGGTTCCCTGCTCTGTAAAGTGGGAGAGGCCAGAGCCTTCCTCTGCTGATGGGAGGATCCAGAAGAATCTGCAAGGACACAGGGCAGGAACTGCCACCCGGCAACAAAGAGGTAAAGAGCCCTGCTCGCTCATTCCCTCCCCCAAGCCTGTGCTCCAGGTGAGAACTCGGCCCTCTGTGTCTGGGGAGGCGCTGGGTCTGCCTGGAGAAGGCGGGAGGGAAGGTCTCACCAGGTGCACATCTTAACTAAGTGTCACAGGCACCATTCTAGCAGTTGGTGCCCAGGACGATGGCCATGATCAAAACCACGGACCACAGGGATAGAGAGGATGGAGAAAAAGTGGAACCCTTGCACACTGCAGGTGGGAAAGCCAAATGGCTCAGCTGCTGTGAAGGATGGCTGGCAGGTTCCTCAAAGGACTGGATGTAGAAATACCATGTGAACTAATGACTCCACTTTTAGGTGCATTACAAAGGAAATAAAAACTGGTACTCGAGTGTGCATATACACATGTTCAGAGCAGCATGATTCTCAATAACCAAAAGGTGGAGATGGCCCAAAACGTCAAGATGGCCCAAAATGTCTGTCAACAGATGAACAGATAATATGTGGTCCATCCATATGATGGAATATAGCCCTAATCAACCCTAATAAGGAGTGAACTTCTCACACCGGCTATGACATGGGTGACCCTGGAGGACATGACACGGAGTGAAAGAAGCCAGTCACAAAAGACCACATATTGTGGGGTTCCATGTCTATGAAATGTCCAGGACAGGCAAATCCAGAGGCAGGGATCGGTAGTTACCAGGAGCTGGAGGATGTCAGGGTCAGGGACTGCTAATGGGTCTGGGGTTCTGCTTCAGGGTCTTGGAGATGCTCTGGAACTTGATAGAGGTGCTGGTCACATCATACTGTAAATGTACCAAATGCCCCTGGATGCCATACTTTTAAATGGTTTTATATGATGTAGATTTCACCAGCATTTGGAACTGAAAGAATGGTTTCAGGAGGTCCTGGAGGGGAGGGAAGTCCTAGAGTACGCACCATGGTCCCAGGGGAGGTGGAGCAGCACCCCCAAATCTCAAAAGCGCCCTGGTGTGAATCACAAATTCAGCTGCCCTGATCTTTTGGGATCCCTCCTGATTCCAGGGCTCAGCGCTGCCCACCTGAGCCTCTCGTCCTGGCCCAAGGGAAGGCCTACCTGGGTGTTGCACATCTCCGCCTGGAGGTCAGCACCCACGCACACATGCCCTCCAAAGGCAGGCCTGAAAATGTCCACAAGACATGAGGGGTGACAGGTGAGCCACTGCCCTCCCAACCAGGGAATGTGGAGCAGGCTCCATCCCTTCCCAGACCTGAAGGGCAGTGCTCCCTCCACATGTACCTGGGGTTGTTGCAGTGTCGCCTCCTGGAGACCACACCTCCTCCGCAGGAGCGGGAGCAAGGGCTGGGGGGACCCCAGCTAGACCACTGCCCGTGCACCACCCACACTGGGCTCAGCTCTGCCAGGGAGCGGCAGTGACCCTTGGAGCACCACTGTAAGAGAAGGACACACCATCCCATACCCAGGGCACCCCACATCCCCCATAACCACATGGTACCACACACACAAGGCACCCACACCCACATAGGCAAGCACATGGGCAGGCACCCCCCACCCCCATCCTGCTCAGGAGACAATGCTAGATGGAAGAGGGCAATGCCCAGGCTGTAGGACCCAGGAAGGGTCTGGCCATGCCCCACAGAGGGGAAAGGTGGAGTCACTTAGGTCTGCAGGGTAGAGGGAGGTGAGTGCCTGGTATGGCCTGAGAGGGAGTCTGGGTTAGGGAGCTGGGCCAGGCTATCACTGTCACTCAAAGCCTTCATCTCCTCTGTGGTACAGGGGTGACAGCACAAGCCGTCTCCAGACCCAGGGAAAGGGGGAAAGAGACTCAACAATTGTGCGGGGAGGGGCAGGGTATTCAATACACGCTGGCTGTGGCTCTGGACCCCCCATACGCCTCAGCAGAGTTATCAGCAAGCCCTTTGTCAGTTTTTGTAGGTCCCATGGACCTAGAAAATACATCCCATCATCCAAAAGTCACCGGATACACAGGGCATCCTGCAGCCCATCTCTCCTGACCAGGTGACCAAGGTCCTCTGCCCTGGGAATGCAGGCTGCCTGTGTGCATGTGCATGCACTCTCTCTCTCTCTCTCTCTCTCTCACACACACACGCACACACACACACGCACACACTCTGGCATCTCTTCATTCCCTGCTCTGACCTTCTGCACGCCGCACTCTGTCCCATCCAGGAGAGGGATGAGGAGGCGGCTACAGCTGCTTTGGTCCAAGGGATCCGTGTGGCAGGACAGAGCCTGGCACATGTCCTAGGAGGGGGGACAGCCTGTTCAGTGTCCAGTCTTAATGGTTCCCCACACACCACAGGGACACAGTGACACATACGGGGTCCCGTGGGCACAGGGGCCAGGGAGAATGGGCACGGCATACTCCATAGAATAGGGACGTGACCAGGGCCCACAGTCATTTTATGGGCTCACAAACATGGTTTCAGTTATTTTATCCAAAGAAAAAAATATCTTTTAGGTCAAAGAAGATATACTAATGTGTATCGTTAATATATAGGGAACCTGGGTGGCTCAGTGGTTGAGCATCTGCCTTGGGCTCAGGGCATGATCTCGAGGTCCTCAGATGGAGTCCCCCATCGGGCTCCCCGCAGGGAGCCTGCTTCTCCCTCTGCCTGCTTCTCTGCCTCTCTATGTCTCTCATGAATAAATAAATAAAATCTTACAAAAAAAAAAAAAAAGAAGAAGAAGGGCCCCCGACAGCCTGGCACAGCGGGTGCTCACTCAGTGCACAGCGGGGCATGAGCTGGACTGCGGGGCGGACAGGCCCAGGTAGAGGGAGCATGGGCAGGGTCAGAGGGTTGCGCACAGTGGGGCGGCGGGACTCACGAGATGCTCCCTGGTGAAGGTGCAGGCCACTGCCCCAGCGCCAAAGGCGACGCGGCACTGCTCGTCCGAGCCGTACAGGAGGCCAGGCTGCGCCTGGGGAAGGCGCCCGGCGGCCCCAGCCTGTGGCTCTGGCGGGTCCCCCAGGCAGCGCAACAGTCCTGCGCTGTGACAAGGCCCCTGCTCAGGCCCCCGGCGAACAGGGGGTGGGAGTGGGACGTGGGACAAGGAGCTGGCAGGTGGGGAGGGGAGTCCTCAGTGTGGACCCGCCCTGAGGCCAGAGCCCGTGAGAAGGGGAGGTGGGAGCGGAGCAGGTGGGGGCTGGAGCCGGTGGGGGTGGAACAGACCCCGCGCGATGCAGCCGCGACGCAGCCGGAGGAGGACACGGCTGACAGAGGTTGGACTGGGAAGCCGGTGGGGCCGAGGGGTCGATGCAAGGGTGGGATGGGTGGAGGGATGGGCGTGGATGGGGTAGAATTGAGGGGTAGGCACAGAAGCGGGTGGGATGGAAGAGGGGGTGCGTGGGGGTGGGAGGGAACCAGGGAGTCTGCGTGGGGAGGTGTGGATGCAGGGACGGGCGCACACGTGGAGGGGCAGAGGGAAGGGTGGATGCGAGGGCACCAGGGAGGATGGAGGCTGCCCCGGAGCAATGATGGGGGCCTCTGGGGAGGGGGCGCGGGACACCATGGGACTGAACAGAGGGCTGGGCAGGGCTGGGCAGGGCTGGGGCAGATGGAGGGGTGGGTCTGAGGGACAAGCAGGGGTGCCCCCTGATATAGATGGGGGCGGGGTGAGGGATGCAGCTACCTGAGTAGATGCAGCAGTTGCTGGCGGCTGCAGGCAGACCACGAGAGGTCCCCACGGGCGGCCGCTTGGTCCTGGGAGCCCATCACGTGGTCGCTGGGCTTGCAGCCGCTGCCGGCCGCGCCGTCGTGCTCCAGGCCCAGGCTGTGCGCGGAAGGCAACACTGAGGGTCTCCTCACGGCCCCCCCACCCAGTTCAGGTCTGACCAACCCTTTGGCCGGCAGAGAGGCCGGGTGTTTTCGGACCAAAGGGCATCCTGATCCTGCCACCAGAGAGCCCTGCTTCAGTTTCCCACCGGAGAGAGTGCTGGGTCAGCCAGGGAGCTCCTGCCTCTTTGGGCTAACAAATACTGAAAAGTTTTAAAAACGTTGAGACCAAGCTAATCTGTGGTGTTACAAGAAGGGGCCCTGGGGGGGGGGGGCTGCCAGTGATGACTTTTTGATTGGTGGCCACTCAGAGTAGGAAAATTCATCCACTGCCTGTATAGCGAGGTTGACAAAAAAAAAAAAAAAAATCGAGAAAATGTGCAGGCCTTTGGCCATTGTTTCCAATCCCAGTGGAAGGCACTGGTTTTCAAAACCTTCTTTTCCCTCCAAACCAGGCGAATGAAGGCACTGTGTGTGGGGGGTCATGTCCAGTTGCAGAAGTCACTGTAAATGTAGAGCTGTTGTGAACTGATATGGGGGTGAGGACCCCAGCCTCGCTGGGCACCTGGGCCACCCACAGAGATGGGGATGTGGGGCTTCCACAGCAGAACTCAGAAAGGCTGCAAGGCCTGGGGGCAGGTGGGGGCCATTGGGCAAGGAGCATAGACTCACTTTTTACTTTATGGGTTTCTGTGCTGTCTTTCTACAGCAAACAGGTGTTACTGTCATAATGAAAAGACTAAAAATCATAAAAGAACCTCGCCACTTTAGGTAAATGACAATAGACAGGAACAACAAAGATTTGCCTATAGAATGCAGGATGTTCGTAACAGGAAAAATTTGTAAACAACCTAAAAAGCCAACAACAGGGGATTAACTAAATTACAGCTCATACAAAAAATTATAAAAGATCCGGGGAAAAAATGTTTGGGATGTAGCGTTCCATTTAAAAAAAAAAAACAGTAACAAAACAATTTACGGTATAATCCCAATTTTACAAATAAAAAATTATGCGTGTGGCTAAGAAATGACTAAAATTAAACATAAACTGTGAACAGATGTTACCTCTAAGCGGTAGGATCTGGGATAATTTTGACAGCCTGCTTTTTCTTTACCTGAATTTTGTAGAAAACTTATTTTCTAATTGCTAAGTTTGCTTATCTTAGGGTGTAAAAGTTTGTTAATCAAGAGGTATCAGATTTCCCAGCTCTTGTCCCCCATCCCCAGCCCCAAGTCCACCGGGGCCAAGGGTACAGGTTCCTTCCAGCACACTCTTCCAGGGCCCACTGCCAGCCTCAACATTCCCTCCCAAGAACCCCGGTCAGCTCCTGGGCCTCAGCCTAGAGGACAAGATGCCTACCTGTGACCAATCTCATGAGCGATGGTGACCCCCAGGTCAAAGCCAGTATCCTCAGTGATGACGCAGCTCCAGGAAGATGAGCAAGCGCCCCCCAGCTGGGTGACTCCCCGAACCTGCCGGTTACCATCAGGCAACTCCAGGTCAAATCTTGGGAAGAGAGAACAGACACTTGGGTGATGCTGAGGTCCCTGCCTGCTGCCAGGCAGCCTCTGCAGAGAAGGGGTGCAGCTCCCCCAGCAGGCTGGTGGGCCACTGGGGAGCTCAGCTACCTGGTGATGTAGAGGACCAGGTCGGCATGGCCAGGATCTGTGTCGTCCTCAGGGTTGACTGTCCTGCTCCACTCACAGACACTCAGCAGTGATGCTGTGATGTTGGCCGTGATATTTGGAGCATCCTAGGGATCAGTATAGAGCCCATGTTTATGGGAACTGCACCCAACAGGGTCCTCACCACAGTCCTGTTACTGTGCATGCTACAGAGGGGGAGACCCACGGGAAGAGGTAAAGAGGATAGAAATGGGTTTTCCAGTGACTCTGGGCTCCCAGCTTGATGCCTACCTCGGGCTGGGTCAGAATGACCATTTTCACCAGATGCACTTGGAACTGAGCCCCCAGGGATGGGTCCCTCAGCAGCTCTGACCCCTGTGGGAGAGCAGGAGGGAGAGGTGACTCATGTGGGCTCGAGTGGCCTAGCTGGGGGTGGGGGTGGGGGCAGAGAGCTGGGCCCACAGAAGATGCTCCATCAGCACGGGGGGAAAGGCTAGTCTTTGGGCTGGAAGCCAGCCACAGGGGTGGGCAGATGGGCTCTGGTCCTCCCCTTGCTTGTGACTCAAGAAAGCCAGCCAACACAAGGAAGAAAAACCTGAAACAACGGGATGCAAATAACTGTTATTAGCCTAGAATATTCCACTCCAACACTGCTTCTCTCTCACCAGATTTGCCCTCTCCCTTCTCATTTCTGTCCACCCACTCAAAACACCCTTCTCTCCACCTCTGCATCTCCATGAGGCAGCACGAGGGCCTCCCTGCCCTCCACAAGGCCTTTCCTGGGGACCCCAGAGAGAAGACTCCCCCACAGCCAGCCTCCTGGCTCTCTCTCGGCACATGTGTCAAGATGCCAATCGTGCTCAACGTGTAGTGTGTTTGTTGGCACCAGCTTGTCCTCTGAATTACACATGGTGCCCAAGAGAGCACCTTGCTGTCCCCAGCCTCAGTGGGCCTGAATCCCAGCTCTTCTGCTTCCCACCTGTACGCCCAGGATCCTGCTAACTGACTGGGGAAGCTCAGGTTCATATTCTGTAAAATGGAGGGAAAGCCTCCTGTGGTCTTGGCAGACTTAGGAACAGCACAGCTGGCAAAGGTGGGTGTCCGGTCATGACAACGGCCATTACCGAGGAGCCAGTCTGGTATCTACCACCATCCTAGGTCCTCACATGACACATCAAATGACCAGAGGAGAGTATGGCTCCATTATGAGATGTCAGCATATTGGAGGTGGTAGCACCCCTAATACTCAAAAACAGATTTTAAGGGGCTCAAAGGAAATGTGTTTCACCTCTGGGGCTGCAGGCAGACACCTGAGCAGGCTTATTGTGGACTTGGGCTGGGTCTGAGAGGCCGCAGGACCACGTGGGTATGGCCCTGGGACCCAGAGAACACATAGGGACGGGGGAGGGGGATGGCCCAGGGCTCTGAGCCTGGGGGACTTTTCCTTTGGCCCAAAATAGGTGGACATACCCAAGACTGGGCACAATGCGGGGCTAAGTACCCCACATTCTTGGGGGCAGCCTGCCTCCGGGGCCAGCTTCCAAGAAGGTGGCAGTCTCCATGCAGTGTTGGTATTAAGCTCCTGACTCTGTGGAAGCTTACCTGGCAGCCTAGGGCAGTCACTGTGTGTGCGTGTCACACGTGCGTGCCTAGCTGCAGGCATGGGCTCTCATGTAGTCCCTTACATCACAGTGTGTTACACGTGAGCATTTGATTATGGAGACACCTCTTTCTTTGCTGACTCTGTCTCTCGATGCCCACCAGTGGGAATCATACTTCTCATCCCACCTTCACCCCTAGGAGCCAAGTGAAGGAGAAGCCAACAGCAATGGGGATGCCCAAGGGAAAGGGAACTGGGAGAGGCCAGTGTGGGGCACCCCTGCTGGTGCCAGGGAAGTGCTGGCTGAGGTTCCTGGGGAGCAAATGGACTTCAGGACAGAGGCCAGACTTGAGAGTCCCCCAGAGAGAAGAGACCCAGGTAGCAAGAGGCTGTGGGGTGCACTAGGGAGCCAAGAGAGGACCCGGGACCTCACCCACCTCCACTCCAAGTAAGGGAGGGGAGGAGGAACCAAAGGGCAGACCACACCCCTTACACCCCAAGGCCCTGGGCCCCAAGCATGACCCCAGCCTTAGGTTTACACAGGAGTTCAAACCACCACGTAAGCTGGCCCACTCCCATTCTGCCCCAAATCCCCAGTGTGGCATGCTATGTGCAGAGGCTCCCGCACTCCACTCCTCATGGTCAGCACCATGCACGGAATCCCCTGCCCAAGGAACACTCACCATGTTGAGGTTAGTGAGCACGTAACGCTCAGTGTCCTCCTGGTGAGCCTGATAGACGTCGGGGCCCACGGCCACCAGCAGCTCCAGGTGTAGGACACTCCCAGCAACCCATCTCCGGAGGCGAGGGGACCGAGGACGGCCTGGTGAGGGAGGAGTCGGGGCTGACAGCGAAGCTTCTAGAAAGCAGATAATCCGTGGCTTTGGCCCCATGGCCAGATCTTTCTGGGCTTGGAGACACCATGTGAGTCCTGTCCCTGCCACTTTCCACCATGGGTATAGGGAGTCAGGGGGCGCAATCCCCAGCTTTCTCATGGGGAACATGGGGAGCAGGGAATACCTGCCTCCCAGGCGGGGGAGCACCCAGTGAGTGGGCCTATGCTGTGTCTCCAGGAGCTGGCCTCCTGGCTCCTCAGGAGGATTGAGGGTCCCAAGCTCACTTTCCCAGAAGTCATTGTCTGTTGTGAGTCTTATGACCAGTGGTGGCTGGTCCAAGCTGCTGCCGGGTCTTGGTTTCCACCCCGCCCCAAGGGCCAGATCCCATTCGTGACTAGGTATTCCGGAGCATCTGGAAGGGCCAGGTGGCAGTGCAGGGCCCAAGGAGGTAGCTCTTGGGTGGCCTTATTGTCCTTTGGGTTCCCCAAAGCCCCAGGCCCTGGTTCTGACATCTCTCTGGGCACACGCTGGAGAGCAGAACAGGGTCATTCCAAGATGACAAGGAGAGCCAAAGCCACCACCCTGCCTGCACCTGGGTACTGGACGAGTGGGCCTGGGAGGCAGCAGCTACCAGCTCCAATCCTGGTCATGCCCTGGCACCACCATATCAGCCCTGAGGAGTCACTCCATGGTCCCATCTGTACTAGTAACTAACGCCAATAAGCGGTTTCCTGCCAACCACACGTGTCCATGAATGTGCTTTGTAAACTATGAAGAGCTGTCCATACGTCTACCTGGCCACCAAGTAGACAGTGGGCGGCATGGCTGATGACCGGCCATGTGCTCCCCTGGCCAACCCGCTCCCAGCATCCTGAAGGAGATGGTTCAGTCAGGATTGTGGCCACCTGGGCATTGGGGAGAGCTGGCCATCCCCCAGGGCTGTCCCCAAGGGCAGCACCACCCTCTCTCTCCCAGGAGCTGTACCTCGGATGGTGTTAAGGGCCTCGGGGGCCGTGGGGGCCTTGGGGAAAGGCCTGTGGATCAGGTGGGGCTGGGCAAGAGCCCAGGGTGGCACCAGCTCCCGGTGCTGCATCTTCACTGGCTGGATGTAGAACAGGTCTGCACCCACCAGGATGTCACCCTCCTAGAGAAGAGAGAGCAGCCTGGCACGGAGCCCACGTGCCCCACTTCAGGACAGAGCCTCCCAGGGACGTGACAGCCCTGGGCCCCACAGACCTGCCCTGAGCTCTCTCCAAGTGTGACGTCCCCAGGCCCGTCCCTGTGGGACAGCTAGGGATCCATGCCTTGCTGGGGCCGTGCCTACTGCTTCCACCTGCCACCAGCCCCCCACTGCCCACTCTCCAGGCCTCCCTCACGTCCTGGCCTCTGGGCCCCAAGCTGTAGGCCTGGTAAAGACACCGGTGGGATCCCATGTGTACAGACACAAGAGGGGGTCTCAAGGACTAGCGAGGCCCGTGCTAATGAACAGCACAGCGGTCAGCAGCCTGATCCCGAGTAGCACGTGTCCCAGCCCATGCTGGGCCACCCAAGGCAGCAACCATGGAGGGGCATTGGGCTTTCCCCAGAACGACGTGGATGGCTCTAGCTTGACTGATACATAGTGACAAATTTACATGGACACCTGACACCAGTCCTCTCGACAACCCAGGACAGCTCGCCATTTCTCAGTGGAAGCCCTGAGATCCAATGGAGTGACTGGTCCATGGCCATGTGGATGACTGCCAGGCCCTGGTTCTTCCCATCCCGTGGTCCCCTGTATTCGCACCTGGCTCTGCCCCCCTGCTAGTCCGGTGGTCTTGGGGAACCCAGACAGCTTTCCTGAGCCTCAACGGAACATGCCCTTGCAGGGCCTGGCACGTGGCAAAGACCTGATGTTGTTGTCCTCTCACACCTTCGGATGGAGGGCCTGTTCACACCACGGGGGTCCCACCAAGCCCAACCTCAGTATGGTCTTGCCCTGGTGCTCACCAAGTGGCCTGAGCAGTAAGTGACCCTGGCCGCGGCCCCCAGGGGCAGCAGGGGGCGGCCCCCCAAGAAGCAGAGATGGGGCAGCCGCCTCAGGAGCTGGAGGGAGGCGTTCAGGACGAGCTCGCTGGTGAAGGAGGTGGTAAAGAGGCTCCATTCAGGCGGGAAGGAGATGGTGAAGAGCTGTCCCCAGATGTGCAGGGAGCAGCTCAGGGCCCGGCAGGGAGGCACCCCGGGCCCATCTTCACAGATGCAGCTGAGCGGGGCCACATCAAATGGGGGTGCTGCAGGAGAGAGGAAGCTGCCTGGCCCAGCCCTGCTGAGCCCTCTGGGTCTTCCTGCCTGGGACAGGGGGCCCCAGTTCATTCCCCTTTGGTGAGTGGGCATGAGGGCTGGCCTGGAAGCCCAGGGAGAGAGGGGGCAGCCTGAGTTCAAATCCAACTCCTCCCAGCTTGCAGGGTGGTGGACTGCAAGTTGCCTCTCCAATCTAGGCCTCACTCCTGGGGGAAGACCGGCGTTCAGTGCCCTAGCCTCACCCCATGACAGGCTTTCACCAATGGTGGCATGAACCCTAACAGGCAAAGCAGGTACGAGCACAGCCTCTGTGGCCTCTATGAACAGCAAGCGCCCAAGGCCAGCCTCACCATCCTTCTCCACCATGTGCCTCACTCCTAAGTAGCCCCCCGGAGGCCTTAGGGACCCCAGGCCCCAGGAAGGGCACAGCTGCAGGGACCTGGGGTCCTGATAACAGTGTCCAGTCCCCACCCTCCACACCTAGGCAGCCCCAAGCAGGGCTCTGTTTGCCTTTGGCCCAGGCCACAGAGAATTCAGTCACAAGCGGGACACCCCTTATTTCTCTCCACCCTAATCACGAGCCCCACCCCCACCTCTGGTTCCCAGCAGCCTTTAGATCAGTGGCCCAACTTGGAGAAGGGGGCGGGCACCCCACAGTAGCCCACAGACAGGGCGGAGAACGACAGAGAGGCTCTGGCTGGAGCCTGAGCCAGCGCCTATCTTGTTTCTCACAGAAGGGATAAATATTTCCATCCATGACCAGAAACCTCCAGAGCTCCTGCAGCTCCGCCAGCCTGCGGGAGGCCCCAGGGTAAAAGGGACCAGCTAATTAGTGACCATTTCCTTGAGATATTGAGCAGAAGCTTGGGGTCAGAATACCAGGACCAGATTCTATGGCCTTGGCAGAAGCCCGGAGCTAATTAGCAGGAATGATGGCAGCCCCTTGGACCTCCTCCCAGCAGAGCCCGGACTCCAGGAGGACATGCCCCGCAGGCTCTGGGGAGCACCCCCTGCTAAGAAGACTCTAGGACACGTACCTTTTAGGGTAGCTTCAGGGCCAAAATAAGAAGTCACTTCCTCCGGGTCCAAAGCCTGAAGAAATTGCTGCAAGACCAAAAGGACAAGAGAAGAGGGAGAGGAAGAGGGAGTGAGAGAGGCAAGGCAAGCAGACGAGAGAAGCAAGGAATTGACATGGCGGTTGCGGGGACACATTGAGAAGCCCATTCCTTCAGCAGCAAGCACACTTCATGCCCGGAACCCCAAGCTCCGATCTTCCCCCCCACCCCAGTGCACACCCCAAAGCTGAAAGAACACCCCCACTCTGCCCAAAGGCTGCTTAGGCAGCCCCCTCCCTCCCCAGGGCACCCTCCTTCAGCACCCAGAAGAGCCCCAGGGCTCCTGCAGACTCACCCACCTGCTGGAAATCGGAGAGTCCCCAGCAGCCCAGGAGAAAGAAGACAGATGTGAGAATTGCCCCCACACCTCTCCCCCAGGGGCGAGGCTCCCTCATCTTCAGGAAAGCCAGCCTGGAGCAGAGGGAGAGAGCCTTTTGACTGGAAATCTGGCTGGGGTGGATTGTGGTAGACCCCACGGGGCAGTGGGCGGGGAGAGGAAGCTGTGTTTACTCTTGGGAGCTTCCTCCCAGGGCAGGGGCCAAAGAGTGGGCAGCCTGCAAGCTCTTGTACTCCTTGGTCCAGAGCACCAGATCCTACCCCCACCCCCTACCCCAACGACGGGGCTGGGCCAGGCAGCACGGCCAGGAGGTGACGGCGCTGGACCAGGGATCTTGCAGAAGTGAATTCAGGTGTGATTCTGTAACTGGGGCTGGGTTACTGTCCCCTGACTGAGAGGCTGTACATTCCAGCCTCTGACAAACTGCTCTTCCACTGACACTCCCTGATCCGTCCTGCATTCCAGTACTTATTCCCTTTGTCGATCTAAAATTGTCAGGAGGCCACAATTACACAAGCACCTTTATCTGGGATCCAACAATTGCAATTCAGAGCACAGAGATTTGGATCACAATCCAAACAGTGCCCCACTAGGGAGCAAAAGTCGGGGGCATTCACAGCAAAAATAGGCCGGCTGTGTACACTGCTTACAGAGGATTTTTTATTGGTGTTGGCAACAGATGGGAAACCTTTATGTTATAAATCTCGACTAAGGCCCTCAGTGAGCAGTCTTCCACCCACCGTAGGATGGTTGTAAGTGGTCAGGATAGGTCCCTGTAGGCCCCTGCAGCATTTGCACTTTGGCCCAGTCCAAAAGTTCACAGTTCCACTGGTGAGAATGGGGAAGATGTGCATGTGGCCCATCTCCTTCATGGACTCCCAGTTCCGTTTATTTATTTTTTAAAAAGACTTTATTTATTTATTCATGAGAGAGGCAGAGACACAGGCAGAGTTGCAGGGAGCCTGATGTGGGACTTGACCCCAGGACTCCAGGATCATGCTCTGGGCCGAAGGCAGGCGCTAAACCGCTGAGCCACCCAGGGATCCCCTCCTGGCTCCATTTAAAAACCCCTCGACGTAAGTACTGTGTTTCATTTCACCCTTCTCACCCAGTGCAGATTCTGGGTCCCCCTGTATACTTACGTCCTACAAACACTCCTCTGTCTTACTTCCTCCCTCTCAGCTACTATTCTGTGTCTGCCCCCCTGAAAGACAGTCACAGAACCAGGTGAGGTGGCACCATGCTCCCCTCAGCATCACAGATCACCTGGCAGCCCATTTCACTTTCTGGAAGGTTCTTGGTCACACTCTTCATGCTCCCTTACACCTCCAGGACACCCCCTCACCCAAAACCCAGCTGGCAGCTGGCAGCTGGCAGCTGGCAGGGCGATTGTGCAGGTTTCCTGCCTCCTTGTCCTCTGTTAGCTGGGGGCGGGGGCTGCAGGATTCCATCCTGGGCCAGTCTGCTTTCCCTTCTCAGGCCAGATCTTCATGATTGCCTGAGGCTCTCCCTGCCCATCTTGCACTTCTTCCTTCACCTTTCCCAGGTACAGCATCCCAATTTATGCCATGCGTTCCTGACCATCTCTGTGACTGCTCCTTGGAGACCCAGATGGACACATTGCCCTAATCCAAGCTCATCACCGGGGCCCTGGGCATGGGTCATTGGCTCCTGCCTGGCCTCCCTGCATGCATGCTTGTTCTCTTTCTCTCTCTCACACGCCCTCCCCATCCCACTTCTCACAGTGCCAGTGTTCTCTAAAGAACTCAAGTCAGACTGCATCACCCCCCAGCTCTAAAGTAGTCGATGGCATCCCCTTGCCCTTAAGATGTCCAAACACTTCCCGGCAGCCTGGGAAGCTCTGTAATCAGATTAGACTGGCCCCTGCTGTCGCTCTGCCTGCAGAGCTAAGCCTGCCCCCTTGGCACACGGAGACAGCCACACTGGCTTCCTCTTCCTCAGGTACCTCAAGGGTCTTGCTGTCTTCCCTCTGCGTCCTGGTTTCCTGTCCAAGTGTGCACGCACGTGTCACTTGCTCATTCAGAAATAAAAATCAGTGCGCCCAATTAAATTTCAATTTGGGGGTCACCTGGGTGCCTCAGGGGTTGAGCGTTCGTCCTCCCTTTGGCCCAGAGCGTGATCCTGGAGACCCGGGATCGAGTCCCACGTCGGGCTCCCTGCCTGGAGCCTGCTTCTCCCTCTGCCTGTGTCTCTGCCTCTCTCTGTGTGTCTCTCACGAATAAATAAGTACAACCTTTAAAAATTCTTTAGATTTCGCATAAACACCGAACACTGTCGGCATTCGTGTTAGTATGTCCCAAACGTTGTAACTACTGAATGGGGCACATTCACACTGAAAACTGTTCTTCCCCCCGCCTCCCGCAGGTCGTCTGCCCGCCCCGGCCCTGCCTCAACCTCCCGCCCCCATCCGGGCCCCCCGCAGCCTCGTCCCCTTCCCTGCAGGGCAGCTCCTGGTACCCGGGGCCTCCGGCGTCCCCCCTCCGCGAGAGCCCCCACCCCCGCACGCACACGCAGCCGGAGGCTCTCGGAAGCCGAGGCTCCTCCGCGGGATGAACCAGGCCCCGCGGGGCCAAGCTGGGGGTGCGGGGGATTCACCGTCCCCGCGGCGCCGCAAGGTCATACACAGCGTCGTTACGATGCATCCTCGGTGCTCTCGGCGGGGGCTCAGCGGCCTCGGCAGCCCCGTGTCTCAGTTTACCCTCTGAGGTAGGCCCCGCCCCGGCCCCCGCCCCCCGCCCCCGCCCCCGCCCCCGGCCCCGCCCAGCCCACCAGCGCCCTCTCGCGGCCGTCTGCCTTCCCCGCGCTCGGCCAGCCCAGTCGCGGTGCTACACTCACGGCGGCCCCCCAGTTCCTTTCCGGCGCCCTCGTTTCTCATCCCCGCCCCGGCTCTCGGTAAGATCCTCGGCCACCCCGAGCCCTGCCCTCGGTCGTGGAGCCTGGACGCCGCTCGCTGGGGCGGTGGGCCTTCTCCCAGGAGGGCGGAGAGGCCCTGCCCCGCCCCGGGCCCTGCGGAACCAGGGGCGGAGGCCGGGTTTCCAGCGGGCCGGGGAGAGATGAGCGCTTCCGGGGCCTGGGGCGCACGAGCCGCGGCGCGCGGGGTCGCTTCCGGGGTGCGGGAGGCCGGCGTCCGCGGCGTGCGGGGCGCCGGGGGCGTGGGCCTGCGCTCGGCGGGCAGAGCCCGGCTCCGGGCCCGGGCGGCGAGGCCCCGGGCCCCCCCCCCCGCCCCCGGCATGGCCAAGGCGCTGCCCTCCAGGCGCGCCCCGGGCGACCCCCAGGCTGAGCCGGGCCTCGGCCTGAAGCTGCCTCGGAAGAAAAGCAGGAAGAAGAGACTCTGGAAAAGCAAACGGCGAGAAGCGGGCGAGGGGGCGGGAGGCGGCCGCAGGGTCGTCGTGGGGCGGCCTCCGGAGGCGCCGGAGGACTTCTCCCGAAACTGGAGGGCGCTGCAGGAGGTGCGATTGGGCGGCCCCGCGGACGGAGGGCGCAGGCCGCTGGGCAGGGCAGGGGAGGGCAGGGCAGGGCAGGGGAGGGCGACGTGGGGCCCCGGCTGGCCGGGCGGGCGGGCGGGCGGGCGGATGGGATCCCCGCGGTTCCGAGGGTGCCCCCAGGCCCCCGCCCTCGCGCGGCGTGGACCCGGCGTGGACCCGCGGCCTGGCTCCTGCACGTGCCTGTTTCCCGCAAGCCCGCGCGTGCCACGGGCCCCGTTGCGGCCTCCCGCTTACAGGTGGAGCCCCTGCCCTGCAGGCCAGGGGAGCCTGCCGCCTCTGGGCCTCCAGGCCCAGCTCCCCCGTGGATGTTCCTTTCCGCCGGGTGCTGTTCCTTGTAGTTCAGTCATAAATTCGCGGGGCCGCCCTTGGAGTTAGCTGCTGGGGAAACTGAGGCCCGGAGCTTAAGGGATGGAATCGTCCCACGGCTAGTGAAGACGGGGCGCCGGGGTGCAGATTCACACTTCGGCGTCATGTGTGCCTTGCTGCTGGTGACCTGCAGAGCCTTCCACGGGTTCCTGGACTCTGTTCTACAGCCTCCGGGCTTCTGGAGCCTCCTAGCACGGCCGGTGTCTTGGGATGGGAGGCCCCGACCGCCTGCCCCGGGGGACAGGACTAATGAGCTTCCTTCAGGAAACCCCCCCGGGTTCTGTGCAATTTCTTGGGGTGTGACTCTGCCTTTCTCTTTCCCCGGAGAAAGTAAAGCAAGATTGAATGAGGGGGAAGGATGGTGGTTATGGGGGAAACATCGTATTTTCTCTACTTCCTATAAGAAAGTAAATCCTGCGTTCCTAAGCGTGTGTAGAAGTGAGTAGGCACCCAGGTCATCGTGCCCCAGCGCACTGCCACGTGACCAGCGTCGCTGTGGTTGAGAACAGCCGTGCTGGGGACAGGAGCACAGCGGGGAGGTTGGGCTGGAAGAACCCCGAGAGCCCTCCTTGCACAACAGCAGCAGCAGTAAGGCCGCTGGCCGCTCGTCAGCCTCCCCCAGTTTGACAGACACTCTCTGTGGAACATACGCCCCTTCCCCCTCCTGAGACCCCATTGGCGAGAGCATACCAAGAGATCTTGGTAAGGAAGTGGTTTCCATACTGCAGCTGGTTGGCCCAGTCTGTGGGAGAAGTAACTCTAACTGTAAACAGGTTGCTTATCGTCCCCTTGGGCTCAGACTGAAGTCTCTGTCCCTTCAATAGGTACTTAAGATGCAGACACAGTTTGAAGTGTAGGAACGAGGAAGCAGATCTCAAATCATGCACTGGAGTCAGATAAGCCAGGAAACTTTCACCGTGTGTGACTTCAGATGGGAGTGGTAAGGGGCTTTTCCCAGACCCTTTGAAACTGCATCTCAGTGATGGTGGAAGCAGCCATACGTAGATGTGACTGATGCGTACGAGTGTATGTACACACGTAAGGCTTTTCAATCTCTTGTGTGTGATTTCCAAATCTAAACGTGTCCTGTATTTTATTTTGGGTCCTATTAGCTCCTGAAACAAAAAACACAAGCCCCGGAAAAGCCTCTCGTCTCTCAGACAGATTCCAAAAAGCAGCCCGGGATTACCCAACAAAAGAGAAAAGCGGTCCTAGATAAAGCACAGAGAAGTAAGGTGGAGATGAAGACCACAGACCCAGGGGCCACTGGCAGTGACTCTCTTGCTTCAGGATCTCCAGGGAAAAGGAAGGTGCCAGCACCTCCCACAAAGGCCAGCAGAGCAGAGCACAGTGAGAAAGGAGCCAAGAAAAGGACAAACGGTGACATTTCTCCAAGAGGAGGAGACATCAAGTGTGGAAAGTGGAAATGGAAAGCTAAGGAGGTGCCTGTGGCCTTGACCCCGGCCCTGCCCACCAAGTAAGTACAGGTGGCGTCTGCCTGGGCCAAACTCTGGTGACCCAGCTGGTCACCTCCACCCCCCTGTGCTGCAGGGGGGGCCTGTGTCCTCAGGGAGGCCTAGGCTGGTGGCTCCTGCACTCCCTCCATCACCTTACCCCACTGCTATTTCTTGGCTTATCCCTCGTTTCCCCTAGGATAAAGCCATAGTGAGGGAAGGCCCTGCTTGATAACTGTTGAATCTCCAGGGCCTAGAGCAGCTTGGCCCTTAGTAGGCCTCCAGTAAAGATATGTGGGATGAATGAATGCCACAGCCAGAAAGACCTGAGTTTCAAACCAATTTCTGCATCTTGCAAGTCAGATGCTCTGGTGTAAGCTCCTGACATCCCATGACCTCAGTATGGTCATCTGTGATACTGGGGGTGGGGAGCGGGTATGAGATGCGATGTGTTGGCTCAGCACCTGGTGGTTACTCAGTAGACCCTGTGTGGATCACTCATGTGGGGCAGGCAGACCAAGAGCCAGTGGCTGCCTCTGCGTGGCTTGGCTGGAAGTGGCATGGTCGTAAGTCAGGCTGGTGGCGAGTCGCCTGGGTTGCTGAAGGTTCCAGGAAAGAGGGGTTTGAGTGCCGGCCATGTGTCACTGTGCCAGGGACACCTTCTGGAAATGGAGCAGGTGCGACAGGGCCCTCCCCCTTGACGCTGACAGTCAAGCAGGAGAGACCACCAAACTGAAATTACTCCAGTGATTCTGTAAATGTGGTCAGGATAAACTAAAGGAGGGAGAAGCTTCTGGGAGCAAAAGGCCAGAGCAACGTGGCCAGAGGTGGGGTCAGGAAGAGATTTCTAATAAGGAAAAGGCATTTAGCTGAGCCCGAGAGACCGAGTTTCCCAGGTGGGAATGGTCACCCTTGCGTGTGCATCTAGCCTTGAGGCCTCAATGTGACGACACTAGAGGTTGCTGGTGGGCGAAGTGGGGGGAGCTGGGCAGGGATGTCTGGGTTTCCATTTCCTACTCCTTGGAAATGTTCCTTACTAAGTGTTCCATGATGAACCTACTACTTCCTTGACATGGGGGAAAAAAAAGTTAGTACTCATTATACCTGGGTTGTATGTTTGTAATTTACGTCCTTTTTGTTTACTTGTAGTTCCTAATTTCTGGATAACGAGCTCATCCTGTAACTAAAAAGAAAAGCAGGGTGCCATGCTGGGCAAACAGCAGGAGTAGCTGGGCCGTTGGGTGCCGACCCCTCCCCCCCCCAGCTGTACCAGCACCTCCACTGACGAGCGTGCCTGGCCTGTTCTCTGCATTTTATTTATTTATTTATTTTTAAAAGATTTTATTAGTTTATTCATGAGAGGCACAGAAAGAGGCAGAGACATAGGCAAAGGGAGAAGCAGGCTCCATTGCAGGGAGCCTGATGTGGGACTTGATCCCAGGACTCCAGGATCATGCCCTGAGCCGAAGGCAGACGCTTAACCACTGAGCCACCCAGACGTCCCTGTTCTCTGCCTTTTAGAGAAGACATCTGGTTTGATGATGTTGACCCCGCGGATATCGAAGCAGCCATGGGCCCAGAAGCAGCCAGGATAGCAAGACAGCAGCTGGGGCAGAGTGAGAGCAGCATCACACTGGTGAAGGAGCAGGCCTTCAGCGGGTATGCACACAGGGCCGGGGCCCCCGGCAGCACTGAGCCCAAAAGGGCAAGGGTTTGGGGAAGGAGCTCTGTCCTCCCCGACTTGAATCAGGCAGGCGCCACCCTGTCCTTCGAGGAGTGTTGAGCACAGAGAGCTGGTCCCTCGAGCAGTGGTGAGGGGTGGAGAACTTTAGGTGCCAATTGCTGGGTCCTGCCGTGTTGGTTAAACTGGAACCTTTGGTTCCTTTCAGCCTGACGAGAGCCTTAGCCATGGACTGTGAGATGGTGGGCGCAGGCCCCAAGGGGGAAGAGAGCGTCGCTGCCCGCGTGTCTATTGTGAACCAATATGGGAAGTGTGTTTATGACAAGTACGTCAAGCCCACCCAGCCGGTGACGGACTACAGGACGGCGGTCAGCGGGATCCGGCCAGAAAACCTCAAGCAGGGTGGGTCCTCCCAGCTCATGAGCACGGAGGAGAAGCAATGCCTGAGTCCCTTCTCCCTTTTTTTTTTTTTTAAGATTTTATTTATTTATTCATGAGAGAGAGAGAGAGGCAGAGACACAGGCAGAGGGAGGGGCAGGCTCCATGCAGGGAGCCCAACGTGGGACTCAATCCTGGGTCTCCAGGATCACACCCTGGGCCGATGGCAGGCGCTAAACCACTGGGCCACCCGGGCTGCCCTCCCTTCTCCCTTTTTATTTTGTTAAGTAGCCTCTTTACTTAGCGTGATGCTTAAACTCACGAACCCAAGATCGAGTTGCACGCTCCAGCGACCAAGCCAGCCAGGTACCCCCTCTTTTTCTCTATGTCCCCTTTCTGTTGGGAGCATTCGCCACCGCAAGAGTCCCGAAGGGTGACCCATTTTCAGATGGCTCTTGGGCACATTTGTGTCCCTGCCTCTGTGTCACCCAGAGAGTATATGCTGGTGTGGGGGGCAGGAGAGCAGGTAGACCCTACAGGGTCTCGTCTTTGTGAGGATTTTCGGAAGCCATGCAAAGGTCTGAGCAGTGAGAGGCCCAGCTCAGCTTCTAACAGGTTCCTTCTGGCTGTGGTGTCGAAAATAGACTCCTAGGTAGGCCCATGAGGCTGGAAATAGGAAGAGGAGGCATGTGCTAGTGGTGACCTGGTGGGGGGCGGCCCAAACCCAGATGTACCCTGAAGGCAGAGTCTGTAGGTTTTCTGATGGATTGGATGTGGGGGAGGAGGAACAGAAAGGCCCCCAGGGTGACTCCGAGATTAGTGACCTGGAGAGGTCCTGGAAGCTTTCAGGATTGAGGTCACTGTCCCTTCTGCCCCATGCAGTCTCCTTTCTGCAGCTCTCAGGTCCCCTCTGTACATCCAACCAACAAGTGGTGCTGCAGCCTGACCAGCCCCTCAGCTCCAGGCCCTGACAGGTCCTGCTCAAGGTGGGCTGCCCCTGATCTCATCTCCTCTGTTGGGGACAGGTGGGGTCACGGGGTGACCCGACCCTTCCCTTGGCAGGAGGGGGTGGGGTGACCCCAAGGGCATCTGCTAGGAGAGCAGGCACACTGCTCCCTGTGGGGCTGAGTGTCTGGAGCAGCACTCCACCATCCCTGGTGAAGGACCATTTTTGTTTTTATTTCCAGTTGGAAAGCTTGAAATCCCAGCCTGATTCTTACAAGATTCAACAGTTAAAATTATTGTTGGGTGGCTCTGAGTGCTTCTGAAAGCCCACCCTCGTCCACGTTGCTAAAAACCACTTCTTCGTTTTGCTTGTCAGGAGAAAAATTCGAAGTCGTTCAGAAGGAGGTGGCAGACATGCTGAAGGGCCGCATTCTGGTCGGACATGCGCTGCATAACGACCTGAAGGTACTGCTGCCTGCTGCATGCACGCCTCATGCCGTGGAGGGGCTTGTAGGCCATAGTCACAGTACCAGGTGCAACTTAGCGAGTTTTTTCCCCTGTCCTGGGAGTAGTGCTAGGCATTTTTCAGTTCTTTAAAAGGCGTCTGAGGCCTTCATGCTCCTGTTGTAGGCGCTAGAAGCGAGGTGCTGTGGGTTATGCGACATGCCCACTGCTCAAGCACATTACATGGAGAGGAGCCAGGCTGCTGCCTCTGCAGCTTCCACCCAACTGGCCAGGCCTGGGACTCCACAGAGGTCAGAGCGCCGGCTGGGGCTCCTCTTGTCTCCCCAGAAGGGGCCACTTCTGGTGCCCCAGAGGCTGTGACGTTCAGCCTCTGCTCCTTGAGGGTCTCTGCTATGGGCGGAACTGAGCCACCTTAGATGAAAGCAGCAGGGCAGGCAGAGTGGGAGGCTGCCCTTTCTGGGCATGGCGTTTCCATGGAACCCTGGAGTTCTCAGACATTTCAGGCACCCTGGAATGTCAGCCTGTGTTGCCTTTTGAAATTTTGAAGTATTGAAACTGCCGGCAGGTCCTCTACCCACTGCAATGCGGTGCTACAGACCCTCAGTGGCCACCTCCCTACTGGTCCTGCAGCCCCTTTGCGCCTGCCCCATCTCTGGTGATGTGGGCGCACTTGTGTCCAGCCCTCTCCTGAGGTCCTAGGATGAGCTGCTACAATCTGTTATCCCCCCCGACGTCCTGCCTGTGTGACACCCGCTGACAATGCAAGAACGCTGTGCTCACTGGTCAAGTGGTGGCTGCTGGTCTCCTGTTTCCCTGGCTTTGAGACTGAGGCTTTATTAATGGGGTTCTTAGGTTTGGGAATGGTCTTCGGACAGCGTGATAGCTTTCTATCACAAGTCCGAGTTCATATCAGTCCCCTTTTACCTGAGTGTGTTTTGCATCAGGGTCCCTTGAGAGGCACCTTGAGAGGAGGGAGCCCCGCCACTGCGCTCAAACAACTGTGACCATCCTTCTTCTCTTCTTCCAGGTACTGTTTCTTGATCACCCAAAAAAGAAGATTCGGGACACACAGAAATACAAACCTTTCAAGAGTCAAGTGAAGGTACTTACAATGAGTGGGGCTCTATACGTCACAGTTGTTCTCCTGGTTTGTGTAATGGTTCTGGTTTTGGTTTGGGGTTGTCTTAAGTTTTGAAACTCAAAGGTTAAAAGGGAAAAAAGTATAGAGTTCTGCTGAGGGCTGCCCCCAGAGGTCCATGTGAGCAGGAGCAGATTCTTCCAGCCCCGATCTCTGCAAGAAGACCCCCACCATTTCAGGGGAGCTGCCGCCCTCAGATCTGCTGTAGCAGGAGGCCTGAGGCTAGAAGAGAGATGCAGACTCCGCCTGGGTCCTCCTCTCCGGGCTGACTGTGGGTGTCACCAGCCCTGGAGGCCACGGCACCTCTGGTGAAGGCCTCAGTAGGTGACTCCCCTAACTCCCCGCCCAGTGCAGTGCCCAGCAGCCCTAGGGCAGAGCCCGCAAAGGCCTGCACCCCAGTGTGGCTGTGTGCTTTCCTCTCTCCCCTGGCAGAGTGGGCGGCCATCTCTGAAGCTGCTTGCAGAGAGAATCCTGGGGATAAAGGTGCAGCAGGCAGAGCACTGTTCGGTAAGTGTGTCCTGGGGGGACTGTCCTCAGGATCAGGGGCCATCCCTGACCATACAACCAAGGTGCCCTGTCAGGGACCTGGATAACTTAGTTGTAGGAGGCCTCTGGTCCCTAAAAGTGAGATGGCACAGCAGGCTCACAGAGCGTTCCTAAATTCTGAATGTTTGTTTACGTTTAGCTAATTAACATTTAAACACAAAAAAGTACCATCATTGCAGCTTTTTGGAGAAAAAGTCCCCCACCTAGGTTGAAGGTCTTTTAGGGTGACATGGCCCCAGCTAGTCCCTGGGCCTCGTGACAGGCTGCAGTGTGGGGGCTAAGGAGTGCTGGTGCCAGGCTGCTGGCCCCTGGAACCCAGCCCCCACATCATGGCATCACACTCAGAGATGTCCTCCCGCCTACGTGTCCGTGTGTCTGTCCTTGCCCTTCCTTAGGTTCCTTTTTTCCCCCATAAGTGAGGCACCAGGGTCACCAAAGCCTGGCCAAGATCGAGTCCCTAAACTGCTGCCTGGCTTGGCTTTTTTGTGTGCGTGTCTGGTCCTCGGGCCTGGCAGTTGTGGGGTTAGGTGGTCTATAGCCGTGCGTGTCACCTGCTCAGACAGTCACAGTAGTGTTCTGTGTCCCCTAGATTCAGGATGCCCAGGCAGCAATGAGACTGTACATCCTGGTGAAGAAGGAGTGGGAGAGCACGGCACAGGACAAGCACCCCACAGCCCCCACTCCAGACAGCAGCAGTGTCTCCGTCCACAGGCGCTTGTGACCAAGCATGGGACAGCTTGGGTCTCCCCAGAGCAGCAGCTGTGTCAAAACACGTTCACTGTCCTGGTGGCAGGGCGTGTAGTCCGGGACTTGGGCTGGGCAGCATGGGCAGGAGCGTCTGTCCTGGGCACAGCCAGAGATGGCTGGTGGGGACTGATGGAGGGAGGTACCTGCTGCCACTGCAGTGTGGCAGCAGCCTTGCCAGGGACTTGCCTGGTCCCAGGGGTGGGAAGTACCCACTCCTGGGTTTGCAGCGCCTTCCTCGGAGGAGGCCCCTCTTCCCTCTGAGTCCGGTCACGTAAAGAACTCTGCTGGACTCCTGGACCTGGCCCTGTCTCGGAGTCGGCTATGGCTGCCTTTGGACTTAGGGAGATTTTCCAAGAGCGCCATCCCCTTCTCACCCCCGTGTCCCGCCCCCCCCCCCCCCCCCGCCCGTGTGTAGACCTACCAAGTTTAAACAGAAGGGCAGGGCCCACAGTGGCGGCAAGGCTCAGGCTGTCTAAGCTCAGTGACAGCAGTCGCTCCCAGAGGTGGTGCCTCTCCCCCTCTAAGATGGACGTGCCGATCCGACCCCCAGCCATTGGGCTGGAGCATCCCGTGGGTTTGACCCCAGGTGTGCTGGTCTTTCTGAGAACAATTGGGGGGCTACAAGTCGCACTTGGTGCATGAAACCCTGGGCCACCTGACCGCTGCACAACGAAGGCCCAAACCCACTGAGAACATTTAACATAAATGCAGGTTTTTACTGGAGGTGAAGTTTGTGGAGGTTACTGTTTCCCTCGTTTAGGATGGCCCCAAAGGCCCACTGTGTCCAGCTGCCTCCCTGAGCGGGCCAGCGCTAAGGCCTGTGTGGCGTCTGCCAATGCAAGCCCGCAGAGCACCACCAACCTGTTCTGTCCCTGGGACACTTCCCCACCAGGCTCCAGCCTTGGGCCTCATCCCCAAGAAAAGTGAAGTGACGTTGCCCCCCCAACCCTAAGGAAAACCATTCACTGGGCAGCTCCAGGGATGTACAAGGAAAGAAAGGACAGGAGAGAAGGGGCAGGGGGTGGGAGGCTTCGGGGGGCCTGCCGCCTCACAGCAGGCCTGACTCTCCTCCCGCGGAGCCTGGTGGCGTGTTGACCTCTAGGCTGAGGAGCACCGTCTCTGCATATGAAACCAGCTCCTGGGAAGAGACAACCAGCAGACACTGTTGCTGTGGACACTCTGGGGGCCTAGCAGTAGGTATTTTTGTGATGATCTGCTTTTCAGTGGAGAGGTCTGAAAGTCTCCACCCTTTAGGTTTGGGGCATTTGGGCAGAGTCAGAGACATGGACTCACTACTAGGGAAGGAGTCATCAAAAACCACATATACAGATTTGAGTCTGTGCTACACAAAATCTCTCATTCTGAGCCACTGGATTCAGTGCCCCTGGGATCTGGCTGAGGAGCAGGTGGGAGCCCTGGCTTGTGTGTCCCTGCTGATACTCACCAGGCTGGAGGTAAAGCGCTCCTTGATCTCCTGGACCAGAGGCTGGATCCCATTGGACACCAGCTCAGGCAGGATCTCCTCTGTGGGCAGAGCAGAGGGTCCTTAGGTCAGGGCACAGCCAACCTGATACCCCCAACCCCGGCTGGGGCACTTTGAGGAAGCCAGTGTGACAAGGCTGGGCCCATCCGGCTCAGGCTCGGTGTGCCCCACGCTCTGTCTCGGGGCTCAGGAGCGGGTGGGCGCGGTGCCTGGCGCCTAGTGAATTCTCTTGACAGGATGTTGCAGTTTGGTTAGAGCTGGGAGGGGTGGTGGGGAGAGGGGGTTCTCACTGTAGGAAGCCAGGTGGGCCAGCAGCATGCACACATTCTCTACCACCTCGGGGTCATCCTTGTGGAGCTCATAGGTCTCCTTGATGAGGTTGAGGCCGCTACTGCCCTCTGCTGCTACCACGTGCAGGGCTGCCAGCTCTGGAAGGAAGTGGGGTGACGGTGGTAGCGAGTTTTCAGGGTCATTGAGAAAACCCAACACGCTTAGGATAGCAGGGACCTCAGCCACTGGCAGGGGAGGCCACAGTTCCTGTCCCCTAGGGACATCTGAGGCCGGCATGTCCCCACCTCCCTCTCCCAGCAAAAGGCTCCTGCCAGAGGGGTGGTCCCAGCCCATGGGCACAAGAAATGCTGGGACGCATTGCAGAGAGTGCCTAGAGAGTGGGTGCCAGGGGAGCCCCAAAGCTGCACGTACACCCTGTTAGGGTTAGACCAACTCCTGAGGGCTGGAAGCCTGGGGATCTGATGCTCAAGTGGGACGACTTGAGTGTCCCAGCCAATAGGGGGCAAAGCCCATTCTTTCTCAGACTGGTCCCAGGCTTGACCACCCCACCTCCATTGCTAAGCCAGGTTCCTTTTGCCCTCAGGACCTCAGTAGCTGATACACACCTGCATTGGTAGGACCTCAGGCTGGGGAATGGGTCTGGAGCCCTGGGTGTCTAACCAGGAAGGAAGACCCTGCCCGAGTTCCTTGGAACCTCCCTCCCAAGAGTCAGGGTGGCTGTGCTCCCTTCCTAGGGCCCAGACAGCTTCAGGTTGAGAAGTGGACAGAGGCCTGGCTGGCCCTTGGCCCCCAGCCTGGCCTAGCCCACCCTGCACACCTGTCCTGGACCTTGGGGGGACTGAAGCACCCTTCACACACTAGCTGGCAACCCTGCCCAGTGCCCAGGCCCCAAATGTCTCTGAGGGGCTGTGGTGCCATGAAGCAGTCACAGTGCCAGGCACTGTGCACCGAGTAACCAGCTGTTCTGTTAAGGAGGTGGGACCTGTCTCTTGGGGTGTTTGATAAGCTAAGCTTACAGGATTACCTGCGCAGACCAAATATATATTCATGAACAGGGAAAGACTATCAGAGCATTAAGAAAAAAGTATATGACGGGTCTCCATGGCAACTTCTGGATGAAGGGACTACAGATTTCTTTTTCTTGGTTTTTCACATGTGTGTTTGCTTTGGGGTTGGTTGGACATGCTTTGTCAAGCTCTGCCCCAAGCTCCTAGTGGTACCCCGTCCACAACCAGGCTCACCCGACATCTTTGCGAGTCTGGCCAGTCCCCGGTAGGCGTTGTTTACCAATGGGACTCTGTCCTGGCACAGCTGGATGCTTTGCAGGAACAGTGCCACCACGTCTTCAAACTGGTGCTCCTCTATGCAACCTGCAGGGGGCCTCGTTTAGGCGTCACGGCCTTGTGGGTGGGCCCCGCTTCTCAGCCCAGCTGCTCACCTAGCAGGGACAGCAGCCAGAAGACTGCACAGCCTGCTTCCGCCATCTCCACGTCCTTGGGGTAGGTGGCCAGCATCTTGGCAACAAGGGCTGGGGCTTTCTCCAAAGGGGTCTTGTCCACAATGATAGCTGGAACCAGGACAGGAGAGAGGAGGGGACACCTAGCTGCCAAGTGCCTGCTGTATACATGGCCCCACACCCCTCCTTCTCCCACCAAGAACAAGAGTCAAAGTTGGTGGGGGAGGGGAAAGACTACTGGGCCGAAGAGTCTTGGAGAACTGTCCCCACGGGGTGTGGGCAGCACTCTCTGGTTTCCTAGGCTCTTGGTGGCTGGAGCTCCCTTTCCCAGGGGAAATGCTCAGCTGGCTGCTGGGGAGACGGGGCCTGGAGGGGAGGATGCAGCACAGCCTGGGAGGGATGCTAATGCCCAGCTGCCTTCAGAGACCAGGGGCTGCCCAGGCCACCCCAGGATGGGTGGCAGTAGAGGGACCCCCAGGGCAGGAGACCCTGCTCCACTAGTTGCAGCCCACCCTCCAGCCCTCCTCCCCTCCTTGCTGTTCGTCTGCTTCCAGGCTCGCAGAAGAGCCTTTTGTGGGCCCTGGTCCTGAAGCATGGAAGGGGCAGCCGTGGAGGCCCTGAAGTCTCAGGGGTGATGAGGGAATGGCGAGGACAGCAGCCCCAGGCAGGAGAGCAGGAGGAGGGCCCCTCACCATCCACCAGCAGGGCCCAGAGCAGGCTCAGGCCATTGATGCACATGTCCCTATTCGTGGGGAAGGTGCTCAGGTGCTCCAGGATATGCTCAAACAGCCCAGCCTTCTGCAGCTTCTCTGAGGCTGATTCTGTGGGCGAGCCCTGCAATTAGGCTCATGGAGAACCCCCTCCTCCAGGAAGCCTTCCCTGTGCATCACCTCCCTCTGTTGTCCTTGCTCACAGCAGGCCCGTGCAGCCTGTGTGTCTGGTGTCCACTCTGGGCTCATACCCAGTGTGGGGCCCCAAAGCCAAACAATGTGGTCCGTCCCTGGGGTCACCAGTCCCAGTATTGCCCATTCCTCCATGGGGCTGGGGCCACACACAGCAGGCCTGGGCCCCCTGCCTGATGGCTCTCATTTATACCTGCTGCTCTAACATGCCAGTTCATTGTGCCCCTGCTTAGCTCCCAGAGTGGGCTCCTGTCAGGTGTGGGGAGGACCAGAGTGCTGGTGTCTCCCTGGCCACAGGCCTCCAGGTGAGTGTCCCTGGGCCCGAGGAGCTGGGTGGGAGCAATGTAAGGGGTGTACGACCCACTGCCTGCCAGGCCAGTGGCCTCAGGAGCCCCAGTGCTCTGAGAAGTGGAGATGAACAAGGCGGGAGATGGCAGTGTGAAGCCCACACTGGTCCCTGGCACCTGGTTGATGTCTGCACATTTGTGGAGAACAATTGACTGTCACATGGAAGCTTTCCATCAAAAGAAAAAAAAGAGCAAGCATGTGGAACAGACCCACCAAAGGCAGTGCACCTGTGCCATCTGGGGAGCAGGCACAGTCCCCCCACTGTGCCCTAGCCCTGGCTGAGTGGGGATGGCCAGGCGCACCCACCCTGGCTGGAGATGATGGTGAGCAGGCTGTAGACCATGACAAGGAGCGGCTCTGAATTGGGGTGGCTCTGCGTGATGCTCAGAAGGACGGAGATGACGGAGCTGTTGCTCAGCACCTCGGCTGCCGGGTCCTGTGCCAGTGCTGCTGGGGCCAAGGGAAGGTTACCTCGCAAACTTGGGGATCATGGGGCAGGTAACCTGTAGGTGTGCTCCCTCCCTGGTGGGGGGGGCAGGGCCCCCACTTGGCACAGAGGAAGCCAAGGTCAGCCTTGTTCTGGAGCAGGTCCCTGGAAGGGCTTGCTGTGTGACAGGGTGAAGGACAGAAGGGGCAGGCATCTACCCAGCCCACACAGTTGGTGAGTAAGTGGCACTATGCAGCTGGGTTGGGAACAGTATGCAGGGTCAACACGCAGCTCAGCACCCACCTTGACCCAGGCTGCGCAGCAGCAGGGAGCAGGCATACAGCTGTATGTCGAGGATCCTCTCGTGCTGCTTCATGATGGCGACCAGCACCTCCACCACCTCCATGGGCCACGGCAGGCCTGCCAGGGCGGGGTACCAAGGTGAGCCTTGGCCTAGGGAGTGGGGTGGGCAGGAAGGGACAGACCAGGCCAGGGAATCTGACAGTGCCGGGCATCTCCAGGGCATCGCACACGGGCCCCCCCAGACGGATGAGTAGGTGAGGAAAGAACATGCTCGATGAGCACTCACTATATGTCTGCCATGGGCATCTTCCAGCAGCTCTCTCAGGTGGAGCTTCCCATCACTCCCTTACAGGTGAACAAGCAGGGTCAGGAAGATTAAAGTACTTGCTCTGAACCCAGCCGGTCTGCCTCAAGCCCGTGGCCCTAACTGCCCTGAGTGTGGGCATCTGTGGGTCTCGCGGACCTTCCTCACCACTGCCCAGGGGAGGGGGTGGCAGGTGGCTGAGGTCCTGTCTCCTTCCCCACTGCTGCTTCGTTTGCCTCCCTTGGTCTCTGGACCCTGGAAGAGTGGGGAGCGCAAGCCGTCCATCACAGGCTTGCAGTGAGAACAGCCAGAACAAGGACACTGGCACCGGCAGGCCCAGCTCAGCTAACCCGTCCCCAAACGAGGCTGGCTGGGGCGGGCATGGTGGCTCTGGGGCACAATCTCCCAGCCTAGCTCCAGGAGGGGTCAAGGATGAAAAAGGGGGAAAGGCGAATGGCCAGTGTGGGCCTCTGCCATCTCCGATGCCCCAGCCACAGGAGTAGACCCTCCGTGGAAGGACAGATGGACAGATGGGTAGATAGATGGGGAGGATGGATGGATGGATGGGTAAATAGAATATTCAGGCTGGTGAGGCAAGTTGAATGGAGAGATTTTATGAAACCCTATTTTGGCAAAATTTAAAAGATAGTTTTCCTTGTTGGACAGTATGGGGAAGACAGCGTGTCCTGCACTCTTGATATGATAGGTGGGTAAGTTGGTCAGCAATCTGTGGTATCTGTGAAACTATGAAATGCTCACACCCTGAGCATCTAGGCACACATCCTATGCTCCGGGGTGGTCAGTTCAGTACCATTTATAATCCTGGACAACTGGCAATGACTCAGCCATCGATAGAAATGGTGGGAGACGTGGGATCCTTACTCAGAATCCGTGAAAACCATGTGAAGTCTGGGGGCCCGTGTGCGATGCCCTGGAGACTCCCAAACAAATGGTACCGAGCCACCCCATCCCCCCTTTGCTGGGTAAAAGGGGTGACGTGAATTCCAGGTTGCCCATTCAAGCAGGTGGGGACATAAGGCTCAAAGGTGTAGGAGAGGTTGGTGTGAAGGGCCATCCCGCAGGGTGTGCCCTGGAGCAGCTGGGGAAAGTGGGCGCACGGGGTCTCTACCTAGCTGATTCTCAGGCATTCTTAGGAGCCTCTTCATGGCTCTGAGCTGGACTTCAGGTCTGTTGGAGAAGCTCTGCATCACCTCTGCAGGAGACGGGACAGCATGGGAGGAGCCCCGGCTGGCTCAGGGACCCTCCTGAGGGCTGGGCACCTGGCGCATATCTGCACGCACCACACTGCTCACACATCTATGTGACAGGGAGTGAGTGGGGCTCTTACCACCCCCACTTTGCAGGCCTAGCAGCCGGTCCAGAGTCAAACCCAAGCCCATCTTGGGGCCTCACTCAAGGCTCAAGATGGCCAGAGCTCTCCCCTAAGCCCAGGTTCTTTCTGCTGCTCCTCTTGAGCCTCCCTGCAGGGCCTTTGGCCTTTGACTTATAACGACTCCAGCCCCCAAAACAAGCTGCAGTGTCCAGCTGTGCACATTGGAGATCCCTTCCTCGTCCCACTTAGAACCCCTGCTCCACTCATGTCTGGGCACCGTGCACCTCAGACCATCCCACAAATGGGCCCTATGGTGCTCCTTCCTCCACATGAGCAAATGATTCATTCAAGGCCACTCATTCATGGGTGATGAGCTTCCACTGGCCTAGCTGCCTGCCTGCCTCCAAAGCCCTGGCTAGGAGACCCAGCGAAACAGAAGCTAGAGCCTTGTGAGCATCCCCTCCCCAGATGTGGGGGCGGAGGTGGCAGATGCGGGGAGGGTCCCCTGTCATAGGTGGCCAGTCAGGGAGCCACAGACAGGAGGGGCGAGCAAGGAGCTGGTCTCGGGCCTGAAGGTGGCCTCTAGACCCACCCCAAGACCCAAGACCTGGGGAGTGGCGGTTGTGTGGTCATGGTGCTGGGAGCTGTGAGGAGCCCCCCGGCAGGGGCACTCGGTGGAGACATGGGGCTGTGTGGTGAACGAGTAGGGTGCCAGGTCACTGGCAGCACCCTCAGTGGAGTTCGGAAGCCTTCTGACCCCCTGGCCATATGTCAGGAGCAGTCCAGGGGCCTGGGTTTGGGGCACAAGCACTGCCCCCCGGAGCTGAGACCCTCCCCCTTTGGATCTCCGCCATTACCTAAAATGCTGGCGATGTTGCTGTCCAGCAGCAGGTCAGTGATGAAGGCGGGCACCACCTGCCGGTGCAGGGTCACAGCTATGCTGGAAGACTGGAAGTTGCTGATCACGAAGGTGATGTGGATCACCTCCCTGGAGAGGAGGGGACACGCTGCTGGGCTCTGCTGGGCCCCTGCCCCCTCGCAGGCAGGCTGACCAATGCAGGCCCATCACCCTCCTGTTTGGGCCCCCACCAGGCAGCCCTTCTCCCACCATTGCCAGCACGCCCAGCTGGCACCCCAGCAGCCCCACCTCCAGGAGGGGCCCTGGGCTTGCTCCCCAGGGCGGGGGTGGGGTGATGTTGGGCAGGGCTGAGGCGCCTGCACTTCCGCCCGTGTGTGCCCCTTCCTCCCTAAAATATATTGAAAAATCAGATTGTACAACTCTATTAGCATAAAGGTGAATCCAACCCAGGCTGGATTCACGGTCGTATGTTCCTTCTTTGCTTCTCATTTTAGGATAACATACAATTAGAACATCTTTCTGGCCCTCAGGGCCGTGTCTCCGTACCTGACGGAGAGCCATCGGTTCTGTTGGCTCCAGGGCTCAAAGGTGTGCGTGCCAGGTCACCCGCAGCTGCAGTTCGGGATACCCATGCTTGGAAAAGCCGGCAGTCCACGGATGAACTGTGTTTGTGGCGTTAAAATGCCAGGTGGCAGGTACTCCGCCGGAGAGATGGCCAGAGAGAACCGCTGGCCCCTGAGCTCACCTGATTGTTATTCGATCTGAGGGGTTGATCTGCAGCATCAAAGGCAAAAGTGACCCGAAGGTTTTCGCATCGGGGATCTTCTTCTCCTCCATGGTCTTCAGGACGCCCTGCAGGCCGTCCGGGTGGCTCCTGATGGACTTCCGTAGAAGCAGGCCCTCTGCTCTCTGCACAGACACAACACTGCCCCGTTGGCCCAACCCAATGGTGCCCCAGGGTGAGCCAGCAAGACGGCCAGAGGCAGGAGGCTGGGGCCAGGAGGCTGCACAGCCTCCTGGGGTCCCTGGGTAACAATAAACAGCCCCTGTGCAGTCAGGCCCACCGAGGTGCAATTTCCCGTGGCCTGCCTCCTGCCGGGGCCGCTGTGCACCTCAACTCACTTTCTCACCCATAAGGAGGTAGGGAGAGCACAGGGACAGACCCCCCCCCCACCCGTGAGGGCTAGCCCTGGGGCCTAAATGTTTCAACCATGGTCGTCATCACCATGCCAAGGGTGAGTGTGGGTGCCCCAGCAGTGGGGACAGGGGATGGGGTCCACACAGCAGCTGGGACAGGGCACAGGGGGTTGTCCACACAGCAGCTGGATGGGGCAGGGGGGGTCCGCACAGCAGCTGGATAGGGCAGGAGGTCTGCACAGCAGCTGGATGCGGTGGGGGGGTCTGCACAGCAGCTGGATGGAGCGGGGGTGGGGTGGGGTGGTCCTCACAGCCCCTTGGAGGCATAGAGCAAGGCAGGAGGATGCAGGTGGGGAGACTGAGCCCCTTTGAGGCAAAGTAGGCAGGGCTGGCTTTTGGGGATGTGGGGTGTGGAGTCCGGGTGCATGGGGGACAGAAGGCAGCTCACATCTATGAAGGAGCAGCTGGCCATGTCAAGAATGATGCAGCCTAGGGACCAGATATCAGCTTTCTGGCTGAAGGAGAAGTCAAGGGCTTCGGGGGCCATCCAGGACTTCTGGAAAGGGTCTGTAGGCAGAAGGTGTCGGATGGGTGAGCCCGTGCCCCTGGGGGGAGCGAGTGGCTCAGCAAGCGAGGGGAAGTAGGGAGCTGCTATCTATGGAGTCAAAGGAAGAGGACCAGGTCTTCAGCCAGTGAGGCTGGCCCGGGCGGGCACGCACTCTTCAATGGGCCCAGGAGGGCGCAGACGCGGTCCAGAGAGGCATGTGCCAGGGAGGCTGGAACCTCTACCCTCTTCAAACACCTTGCTCCTCCAAAGGCCAGAACCCAGAGGCAAGATGCCAGCTGCCCCATCCTAGTCCCTAAACCTGAACCCCAGACAATGAGCCACAAGGGCGGGGCCATCAGTGTTGGTGCCTGACAGACCTCAGGCAGCCCCCTCTCTCTGGACCTTCCTTCCCCAGCCAAATAGTACGGGGTGGATTCTAGGGACCCCTGTCCCCCGCACACATCTAGGAGGTCTGCCCACATACCCATCCACCCACCCATCCGTCCGTGCATCCATCCATCTACCCACCCATCCGTCCACCTGTCTGTCCATGCATCCATCCATCCACCCACCCATCTGTCCATGCATCTATCCATCTACCCACCCGTCCATCCACCTGTCTGTCCATCTGTGCATTCATCCATCCACCCACCCATCTGTCCACCTGTCTGTCCATCTGTGCATCCATCCATCCACCTGTCTGTCTGTCCATGCATCCATCCATCCATTTATTCTGTGCATGTGGGACTCTGAAATTCTCAAGACAGTTACTCTCTGCTTTCTGACAGCTGGTATGGCTTCAAGCCCAGCTCCCTTTGCCCCATGTCTACCATCTCCTTGGTGACCTTTAGGACTCAGTAAGGTAATCTGGCTCTTACCAATGCCTGGCACCCACTAGCCCCCATCTCCTTCTCAGGCCGTTCTTCTCCTTCCATATGAAGATTAACATTTTCTGGGTGTCTCTTGAGCCCAACTTGCACCTGGCCTGGGGTACTTCTGCTCAGTTATAACCTGGGAAAGGGCTTCCCTTTGGAGCCCACATAAGCCCATGGGGGTCTGTGGGGGCCTCCTGAGCAAGTGGAGGTTTGACATTGCCTTGTTCCAGCTTGGGTCACTGCCTCTGGGCTCTAGGAGTGACTGACGCCACCCGGGTGACCCCCCCGTTCCCTAGCCACTGCTGTCCAGCAGCCTGGGAGGACCCCTGGCCACCTTCCTCCGCGCGGATGTTCCATTTGGCTTTGTCTGTCATCATTGTGTTGGAGCTCAGGTCCTGTAATTTGCAGTGGTTGCTGCTGACAAGGACTATGTTGGAGGGCTTAAGATTCCTGAAACCAAAAGGCAGGACTTTGGTCTGGGGGCCAGCACCCCTCAATCCTCACACTCTATGCCCCACCCCATCCAGCCCTGCTCCTCTCTCAACAACGCCCCCTTTGCAGCCCACTTTTTAAATAGTGTTTCCTACAGAAATAAAATATACTCGGTTATTTTAAGTGGCAAGACAATAAGCCAACTACAAATAGGAAGACACCCAATCCTGCAGCTTCTCCATTAACATCTCCTTCATTCCCTTCCACCTCTTGGGGGTGCATTTGTGTTGGGACCAGGTTCCCAACCATTTTGTAAGTTCACTGACATTTTTTTTTAATACTTTCTTTTTATTTATTTATATGATAGTCACACACAGAGAGAGAAGCAGAGACACAGGCAGAGGGAGAAGCAGGCTCCATGCACCGGGAGCCCGACGTGGGATTCGATCCCGGGTCTCCAGGACCGCGCCCTGGGCCAAAGGCAGGCGCTAAACCACGGCGCCACCCAGGGATCCCATGTTCACTGACATTAACACTAAGTTGGAAGCGTTGTCTTCACCCGGATGGTCCACGTGGTTCTCTGTCCTCCTGCAGGTCTGATACTCATCCAAACCAAAGCCACTCCCAGTGCCTTTGGACTATGGATGCCAGAGCGCGACTGAAGCCGGGCTGCAGATGGGTCTAAAGCTCAGAATGGAGGCCACAGCACGCAGCCTAATCTCTTCCTCCGAGTGCTGTTATCTGGCTGCTTTCCCTGCACTTTAGAACCCACCTGCCCGGGTCAGTGTACACTGGACGGAGCTGGTGAATCACTGCAGGTGACGTGGAGGGGGTGGCATGCTCTTCAAGCCTGGGAGGTGCTCTGCGAAGGTGCTGCATTGACCCCAGCCACACCTCTCTCCCCCGGCCCTGCCCGGGGGGTACTGACAACCAAGGGGACTCCAGTGCCCTCTGTCCCAAAGCAGCCTGCTCACCCCACCCCCAGTCACCTGTGGACGATGTCTAACTGGTGCAGGTATTCCAGAGCGTCCAACACCTGGCCCAACATGTTCTGCATCCACTGCAGAAAAAGTGAGAGATGCCAGGATGCGAGGGGTCTCCCAGCAGCAGGACAGCGACCCCTCAAAGCAGCCTGCAAGGTCACAGCACATTCTCTCCTCACTTCTTAAAACAGGCCTACAGCTACAGAAAAGCTCAGAGCCAGTGCAAGACATTTGTACTTCAGGTTCCCTTCAGGCTAAAGTGTACGCAGCTCTCCAGGCAGTACAGTCATCTCAGCCAGGGCAATGCCCCAGTTTCCAGACCCCACACTCCTGGTCTCCATGCTAGAGACACCCCAGCCTGTGCCCCACCCCTTGGGGCCAATGGGTCTTGTGGGTGTCAGAGATAATCGAAGCCTTTATTGCTGACTCTGGGCTTGCCTCTCTAGGTAATAGGAATGAGAAGAGCTCTGACAAAGAACGTTCTGGAAACACTTTGTGTCAGACATGAGATCCATCTAGTTTCCAGCACAGTGATTATCAAACCATGTTCCTAGGAACCTAGATTCCACCTAGGCATGTCAGAGAGGGGCTGAGTGAACAGGACCCCAGGCTTCTTCCCACTCCACCTTCCACCAGTCCTCCCACGCCCCTGATTACAGTAGCTTTGCCTTCCTTACTGGGTTTCTGAGAACACTTTGTGCTTGTAAGGGTTCTACCACTAACAAAGTTTGAAACCCACTAAGGGGAGAGCCTACCCTGAGGTCCGCGCTGGGAGGGGAGCTGCGTGCCCCTCAGAAGCCCTCAGGGGGGCAAGGTGGTGCACAGAGACCCACCCCCACCCCAGCAGAGGGGTGCTAAGAGCAAAAGCAGGTAGATCATAGGCCTAGTGTGAAAGCAGAAATGACCAAGGTCAAAAGACAACAAGAAAATATCTTCATGACCTTGGGGTAGAACAGGCTCTCACATGAGGTCAAAGGCGCTGTCAAATAAAGAAGCATTGCTAAGCTGACTTTGTTATAATTAAGAAGTTCTTTTCATCAAGATATGGTTTAAAAAATGAACTGTCAAACCACAGTCTGGGAGAAGGCAGTCTGGATGCCCGCATCCATAATATGTGAACAAAACCTATAGACCAGTGAGAAAAGACAACACCAACGTTTAAATGCACACAAGACTCGAACAGACACAAAATCCAAATGGCTAAAAAGCACCATTAAATGGTGAATTTAATTCAAATGAAAGGGGCGCCTGCGTGGCTTACTTGGTTAACCATCTGCCTTCAGCTCAGGTCATGATCCTGGGGTCCTGGGACCCAGCCCGGAATCAGGCTCCCTGCTTCTCTGTCTCCCTCTGCTACTCCCCCTGCTTGTGCTTTCTCACTTGCACTCTTTCTCACGCGCACTCTTTCTCAAATAAATAAAAATTTTAAAGAGTACCTCAATTTAAAATGCAATTTTTAATTAAAATGAGAAAGACTGAAGTGTTGGCCAGGAAATAGGAACTGGAATGCTTACAAATTGTGCTGGGAGTAACCCCAAGTGAACCAAATGGTCCTGGAAATTGGAATATCTATTAAAGCTACACATACACCTGCTCTATGACCCAGCAACTGCACACCTAGGGATGCATCCAGAAAGGACGTGCACACCCAGCAGTGTTCATGGCAACCCTGTTCATGAGTCCCCCGAAACAGGCTGCACGCTCACAGCACTAGGCTGTGCACAGACTAGGGGCACGTAGCCCCGGCAGGGATGACTTCCTAATACACTCGTGCACGAAATCCGACACAAATGATGACATGTGTGTGAGTCCAGTGCTGGGAACTTCAGGGCAGGTAGAAGGACCTTTGGAGGCAGAAACCCAACTTCAGACATGGACAGGGACCTCTGGAGTGTTCTGCATCTTGATCTGCAGGAGGTTATGTGAGTGTATGCCCAGGTACAGTGCACCAAGCAGTGCACTTAAGTCTTGCGCACTTTATACTATGCACACACCTCCACAGGTAAATATAAGAAAAAATAAAGCCAAACTCCAGTAGCGTCTACCTTGCCCTCTGCTCCCCTGGCCCCCGAGTGATCCTGGGACATACAAGACCTAGGTGGTCCCCAGGCCTGGTGTCCTAGAGAGCCTGTCTTACCTCAGAGTCAATGATTGTCCTTGTCTCCCTCTTCTTCTGGATAATCTCCTGGAAGTTTCCATCGTTATAGTCCATCACCAGGCAGAGGAACAGAGAGGAGATCTGGTGGGGACATGAAGCCTTAGCCGGATGCCGCGGTCCTGGCCCCCAGAAGCCCAGGTTACCTGCTCCAGGGCCTCCCTCCACTGGGCCACCCTCTGTGGTGGTTCTGGAAGCACTGCCAGCGGTGAGGTAGGAGTGCCCCTCAAGAGCGGCTCCTGAGGTGCTCAGCCTCTGGCTCATCTGTCCTCTCCTCTGCCTCCACCCCAGCTCCGTCTACACTAAGCCCCTCAGATGTTTCTGAGAGCAGCCTGGACCTCCGGGGCTTCTGGCCACCATGCCTGGGACCCCGTCGCTTCCCAGGGTAACTATTCATTCTTCAGGGCTCAGCGTTGTTCCGTCTCCTCCCCCAGAGGCGCTGGCCCCGGATGGAATTCCAGGAGACCAGGTCAGGGGCCTCAACTCAGGGCTCGCAGCGGACCCTGTTGCTTCTTCCAAAGTTAAATGTCTTCTTGGCTTTTCTGTGCCTCCTTGAGAGTGTTTTGAGTGTTGCTCAAAAAATACCCAGGGTGCACAAAGAGATGGCCCCTCCCTACAGCATTCCTTAGGGTCCAGCTGAAGAGAGAGAACGTGTACGAGGGGACCCTCCACTCCTGCTCAAACCCTTGGCTGTGCACCTCAGACAAGGATGCTAATGTAGAGCTCCCATGAAGGGTCAACACTGGCCAAGAAGCCCTGCTGCCTCTCTTCACCTCTAGGCTGCCTGCACTGCCCCAGCTAGACCTCCCCCTGCATCTCAGGCCCGTTTGGAATAATTTGCTGCATTCTGGATCCCTGTAAAGACAAGTCATACAGCCTATGGGGTGAAGCATAGGGCATGGGGGCTTTACAACATCCTGGTTTGAATCCCACCACTTAGCTGTATTTGTTTGTTTTGTTATTTTTCCCCACTCAGCTGTCACTGGCTGTGTGGTCTTAGAGAGCTCCTTAACCTCTCTGAGCCCCAGGGAAATGAGGATAGTACTTCCAACCCTGCAGATCTCCCGCAGGTCTGAGGATAACCATGCAGCTTAATAAGCTACAGGAGCTGCAGAAGAAGTTGGGGGTCCAGTGACCCAGGACAATTTGATGGCACGTAAGGGGAAAAAGCGGGGACTGGCTTCCTAAGGGCTGCTCCTTCTACAAAAGTCAAAAGCTCCACCTTCAGAGGGCAGACTAGACTCCCTGAGCCTCGGGCTGCAGAATGAGCTCAGAGGCTAAATGCACAGGGCACTGGCATCAGGCTGCCAGGCCTCTCCTCCTGGCTGGGCCAAGGGCTGGGTGGGTAACCAGGACGGACATCTTTCTCTTAGCTTCTATTTCTTCTTTAAAGTCGTACACCAACCCCCCTAGGCTGAGACTACTGGAGGCTCATGTGAGATGACCCCCAGAGAGCCCCCGGGGGCCCCAGGAAGTGCTGAGTCAGGGGCAGCCACATTTAGAGTCACGGTCACAACTGCTCAGGGGGTTAACAGCGCTGGGGTGCCCTCTGCTCAGCTCGCTTGGTCCTGGGGGCACTGGATGCCAGCCGAGCCCAAAGGCATGGGCTCTGACCCACCTTACTGTTCCACATGATGAACAGCTCCTGGTATATGGAGATGTGGGCGTGCCGGAGCTTCAGCAGTGGCATCAGCTGTGGGGAGAAAGCAGAGGAAGTAGAAGATGTTCCAGAAACACTGCTTCTCAGCTAGTGCTTCTAGGTCAGGCCTCCCAGCCCAAACACAAGCTCCTGTTCGAACAGGGCTATGGGGTAAGCATGAGGAGGGCGTGCAGCCTTGTGCTTCAGAGCCAGACAGTCTGGTGGGGGGCCCATCTCTCCAGCCTGTGCCAGCTGTGTTGTGTGACTGAGCAGAGGCTTCTCAACCTCTCTGAGCCTCTAGCCTCATCTGAAAATGGCAGTGACTGTGGTATCTGCCTCACAGGGGAGTCGAGAAGGCTAATGGGAGCTGGTGCAGGCAAAGTGCCCGACAGAGGAAAGAAATCATGGTCAGGAGCATCTGGAGAAGGTGCCCTTGTGCCCAGCTGGCTTCCTGGGTGTGCACACTTGAGGCCCCAGGCCCCGCTCCTGGTTGGAGGTGCTTGGAGGACGCACACAGTCGGGCTGCAGCAATGGCTGCAGAGGCCACCGGGAGCCAGGGGCACAGTCACTGCTGGGGGCAGGCTGGCTGCGAGAGCCCGTCGCCTCGCAGGCTGGGAAAGGGAACAGGGAGGCACACAGCCGTGATAAGTGGGGAGAGTCTCCCACTGTCTCTCCACTTTGTCAGGATGCAGACTGGGTCCCTCCCCGTACAGCAGTCACACTGTGGACCGGACAGCCATTTGGGCAAAGCTCAGGAGCCGGGGATTCTGGGAAGAAGGCAAACAAGTAACCATTAAATAGGAGGGTCATGTTTGCTTCCCGGGAGATTTGAAGGAAGCAAAGAAAAACTACTCCAAGCCTTTGTCCAGCAAATCCAAGTGCACGCAGCTGGCATTGCTGTTACTATAAAGCAGGATGTTCTTGTTGGTTCTGACTGGCAGATTGAAGGAATATAAAAGAATGTACATTTTCTTTGGTAGACAATTCTGTACTTCCCAAATTTTCTGCTGTGACTAATATTTTTATAATTGAAGGAACAATATTTTAAAAGATGGCTTGTGGTAGATTAGCCTGGGGACCCAGCCAGCATTGGAACTTTATCATCTCTGAGAACCTGTATCCTAAGCTGTCTGCACCTTGATTTATAAATGAATGTTTTGGGCACAGACTCCTTTTGTGACCTGGGGGATTCTGGCTTCATAGAATAGGGCAAGAACTGGTTCTGACCCTCCATGCCTCCACCAAGGCTTCTATCCAGTCATCCCACAGGAGAGGATGGGACCATCTCTGTGTGTTCTGCATCATGTCCTTTAGAGAGAAACTACCCAGTGAATTACCTCCTCCAGGGCCTTGTTGGCATGATGCTCATCAATACATTCCACCTGTAGGGGTGCAAGAGCACTAACTCAGTGAACATGTAGTCTGCCCATCACCACCACCACCACCATCATCACCATCATCACCATCCCCACAATCACCATTATCAACATCACCATCAATATCACCACTATCTCCATCAGCATCATCACCTTCACCACCATCACCACCAATCATCATCACCTTCATCATCATCACCTTCACCACCATCACTACCAATCACCACCACCTTCATCATCACCACCAATCATCATCACCTTCACCACCATCATTACCAATCACCATCACCTTCATCATCACCACCAATCATCATCACCTTCACCACCATCACAATCACCACCACCATCATCACCATCACCACCACCATCATTCACAGGGATGCCAGGCTTCTACCACATGGCACCAGATGAGGCCATGCTTTGGGCAATGAGAAAATCTTTGGTCCTGTTGCAAGGATAAGTTTGGGATAGCAAACTGTAAACTCTGAGCAATCATTAGAGGATCCATTCTCAGACCATCTTGAAAGCAGGAAAGAAAAAAATGTGTTGCCCCTAGAGCCAAACAGCTCTGCTCTGGTTGGCAAAGAATTAACCTCACCACTTCATTCCTTACCCCAGTTGGGAACACTGTCCCTGTCCCTGAATGTGGGGCAGTGAGGGAATGTGAGAGAGAAAGGGTGGTGGGTGGGAAGGGGAGCATCAAGCATCCAGTCTCTGACATATTTGGTGGCATAGACTGCAGGTGCATCTTAGCACCACATCTACTACCAGACCCTCCCCCAGAGCTTTTGCTCATAAGACTTCCAAACAATGAACTCTTGTAGTTGAGGGTGATCGTAGATGAAAATGCAGAGGTGGTGGCTCATTCCCAGATCCTCACAGACCCCAGACACAGCAGCACTGCGGGTCTGTCTTCCCTTCCTCCTGTTCCAGGACTCATGCTTATAGGTGAATCTAGCCAAAACATACTGAAAGCCCTCAGAATGTCACATCTTTTGACCTACAGGCCCAACCCCTAGGAATTTATCCCAAAGGATATAATGGATCCTCAAAAATTTTGCTTATCAGAGTTGTTTATAAAGAGTGAAAAATCAAGAACAGGCTAAGTGCTTATCATACACAAGGGGATGGTTGGGTCAGTGGCAGCATATGGAGCGGATGGGGTCACACAGCCACCAGGGCCAATAAAGGAGGAAGCTGTGTCAGTGGCATGAAATAGTGTTTGCCATATGCTAAGTGGGAAAAGGTACATTATCAACCTCTGTGGTGTTCTTGTCAAAACAAAGTTTATAAATGCTTAGGGAAAAGACTAGAAGGAGACACAAATCCCTATCTGTAGCCAATCCCCATCTTTATTTAATTAATTTATTTTTTAATAAGAAAGACTGACTGGCTTTTTAAAAAGCTCCTTGATTGCCCAGAAGGCAGTGGGCTCCTGCCCCACTGGCCCATGACACAATGGGGCCGGCCCCATGGAGTGGGAGGAAGGTAAGGACTCTGGGCCCGGCCTCCTGGGGTAGAGGCTGCTGAGTGGCTCCACAGGCAAGAGGCCTGGCTGCACAGAAGCGACCCCAGCAGCTGATGCCAACAAGGCTCTTCCATGTGCACAGCCACCCCCAATCCCATGGTCTACCAGCCAGCGCCGGGTACCACAAGGGGATACCAAGGACTCTTTTATGGCAGTTCTCTTCTCCCACTCACTCTGTTCATCTGGACCACCCTGACTCGGATGCACAAAGGGCTGTCCCCCTGCAGGTCCGTACCCCACCCTGCCATGCCAGTCCTGCCCTTAGCCTCCAGTGACCTTGGGCAAGTCCCTGCCCACCCCTCCTCCACCCTGGTCATGGCTCCCCTTTGGTAAAATGGTGGCCCCGCTGAGGTAGCCTGAGTTCAAATCCTCTTGGGAGTTGTGTGACATTGGCTAGCCTGCAGCCTCCAAAGTCTCCCTATCCCAGCTTTGCAGGGCTGGTGGGAGATTAATATGAGCCTGGCACGAAGCACCTGCTGAATAAACCATAGGGATAGTTGCTGTTGTCATTGAAGGACAAATGAGCATTCCTTCTCCAACAAGGTGAGAGAGTCAGATGTGCCAGGAAGCCTGAGGAGCCTCATGCCACCCCCATGTCTACCCTTGACTGGATTTGCCTCGGTGACTGCTGGTGGAGAGGAACCGGTTGTCACGTCAGGAAACCTTTCCCTAACATGCGGATGATGCGTGTATGTTTGGGGGGACCACCCACACAGGAGCCACCTCTTACCTGCTTTATCACGTGCTTTACTTTGCTTTTTGTTTCCTCTACCACCAGGTTCACCCCCAAGGCCCCAGGACTCAGCCGGCCCAAAATCTACCAGCAAGAGAAAGAGCAGCTTTCAGGAAACGCACAGGCTATTGACTTTTCAAAGTATGCTTAGCCCCGACACCTTTTCTGGCCCCAATTTCTCCTGCAGGCCGGGAGAACAAGCATCTCCACCACATTTTTCAGAGCAGGAAATGCCCAGAAGGTTGAGGAACCCAAGCCCATCTCTCGGGTGCCAATTCTGAACCTCTTTCCACCCTACACCCTTCTCCAATCTGCAGCAGGGACCAGTGGGCACCCAAGAGCCAGCACCTCCCTGGGGCAGAGCTTTATTCACTCAATTCCCCTATTCCCCCAGCTTCCAGCACCCACCTCCAAACTGAGCATCCAAACAAACAACTAAATGGTCTATAATTGGTGCATAGTCACAGCCATGAGTGCCCTGGCACTGGGCCAAGCACTTTACAGCCACCGCCTGTGAGCAGCACTATTGCTATCGCCTTTGTTCACACCGAGAAAACTGAGGCACACCGGGACCGAGGTCCTTGTGTCTGAGGCTATAGTGCTAATAAGTTAGATGGCCTGGATTGGACTGTAACTCTGGGGTCTGACTCCAGAGCCTGTGCTTTGGACCAAACCCCCAGAGAGACAGCTGCCATGTCAGAACTCTGTGCAGAGAGCCCATGGGCCATGGGGTGGGGTGGCTGCTGGGATTACTTCTGTGGGAGGATGGAGGAAGCCTGGCAAGATACAGGGGAGTGGACACAGGAGATGGAACCCTGAGTCTAGCGGCTCTCAGAGCCGGGCAAGCCTTGGATTCTGCAGTCCGAATCCTGCTTAGGGAATTTTGGGGACCACGTCCTGAGCAGCGTAAGCCAGTCTGAGAATGCACATACCTTGGCCCTCTTAAGCGGTGGGCTAAACAGTAAAACACACTTGTATCTGAGATAGGGTCTGTCGTTATTTTTTCCTGAAAAGGTCACTTTGCCTTTAAAATTCACTGGGCCCCAGAAACTTGTCTCCTTTACCACCAGCTGACTCCTGGGAGTCCTCCCACACAAATGGAGTGCTCACAAAGTGAGAAGAAAACCAATCTACAGATTGTTTTCAAATTAATGACATTTTTAAAGACTGAATCCTATAACACTTAATAAAGTTGACATTATGTATAGAAGCAGTTAAACATTCATTCATTTTTATTTTGCAGCTTTCCTTTTGTTTTATGAATTTTTCAAGTCTCATACATTTTCACAGGCCCTGGAAAAGGCTAAAGTCCTCCTACCCAGGACTACTGATGGGCTGTATTAGGAGTATGGGGGCTCCTGATACTGAATTTGGACGCTTTACGGTGTCCTGTGGACCCATGAGTGGGAGAGGGGGAGCTCTTTTCCACCAGCTATTCAGACAGACGGGGATGGCCAGTCCTTCATTTCATCCATCATTCTAGAGAGGGGAGAACAGGCTCAGAGACCAAAGGGCAGCCAGGAGGTCACCTCCGAAGGTAGCCGAGGTCACCCTACGCGCTGATGGCTGACCCTGGCCCTCTCCAGGGGCTGTGACCGGTAAACCAGTAGGCGGGCGGGGAGGTGGGAGGGGGTGTGTGTCCTGGTCCCCGGGAGGCTGTGGGGCTGTGACCCGGCTGTGACCCGGCTGTGACCGGTAAACCAGTCGGGGGCGGGGAGGTGGCGGGGTCCAGGTCCCTGGCTCGCACCAAACTGGCGCGTACTCGTCGCCCCTGCCCCCCCGCCAGGGAACAACTTGGCACCTGGTACTTCTCCATAGCGGCTGCAGCGGGCGGGGGGCGGGGACTCCCAGCCTCGTCTCCCTCCGCGGGGCGCCGCGGCTGCGCCCCCCCCTGGCCGGCGGGCGGACCCTCCACTGAGCACGCTCAGGAGACACAGCGTCCGGCCGAGCGGCCCAGCCCCCACCCCGGGGGCGACCGTCAGCCCAGCCCCGGGCTCCGCCCACGCCCCTCCCGCGGGACCCCCCTCCCCGCCCCTCGGCCTCGAAGCGCGCCGCGGGCGGGGCCTGCGGGCGGTGGGCGGGGCCTGCGGGCGGCGGGCGGGGCGGCTGCGAGCTGCGCGCGGCCCCTTTAAGGCGCGGCCGGGGCGGGCCCGCCGGCGCGGCCCCTTTAAGGCTTGGCCTACGTGGCAGCCGCTGGAGCCGCGGACGAGGAGCGAGGCCGGCCGCCGGGCACTTCCTGTGGAGGCCGCAGCGGGCGCGGGCGCCGAAGGGCCGAGCGCCGAGCGAGCGAGCGAGCCGAGCGAGCCGGGCCTCCCGCCGCCGCCATGGGCCAGAACGACCTGATGGGCACGGCCGAGGACTTCGCCGACCAGGTGCGGCCCGCCGCCCGCCGCCCGGCCCCCGCCCCTCCCGCGGGCCCCCCGCCCGAGGATCGCGCCCCCTCCCCCAACCGGGGCATGCCCCCCGGGGCCCGTGGCGCCTCCCGGCCCCGACTCCCGCAGCCGGCGCCCGGCGCCCGGGCCCGGCCTGCGCTTGTCGCCGCCGCCCGCCAGGGCGCCCAGCTCGGGGAGCCGTGCCCCGCGCCCTCCGTGCCCCCCCGCGCCCTCCGTGCCCCCCCGCGCCCTCCGTGCCCTCCGTGCCCCCCCCGCCCTCGTGCCCCCCGCGCCCCCCGCACCTCCCATGTCCCCCGCGCCCCCCCCCGTGCCCTCCGCGCCCCGCGCCCCCCCCCGTGCCCTCCGCGCCCCGCGCCCCCCCCGCGCCCCCGTGCCCCCCGCCCGGCCCGGCCGGCTCCAGGAGAGGGATGCGCGGAGCCGGCCGCCCGCCGCCGCGCAGCGTCCTCTCCCTTTGAGCGGTCGGGGTGGTCCCCGCACGCTCCCCTCGCACTGGCACCCGGGGGGCGGGGTGCCGAGCGCTGATCCCGAGCTGGTTGGTCAGGCTGCAGGCCTGGGGGTCCTCCCGCGGGGAAGGGGGCGCCCTGCTCGGCACCCCGGCCGCCGCCGACAGCCACCGCACGCCGCTCTCTGCTCTGCCCCGCGGGTGTCGGGCTCGGGGTCCCTCCGACCCTGCCGGCGCTTGCCCTCCCTGTTTGGACTCTGCCCCGACCGAGTGGAATGGGCGCCTGCCTCGCCGCGGGCCTGGAGGAGGGGAAGCCTGCCTCCCCGGGCGGTTTTCCCCTTTCCCTGCCGGGCTGCACAGGTGGCATTCTGAGCAACAGGGAAGCCCTGGAGCGGGCGGTTGGCGACAGACTGGACGGACAGAACCAGGTCCTGGAAAGGGACAGGGACAGAGCTCCCGCCCGCTTTTGATGAAGCTTTTGAGGATTTTGTGTGCCTTTGACCTGTGAAAGTATTCCGTTATGCCTACAGATTAACAGCCTTCTGTTTTGCCAGGCAGATCCGCGTCTGACCCAAGTGAGTTTCTCTCCTTATTTCACTTAACGTGCTTGTGGTTCCACCAGAGCCAACAGCAGTGAGGTCAGATTTTTCGTTTTTAGGGAGGTGATAATTGAGTAATCGAACTCTGAAGCTAAGGTTCATCAGAAGGCTTGTATGCGTTTGAGCGATTTTAAGAGAGATAAATGAGTGTTTTCTGATTGGGCATGGGTGAGCAAGATTTTCCACTGTTCCCCTCAAGGGGTGAATCTGCCTCGTGCGGTCTGCTAATCGGGTCCTCATTCCACCACTTTCCTGCGAGCTGCTATCTTACGACCACTTCGGGGGAGAAAAAGTATATCAGCTTGAAGACATAGTTTTTCCTAAGGTCACGATTCTGTGCTTACAGATGCAGTGTAAAAATCGTGTGCTTCGCAAAAACAATTCATGCTGAGAGCTCTCAAGAGCTCAGTAGGCCTTCCTTCCCCGCCAGTTTTCACTGTCATGGCTTTAGTGACCTGATTTCATTTCTCCCAAGTAGCGACTCCCTGAGAACATGGCTCCTCTCAGCCAAGGGGGACCGGGGGAGCTCTGTACACTCACTCTTCAGCCTGAAGAACCCTGATTTTGCAAGTGCATTTCATAACCGGAGCTAGCTAAAATGTCTCTAACCCAGCTGCTGCCAACGATCAAATGATAAATTTTCTTACAGGGGGAAAAAAAAAAAGTTAAAAATCTCTTTATGTGATTTTTTTCTTCTTTTCCTCCACATATTCTGTATTAAATGAAAGAAGCAGAATCGTGGAACTGGAAAGGCCTGTGGAGGGCACACAGGGTCTGCCTGTACCAAGTTACTGCTGGGAAGGCAGGCAGGGCCTGCGGGAGCTTCTGGACTGGCCCGGGGCTTGGGCATGGGGGGAAACCCAGACTCCAGCCTCGCTCCAAGGGTAGTGCCCCCCCCCCCTTGTAAAAAGGGCATGCTGCATCAAACCCAGCACCCAAAGTGGCCCAGGGCTGTCTGTCAGGCAGTGTGGGCTCCTGCTGTTGGTTTATCAGCACCAAGGCCCACCTGGGTGGTGGTAGCAGATGTCAAAAGACCCCTCCATGCCCCCTGATGGGTGACTGGGAAGGGCAGTGGCCCTCGTGCTCTTCAGAACCAAAGTCAGGAGCCTCTTCTGCCACAGGCAGGCTTGATGCAGGAGGATGTGGGCAGATAAGAGGGCAGAGCCAAAGTGACGGCTTCCCATGGACAAAATTTGGCCACACCGCGGTGGCATTTTTGTTTTTAACATTTATCCACATAATATTAAAAGAAGGCAACCAATCATAAAGGTGCTGGGAGTCCAGGATTCTCTTTTTATTGATTGATTTTTTAAGAAGATTTTTATTTATTTGATAGAGAACATGAACAGGCGAAGGGGCAGAGGGAAGAGTAGGCTCCCTGCTGAGCAGGGACTCGATCCCAGGACCCTGAGATCATGACCTGGGCCCAAGGCAGACACTTAACGAACTGAGCCACCCAGGCGTCCTGAGTCCAGGCTTTTAAAATGAAAATGATTTCAAAAGAAAAGAATGGGGAAATATTAGGTAGCATATCCATTTTTCTCTAACCATGTCTTCAGAGAACAGAAGCAAAAACCAAGTGACAGGATTTGACCAGAAAGTCTGGGTTGCTCAAAGGGGACCTAAAAAGGCCTGTGTTCCCCCAGTACTTAGGACAAGAATCCTGAACTGCTAACTCTGGGCCAGGTCCTCCACACTTGGCGCTGTGCTACCCTCCAGAGCGGGTGAGGCCGGCCACAGTACCTCCATCTTCAGCCGTGGGAAGGTGGTCTTGCATGGCACGTGGTAGGCCGGAATTCTGAATCCACATTTTCGTATCGGAGGCTGGGCTCCTCACCTCTTGGCTGTCCAGCAGCCTTTTCTTCGGGCCTGCAGAGGTGAGAGTACAGGGTCAGCTGTCTGGTTAGTTCTGGCTGGCAGGCTCTTCAGAGCTGCATCTCTGGCGTCAGGCTCCTCGCCCCGGGCGGCCAGGGACAGTGTCCTGCTCCCAGGAAGCCAGGCGCTAGAGAAAATGCTGAGCGTGCCCTCTGCAGAAGCCAGGCATTCGGAAGCCATCTGAGACCAGGTTGGAAGGAGCCAGAGACCAATGAACTCAGCAGTCCAAAATTATGTTGTGTCCTGCAGCTGGTGCTTGCTGCCGTGCAGCAGAATGTAGCTCCCGAGTACATCTGTGCCAGCCATCAGGAGTATTAGTACCTAATAGGTTCAGTGTGACAGCTCATCACCTGAGTGACAGATAAGCTGCATGGCTCTCCATGATGGCCTTTGGTTTTAACCTATCTTGGGTGTGACAGAGCCAGTCCTAGGAGCTCTTGCCCCATGCAGCGCCCCTGGGCCCCTGGTCAAGCGTTGGGTAGCTGGGATGGCCCTGACAGCAGTGACTGGGCATACCTGACCCACAGGTGTTAGGGCTCTGGATACACAGCCATGGATGCCCATTGGGTGTGAGTGGGGCCCTGGTAACAGTGATGGGGTCTCAGCATCACTTTCCTTCCGTGTCTCTGTGACCCCTGCCCTCCCAGGGCTGCCTGCCCTGTGCCACCAGGAGTGAGGGGAAAGGGCAGAGGGGGCTCCTTCCTCCCTACCTGCCTGCCTTAGGAGGTTAAGAAGAGGGGCCCTACCTCTTCTGGGGAGCGGGGTGGGGCCATGGCAGAGGGAACTGTGGTTAGCGAGGCTTCTCCTGGAAAGTGAGGTGCAGCTATGTTCTCTTCCATGTGGCCTGTTGCTGCTCTCCTGTGGTTAGGCTCTTGGTCACGTGGATTTTGGGTACGGAAAGCCAGGTCGTCTCCAGGGCCAGTTGACACTTGTTCCTATTCTTGGAGGTGCAGCCTGAACCCACAGAGTGGCACTCCGGGAGACTTGCTGGGGGAGTTCTGGGGTCATGATGGATGCACACGTGTGAGTCACCAAACTCTTGCTCCAGTCCTGACTCAGCCTGATGAGAAGGAAGTTACCCTACTGCAAGCTCTAATTATCTGGGACGTGTAGGCTTGAGGTGGCCCCTGAGAAGGGCAGCCCCAGTCCCTGGTGATCAGACCTGACTTGCCCTCTCCACTTCCTCAAAGTCCTCAACCAAAAATTGCAGACTGTTTCCCTCCAGTCCTTTCTGTCCCCAATACTCCGAGAAAGTGAGTTTTTCTGTGTTGCGTGGGAGCTGCAGGTGGCTTGGGACCTGATTGCTGTGTGCTCAGAGTTCTGTTTCGGGTGGGGTATGTTTCTTAAATCCCCTCTAGAATAATAACGCCTCATAAAGAAATCCCTGCTTTCCATATTTTGGAAGTCCTTCAGGTGCTGTCACTGCTCATGAGCCATGTCGGGCTTGACTATGAGGTTCTTGGAGATGCCGGTGAAAAGCCGGCCCCACAGAGGCTGACTGTCCTCTCCTGCCGTCTGTCCCTGCTCCGTGTCCGTCTCCAGCTCTCCTGCCACGATGCTCTCCCATACGAGGCAGTCCGTGTCTCAGCATCCTGAGGGGGCATTACCTGGCCCGCAAGGCCCACAAGGCCTGCAGGTGCTCTGGGCGCCACCACTGCCACCACTTCCACACCAGCCAGGGAACCACTGGGCTTGTGGGTGCTGCTGGGCTGCCTGATTTAGGGGCTTTTCTCTGCTGTCCCCAGGGCATGCTGTCCGCAGATGCATGGTGTGGATTCAGTGGCCACATCGGAATTGCTGTGAGCAACACGCATTCAGGGAATCAGCAAAATTGGGCCTGGCTTCATGTTTATTTGTTTGTTTGTTTTTAAAGATTTTATTTATTCATGAGAGACAGAGAGAGAGAGAGAGGCAGAGACACAGGCAGAGGAAGAAGCAGGCTCCATGCAGGGAGCCCAATGTGGGACTCGATCCCAGGACTCCAGGATGACGCCCTGGGTGGAAGGCAGCGCTAAACTACTGAGCCACCCGGGGATCCCCCTGGCCTCATGTTTAAAACAGGGTTGTTTTTTTTTTTTTTTCCATGTTGAGTCCAAACAGGTGCTTATTAGAGGCTGGCTGGTTTAAAAGGCGCTGGAGCAGCCTGACTTAACAAAACACAGTCGGCCCTAAGCCTAGACGACATCTGACTTGGAAAATCAGAAATATGCTTACTTCATAGCACAGATAACCTGAATTTTGGCATCCCCACCCCCCCCTCAGCCCGGAGCTGACTCCTCAGCATGTCTCATGGGGCAGGGAGGAGTCTCCCTGTTGCTCTTTAATCCTCTTGACCCAGACACTCAAATTAGGAGTACAGACTGGCACAGAGGCTTTTAAACACTGCCTATGTCTCTTGGGCCATGCGGCAGAGCTGAGCATGTGTTACACGGGGGTGCTTGGTGGTGAGGAGGCTCAGAGTGAGGCCCAAGGGCTCGGGCTCAGAGCACACTGAGCACCTTTCAGTTCCAGGTCCGAGGCAGGTCAGCAAACCTCCAATGTCTGCCTGCTGACCTTTTGGTCTCAGCTTCCCCCGGAGTCCTGCCGTGGCCCCGCTCTCTGTGTCTCTATGACTGGACTGGGAGTGATGCCACCGGTGACTGTCGCTGGATCTTATGAAAGCATTTGGGGGCCTTGAGGCAGAAGTGGCAGGGCTGGTGGCGTCTGCCGACGGGGGGCGGGGTATGTACACCGAGTGTGCGTACATCCTACACATGCTCTTATGTAGACTCCAAAGTTGGTGGGACATTCGAGGCCTCTCTTTTTCTAAACAAGGGTCTTTTTCCTTCCTTTTCCTCTGCTTATTGGAGTTGGAAAGAATCTTAGCAGCCATTAATCCAGCCGTCCCCTGCCTCCCTGTCCCGCCATAGTACACAGGCTGGCAGGACTCACAGCATCATCTGCCCACATCCACCTGGTTGATTGGGCATCTGTTTTCTCACTGTGACCTCTGCCACCGCTTCAGTGAGGGTCAAGGGCTGAGTGAGCATGTGCAGAATTGCCACGTTGGGGCTCAGGAGATTTGAAGAGAAAGGACACTTGGCTTGTAATCTCTCTCCTCGCTTGCTCTCCCTCCCTCCCAGGTGAGCCTGTCTGCTGCGGTCCAGGTGGAGGCGCAGGCGGTGGGGAGGCTTCTCTGCTGACCGAGCCATAGTTGGCTAACTGAGGGTTGATCTAAACAGCCAGAGGCTCGTTACCTGTGGCTGCGAACATCAACTGTTTCTAGAACTTGAAGGCAACTTTTCAAAACGCTAACAATTAAGAGATGCTCTTCGATACTAGACACCCCTTCGTTGGTGCCAGTATGCTTTCATCGGCCCTAAGAGGAGCAGTGACGTTCTTTTGACCATCCCTTTGTGGGGGCTAGACCCACAAATGCCCTTTCGACTCTGCCTGACACGTCACTCCTGTGGGTGGGGCTGTCTTCCCCGAGCGGCTGCCGTTACTGTGTGTGGTAGTGTCCCTTTGCACTGGGTTTGAAGGTTGGAAAGAGAAAGTGGCTGCTGGGCACCTGAGCGACATTTGTGCCTCAATTCAACTCGAGTTATTTGTTTCCTAACCTTGCCATCACACCTCAGAGGGCAGGAAGAAGTTCTAGACCTGTTCTTGTCTCTCTGACCTTTGCCAGCGAGTTCTGAAACTTTTCTGAATTTCACTGCCCTTGACACAGTGCGCCTTCCATTTGTTAGTGTGTGTTTGTAAGACCCGCAGGGCTTTCCAGCTGTTGGGCACACAGTTACACATGTGTGCTCAGCGCTCGCAAACACCTGCCCGGGCTCCCTCCTGCCCAGTGTGGGCCTGGGACATGCATGCATGGCTGCCAGGGTCTGGCATCTCCTGGCTGCTCTGCAGGTTCCAGTGAAGTATAGACACGTGAGCATCCTGTTAGGGCCCCCAGAAGGCCCTCTAGGCCTGGGACCCTGGCCATCACCCAAGTGGGCTGTCATTTCAAGTGTGCTCAGCCCTGTTTCGTGTAGAGGGGGTTTGAGTGTTGCTGGGTCTGGAAGGCCGTGGCTCGGCCGGCTGTGACCAGCAGGCCAGGTCAGGCCTCGGCACGGCAGTGTCCGGTGGGTGCAGCACCAAGTGGGCTCCCCGGGTGTGGGGTTCGGTTTTGCCCTTTAATAAAACGACAGGTTCTTGAGGGAGTGGGAGAGGTTTCCCCCTCCAACCCCTGGGACACATGGAAACGTCTGGAGGCATTTTTGGCAGTCACGGTTGGGGCGGGTCCTGATGGCATCTGGTGGGCAGAGGCCAGGGATGCCACCCCCATCTCTGGGCAGGACAGCCTGTGGTAGAGAATGCAGGGGCCCACAGGTGGGCAGGGAGGCAGCTGGGTGGGCTTGTGGGGCCTTTTCATGCCGTGACCCTCATCCACTAAGGCCCCAGCCTGAGAGTCAGCTCCGCGTTGATTACCGTCGTTGCCCACATGCGCGTGTGAGACGACGGGGCCCAGGGGCCTGAGCCAGCCCCACAGGGCTGGGCGGAGAGGGGCACCAGCAGGGCTCTGACGTCAGGCCCGCAGCCACTTCAATGGTTTCTGTGCCTGCAGTTCCTCCGGGTCACGAAGCAGTACCTGCCACACGTGGCGCGCCTGTGCCTGATCAGCACGTTCCTGGAGGACGGCGTCCGCATGTGGTTCCAGTGGGGCGAGCAGCGCGACTACATCGACACCACGTGGGGCTGTGGCTACGCGCTGGCCTCCGCTTTCGTGTTGCTCAACCTGCTCGGACAGCTGAGTGAGTGGCCTTGAAGCGCGTGCTTGGGGGCTGGAGACAGTGTCACCTGGGGGTCTCCCGGGGTGGTCACTGCGCCCCCTCCTCTCCTTCCCGGGCAGCAGGCCTCTGGGCGGGATGACACGGTCCCTGTCTCAAGCACCTAGAGAGGGACACATGGGGGACCTGAGGGGGTGACATGGTCCCTGTCTCAAGCACCTGGAGAGGGACACATGGGCGAGCTGGAACCCTGGGTGTCAGGGGAGGATGAGTGAAAGGACACAGAAGACGAAGAGCATCAGGTGGGCATTCAGCTCCCGTGGGCCTGGGTTCTCCCTTTGCTGACCGCTGTCTTCTGGTGGCAGCCCCCCTCCCTGTGCCTCGTGGGGCTTTCTAGTCTGTCCACGGTGAAGTTTCTGAGGGACCACACACTCTGGGAGAGGCCCCTTCTCTGGTGCAAGGGATCTACTTTCTAGAACCGAGTTTCCAATAAGCGAGGTCCAGCTGAGGCGTGTGGTCTGCGCCTATCACTGGTTCTCCTGGAAGTCACTTTTCCTTGGGGTGGGTAGTTAGGCTGCTGCTGCACAGGGCTCAGGCGAGGTGGCCAGGTACCCGGGTACCCGGTGGCGTCCCTTCACCCGGGACATGCCCACAGCCTCCTGACCCTCGCCCTTCTCCTTTCCAGCTGGCTGCATCCTGGTGTTGAGCAGGAACTTCGTACAGTATGCCTGTTTTGGGCTCTTTGGAATCATAGCACTGCAGGTACATGGGGCGTGAGGTCCGGGTCTCTCTCTTCCTGCTGAGCTTCTGCAAAAAGGCATTTTTGGGGATTCGGCTTCACTCCCCCCTTGAGCCTTCTGCCTCTGGCTGAACCTCCTTTTCTTTGCTGAGAAATCACTGGATTTTCCTCAAAGCAAGCTCAGGAGAGCTGGAGAAGATGGTGCCCCGAGAAGGCCCCAAGCTCTGGGTACCCACGTTTTTGCCATCTTCCGGAGTTCCTTTGACTGGGGGACGAATCATAAGGTTGGCTGAGGCCAGGACATTATCTTATCATTTCATCTCCTAAGGAATGCCCGTGTGCTGCGTGGGCTGCATAACACAGTGCATCTTAACATCTTAACCTAGCACACCTTGGGCACAGCTCTGGTGAGCAGGTGCGTGCTAAGCAGGTCCAGGCTGGCGGCATGCCCCGAGAGATGCTGAGCCAGGTTATAGAACTTGGCGCTGTCCTGGGTCCAAGCTGTTCTGTACCTCCTAATGTTCTCACTCATGGCAGAGAAGTTGCCTCGGTAGGAGTCTGAATGGGTTTGAAAATGCTGAGACTTAAGCTTCTGTCTCTCTTCTCTGTTCCATTCAGACCATTGCTTACAGCATCCTATGGGACTTGAAGTTTTTGATGAGGTATGTGTGCTCCTGATGGTGAGCTTCCTTTTCACGTCTCTAGACCCTGGAACTAGCAGTCGGGGTGAACTTCTTTAGGTCCGAGTGGCTTTGGAGTCTGGGGGGTTGGCAGAGGCTTCCCCTCCCCACCCTGAGCACAGGGGACAAGGCAGCCTTTTCTCCCAGCCCTGTGTTCATGAGGGAGGGAGGGAGGCCAGAATGAGCACACTAGCTCACAGGGACCCAATTGGTCGTCAGTGGGGCCAGGACTAGGATGGGTCCCGAGCGTGTTCAGGTTCCTGTCACCATTTGGCACAACAGCCACAGAAGGCCCTTGGAGCTATCAGTCAGTCACCTGGCTGGTCCAGCTTGGTGTGGAGAGGGACCTAGGGGCCCTTTCTGTGCTCCCGCCAAGGCTTTGTGACCTGGTCTGAGGGGCACGTGCCCGATGAGCCTTAGTGACTCACCTGGTGTTTGTTGTCAGGAATCTGGCCCTGGGAGGAGGCTTGCTGTTGCTCCTGGCGGAGTCCCGTTCTGAGGGGAAGAGCATGTTCGCAGGGGTCCCCACCATGCGCGAGAGCTCTCCCAAGCAGTACATGCAGCTGGGAGGCCGGGTTCTGCTGGTCTTGATGTTCATGACCCTCCTCCACTTTGATGCCAGCTTCTTCTCGGTAAGTGTTCCTGTTTGCTTGGATGGGTCAGGTCTCCTGGCCTTTGGGAGCCCGTCCCCTTCCCTGGTTGCATACTCAGCCTTGTTGAGGGGCTGTTGGAATGATGTTCCAATGAGTTGGCTCAAAGGAAGCAAACCTTTGATCCTATGAAAAGGAATGAAGACCCGTCAAGTCCTGTGAACCCAGAGTAGGCACACGAGGTCTAGAGTCTCCCTGAGCTCACGGGAGGACCAGGCACCTGGCGTGCTGGCCTCCGGGCTGCCCACTCAGGCTCCTTACAGACCCTCGCTTTATTTCTTGCCCACCGCTCCCACCTTTAGGGCATGCTATGTGCGCCAGGTGTCAGCTACAGAGCTGAAGTTCTGTCCTGTCCCCAGGAGCTTACAGCGCCCCTTTTTTGAGCCAGCTGGGCGCCCTGGCCAGGAGAGGTTCCCAGGAGGGGTTCCCGGCGCCCTAGGAGGGGGAGCCCAGCCCTAAGAGAATACTGGGGAAGATCTCGATGGCTTGTAGGCCCCCAGGGTCCTGGTAAATCACAGCCTGTGCAGTGGAGGCTTTCCTTTACCCTTCCTGACTGTTGGTGTTCAGAGTGTTGCTCTGTGTACCGCCCCCTGCACCAGTCTTTACTTCTCACTTGGACACAGCCCTTCTGTGACATCGCCCCGACACTGACAAGGGAAGTTGGAATTTGCCTGTTGATAAAACACAGTATGAGTATGTCTTTTCTTCCTCACCTCTTTCTGAATTTCTTGCCTTCCGACCTTTGCAGATTCTTCAGAACATCGTGGGCACAGCTCTGATGATTTTAGTGGCCATTGGTTTTAAAACCAAGTTGGCTGCTTTGACTCTTGTCGTCTGGCTGTTTGCCATCAACGTGTATTTCAACGCCTTCTGGACCATTCCTGTCTATAAGCCTATGCACGACTTCCTGAAGTATGACTTCTTCCAGACCATGTCGGTGATTGGAGGCTTGCTCCTGGTGGTGGCTCTGGGCCCCGGGGGCGTCTCCATGGACGAAAAGAAGAAAGAGTGGTAACACACCCCTTCCCTGCCTGGCTGAGACCTGTGGCCATCGAGGACTGGTTCGGGGTGGATTCGACAAAACTGCCAGCATTTATGTATCCTCTTCCCTTCTCTCCCTTGGTAAAGGCACAGATGTTTTGAGAATTTATTTGCAGACACCTGAAAATTGATGGTTAAATCTGCTCTGGACCCACACCCTAGTATCCGGCCATTGGGGCTGGCCAGCTGACCGACAGTACCTCCCCCACCAAGGCAAGGCCTCAGCCTCTCAGAGTGAGTGGCCGGCTGGGCTGTGGTCTCAGTTCCTGTTTTGTTTTGCGGGTGGGGGCCTCAAGCTGTACTGTGAGCAGATACATTGGTGTATCATTCAAAGTGGTCTCCCTCTTCTTATTTTTTAAGTTTACGTTTTTAGCCAAAACAAAAGAATTCGGGATGGCCCAGCCCAACATCAAATACACTGTCAAAGCCCTGGTTTATTTGAACCGCACCCGTGGCTTCAAGTTGTCCCTGCCTTGCATTATATTACTTGTGGGAATAGTGACAGCACTTCGAGACCCAAACCCAAAGAAGGAAGCTGTACTGGAGGGGTGGCCGAGGCCGCTGCTCATGGTGAAGTCCCTCATCAGAAAGCCAGCTCAGATTGGTACAGATTTTTTAGAGAGTAATCCCCCCAGAGCTTTAGTGGCTCAGGGTGGGGACGGAGGGGCCCGAGGTCCTCCAGCGCCCCAGAACCCGTAGGGATCCCAGCTCCAACCCTGGCCTGGCCACATGCCTACAAGTTGGCTCCCCCATGAGGGGTATGGGCTGAGTGGCAGCCGCGTGGGGCAGGGCGGCAACAAAGCGGCCTCTCAGACCAGTTACCTCACCCCCGACCTTTACACAGCCTCTGCTGAGCCGCGGGCCTGGCCTGGCTGAGCACCCGCCTGGTTCTCTGGCGGGAGGGAGCAGTTCCCCAGGCTGAGCGGCCGTGACTTACCATCTTCTCAAGGCTGTCGCTTGCTCAGAGTGTCTACTTGCTATGCTGAATGCAGCCCAAATTACTTTTTACGATTTGTGATGCCTTACCGATTGGATCTTAATCCTGTATTTAAAGTTTTCTAACATTGCCTTATACTGTGTTTCTCTTCTTGGGGGTGTGAGCGCCTGTGGCTCTTCTCTGCTCGCTGGACTGTAGCGAACACCACGAGGGGAGAGTGGGACATCTCTGTGCTTCCCCCCAGTCCTCCCCCAGAACCTCTTGGGGGCAGGCTGACCAAACTCAAGTGAGGACTGATCAGAGCTTTTCTTTTCTCCTGGTTCATGAGCGAGGTGTGCAGGCCTCAGGGTCCTGCTCAGGGATGCTGGGGCCAGTCCCGAGCCAGGATCCACATTTCCCAGCCAGACCAGAGCCAGTGTGAGGTGGGGAACCTGCCCCACTTTTGCCTACCTATGCTCCTAGAACCTTTACTGGCTCCATAGCCTGGACCCACCAAACCTGAGGGCCACATGGCACACCTTCTTGATGCCCCCGCCCTGGTAGAGGCTCACCCCCAGATGTCCCTAAACCCTCCCCCACGGCCCACTTGCATGCCCCTTTGGCCTTCTGAAGATGAAGCAGTGGCTTATCGGACAGAGGCTTTTTCTACTTCCCGACACTAGGACATTTACCACACAAAGGGGTTTCTACCTGCTGGGGCCACCTATTGGCCTACCCCCTCCCCCATCAGCACAGCACGACAGTCCTATCAATCGACACTCAGCCAGGTCCGTTCCTCTGTGACACGGTATTTGATGGTACGGGTCCCTCTTGACCCTGTGCTCGCAAGACCTTTTCTTTGTCAGTTTGTAGAAACAGGTGGACCCCAGGAGGCTGACGGGTGTGGTCAGAGGACACCCTCAATGCTAGGGGGTGTTCTGGCCTCCCGGGGCCCTGCGCAGGCCGGTGCCTGGGACAGGGTAGATGCCTTTGCAGGGAGGAGAAAAAAAAACTACCAATTGGCTTTGGCAAAACAATTTCTGAAAATTTTTTTGCTTTATGTGGGAAATAGGTATAAATCTCATTTTATGCTGTATTTTATATCTTAGTTGTGTTTGAAAACGTTTTGATTTTTGAAAACATCAAAATAAATAATGGCATTTGTTGTACGCAGTGTGGTCCTCTGGTGTTGTCCAGCTGGGGTGAGGCCTCGCCAGGCCTCTCCTCAGACGCTGAGTGAGCCTGACGGACCCCTAGGCTTCACTGAGGACCACTTAGAAGCCATGTCCACACGTAATTCTTCCCTTGGGGTCCCTGCTGTTTCTTGGGGACTGGGAGTGTGCCCCTGAGCCTGGGGGCCAGACCCTCAGCCCACCAACATGGAGTGGATGGAGAAGGGCCTGGGACACCCCAGCAGCTGAGAGGATGCACCGCAGACGATGAAGAGGAACACGGGGTCGAGTGTCTGAAGGACTCTCAGGCTCTCTACATGTGCTTTCTCCAGCAGCCGTTTATTAACCACAGTGTTTAAGAGAGCTGAAGCTCTTAGCTTTACGATGATGACTTTTGAACTTCTTCTTTGACAAACTCAACTGCTTCTGGAACACGAACAGAGGGTTCCAGGTCATGAGCCTTTCCCGTCAGAGAGGAAAGGGCCCCATGGGGACACCCGGCCGCAGAGACAGGCCAGCTCTCTGTGGCCATTCTCCTCTGCTGCTGGCCTCCCGGCACCCCCGCGTCCCCAACTTCCTTGAGCCCGGCTTTGCTCTGCTCAGCTATCACGGATGATGGCACTGGCGATGGCAAAGGGAAATAAGTCCTTCCCTCAGCCGGAAGCAGCCCCCACATGTCAGGGCAGAGCGGCCCTGGCTCCTGTTTTACTTACAAACTGTTAGCTTGGCACTTTGTTGGCAAGAACAAGGTTCTTTAAAAAAAATTTTTTTAAGGAAATGGAAAGCTATCCCCAGAGGAAGCTGCTGCCACACCAGCAGCCCCGGAGGTGACACTCACCTTCCCACGCTTGTGAACTAGTGCCTGGGCCACTTCCATCTCTTCTCTGTCCCCAGGGCCCTTCCCTGGTGTGAGCCTCGGCTTCCCGTCCTCATCTTCTGTCAAAAAGTCACTGGTGCTGTCGCCAGGCTCAGTCCTTCCCAGGTCCTTTCTGGTGAACAACTCGGCTGGAAGGCATGGAGGGACGGGCAATTTCAGCTTAGCTTCACCGTCTGCACAGGGCTGAGCAGGGGGCGGCAGGCCAGGGCCCAGGACTCGAGGTGGGACAGACGGAGGCATAAACCAGACAGCCAGGACCCAAATCTGCAGGAAGGGGGGTGGGGGGGCAGTCCCACTTACGCGGGTACAGGTCTGTCATGCTGTCATCACTGTCACTGGCAGCTGCATCGTCCTCGCTGGATGCAGGTTCCCAGAAGGCTTCTCTTGAGTGAGGTGGCCCAGTGCCGTCCATCTGGGCTTCCCTCCTCCTTCTCTTGTGCAGGAGGCAGGCGGGCACATATTCCACACCCTGCTTCTGACACTTTTCATCTGGAAGACAGACCAGCACACTGCCTGGTTCTGTGCCTGCCCCTGTCCTCCAGTGCGGGGCTACGCAGGAGTGGGGCCTTGAGCACTGAACCCCCCAAACCCTTGCCTGGCCTCAGGAGCCCCAGGGAGGGTGGCTGGGCCCCCACACCGAAGCCACAAGGTCCCATGTAGAGGACTCGGGGAGGCCAGGAGCTCAGTGTGGCAGATCCAGATTGAGCTGAGATGAGGAGCAGGGTGGCACCGACCAGCCTGGCTTCTGAACCCTGCCCTGTGTGGGCATGGCTCCTGTCCATGCAGCCCCCTCAGAGAGGAGGGAGGGGACTGGGCCCCCTGGTCTCTGATGTCTGCTTCTGCCCTCCTCCAAGGACATATCCTCTGCCTTACCTCTGCCCCACAGGGCCTTGTGGCCACTGGGCTCTGCACCCGGGTCTCCTCTCTGCACTCCTAGCCGCTGGTCCTATGAACCACATACCCCAACATAGGATGACTCTAGCCTGTGGGGAAACCCAGGCCCCCCTTCCCGCCCACACCAAGCAGCCCTCAGGCTCTGCACCTGCATAGGATGCCTGCTTCTCAGCTATCCACAACATCCCTCACTACTGTCCTGAGGTGAAGACTGTGCCTCGTTTCTTCCTGGGAGAAACCCCGCCTTCAGAGTTCTCTTCCTTATCCTGTCTCTGTGTCTGTCCCCAAAGCCCCTGGTCGTCCCAGCACTCCTAAAACCTCTGCCCCCGACCCCTCCACCTGGCTCCTCACCCTTCTGGACTCCTTTGTGCTCAGACCCAGCCCCATCCCTTCTTCCTTCGCTCCGTGTTGGTGATGTGCACCCTCCGAGCACTGGCCCGACTTCAATAGCCACCGTCCCCCGACATAGGTTGAAAGGAACACTTCATTTCCTCAGGGGATCTCTTATCCAGATGCCACTTTCCAAACCGCAGATCTTGAGCCAGGAATTGAGGAATCCAGGTGACTTCTAACCTCACTCCCTCACCTACTGATTCTAGCCACAGACAGTTCTGCCTGTCCACATCTTCCCTGCCCACACTGGTGGTGCCACAGCCCTGCTTCAGTCCTTTCAATGCATCTCCACCTCCCGTGGTCCAGGCCATGGCCTCCAAGACCCCCTGTGGTCGTCTCCACCTCCCTTGCTGACTGACCTCCCCTTGCATGGTGGCATGGAGGCCATCCTTCAGGAGCTCCGGCAGCCAAGGGTTCTTCTGACCTTGGCTGAATCCCTGCCTCTACTCCCCACGGACAGCCCTCGGCACCCGTCCTTCACAGCACGTAGCAGTCACCAGCCTGCAGCGACCTCGGGGCCCACCGCCTGCTTTATCCCCACCTCCAGCCCCATGCCTCTCCTGGGCTGGGCCCAGGGTACCACCAGCGGCTGCCAGTGGGTGACTGAGACGCTGCTGCTGCCTTCCAAGGGCGCTTGTCCTGGAGGAGAGAGCAGGCCGTGTCCACCCACGGCTACTTACATTCACACAGGGCTCTCTGGTACCGCTGGCCCTGGGTGTGCCTCAGCACATGCTCTGGGGACTTGTTGATGTGCCGCAGGGTGAGTTTGCAGAACAGCTGGTGCCTGGGGGACAGGGACAGTCATGAGGATCTCAGCCAGCCTGACAGCAAAGGTCTAGGATGGGGCCTGGGCAGCAGGGCGGTCCCCTCTGCAGTCGAGGTGGGCAAGCACCGGTCCGCCGGGCTGTGACCTCCCGCGGTTGGCCTGGAACCCAGGCCTGGCCAGCCTCAGCAGCCCGCCCCTGCTCCAGGGGATGCGGGGAAGACTCGGCGGCCCGCCCGGCCGAGCGCGAAGCGGCAGCCACCACCGCCCTCTTCCTTTCAGCCCCTGTCCGCAAACAGCGGCGGCTACACCAAAGTCCTCGCTAAGTATGTGAAACTGGCCCCACTCAGAACCTGAAGGGGCAGACCTCGGCCCCACGAGAAGCAAACAGGCCGCAGGGAGGGGCCCAGCCTCCCCGCGCTGTCGGCTGTCGGCTGTCGGCTGTCGTCGGTAACACACGCCGGTGGGCACGTCCCCCTCGGAGCCCCGCCCGCAGCGGCCCCGCGCACGTACGGGTTCTTGGTGCTGGGCACGATGTGCGGCTCGAACTCCGCGTAGTCGAAGGCCGGGGCGGCGCGGACCAGCCGCCGGTATTTCTTGCCGCGGGTGTAGACCTCGAGCTCCGGCAGACGGCAGGGCAGCTCGTGGCCGGTGAGGACGCACTTGACCTGCGGGCAGGAGGGCGGGCGAGGGGGTCAGGGGGGCCCGGGGCGGCCGCGCGGCGCGGCGCGGCGCCTCCCCCCGGGCCCGCGGACCTTGTGCGCGCCGGGCTCCAGCCGCAGACTCGGGTGCTGGCGCAGGAAGGCGCGCACGTCGGCCGGAGGCTCGCCCATGGCTCAGTCCCGGAGGCGGGCGCCGCTCGCACCGCGTGGACCGTGGGCCGGGGGCGGGGCTCGGCGGTGCCCCGGAAGCAGATGCCTCGCGGCCCGGAAGTGCCGGCGGGCGATGGCGGCGGCGGGGCGGTGGCTGGGGCTGCGGGCGGCGGCGGCGGCGGCGGCGGCGGCGGGGCGGGTGAGCGGCGCGGGCGCGTCGGGCGGGCTGGGGGCCAGCGTCCCGGCTTGGGGAGCTCAGCCTGTGTCCCGGTCTCCGCAGGGCCCGCCCCGCGCGGTCAGGAGGAGCGTCCTTGCGGTCCCCCTGCGCCCAGGTGAGAGGACTGGCTCGCGGGTGCCCCGGGCGACCGGGAAGAGCCGGCCCCGCTCCCGTCCTCCGCTCTGTCCCGGGGCCGCGGCCTTGAGGGGAGCTCGGAGCTGCCCCCTTCCAGCGCCTGATGGGGTTTGAAGGCCGGGAGCCTGGGACCCGCGGCCTGCGGGCTGCGCGAGCACCGACAGCCGGGAGCGGGGCGCCGCGCGAGGGGGAAGGGTGCTCGTCAGCCCGCTGCAGCCTTTTTTTTTTTTTTTTTTTTTAACCTTCCACAAAGCCCGTGTTACTGCCTTGAGACTCACACTCCGACAACTAAAATACGCTTTCTGAGTACGTTGTTCCAGCTTTAGGCTTATGAGCAGTGGAAAGGAAGGTGTTCGAGCGCTGCGCGCCGTGAGCCGCTATCCCGGGTTTTCACGGTTCTGTCTCTGCGCGGGTGCGTCTTAGTGCGATGGAGTACATCGCAGAGTATTGTTGTGTAAAAGGCGCAGGTGGTTACGGGGGTTACCCGGGGTCACAGCTGGTGGCACAGCAGGACTAAGCCCCAGGCCGTGTTTATTCAGTCAGTAAACAACACCGAGTGTGCAGCGTGTGACCCCAGTTTAGAAGCTGGGCTGGACGCAGGTGTCACTGGTTGGCTCCTGGCCACAGGCTGTGGCCTGTTTACTGTCTGGCAGTAGTAGTGGCGTCTCCTTGAGGGATTGGCTGCTCCCGTTCTATTTGTCAAGGGTTTCTGACCCTGGGCCTGTGGTGTTGAACTTCCCAGGGTTGGCCTGGAGGCCAAGCAGGTGTGGCAGTTCTGCAGCTGAAGCACCTGCCACAGAAGCCCAAGAAGACTCCTTCCTCCAGTGGTTCCTGCTTCTCATTCCTGTGACAGCCTTTGGCCTGGGGACATGGCAGGTAAAGCCTGACTTCTAGCTCTGGCGGCTCTGAACTTTTGCCCTTGCTGCCATCTGCTCGGGTTTGTACTGTTCCCACAGGTCCAGCGTCGAAAGTGGAAGCTGCAGCTGATAGCAGAGCTGGAGTCTCGAGTTATGGCTGAGCCCATCCCTCTGCCAGCAGAGTGAGTGTGCAGCTGCCCACCTGCAACTGGTCTCACTTGGTCAGCAGTGGGGGCCTGGCTTCTGCTTGTAGTCCTGACCCTCACATGGGAGCCCCTAAAACAAGTTACCTTACTGGGTGTCCTGACAAACTTAGAAAAATATCTTTGATCCTGGATTTTACTTTTTTTTTTTTTTTTTGAGATGCATTGTACCTGAGGCATCCCCCACAGTGCTGATGGACCCCCTATAGCAGTGACTCTTACCTGATGGGTGAAGGAGGGCAGAGTGTACCCTCATGTCATGTCTTAACATCAGAGCATTATCTTGAAAGAGTGCTGCAAATGATTCTACAGTGTCTACCCCTCGTTTCAATGCACTCTCTTGGAGCAACAGTCCACAGAGCTTCCCATTCAGGGGAGCAGACGTGTGTGCTGTATTTGTAATAGTGTGCAGGCCTGGAAGGGTTTGAATGTCCTGCCAAAACTTGCTTCGCCTCAGCCTCACTTCTCCCCACTCCCATGTAGCCCAATGGAACTGAAAAATCTGGAGTACAGGCCAGTGAAGGTCAGGGGGCACTTCGACCACTCCAAGGAGCTGTACATGATGCCTCGGACCATGGTGGACCCAGCCAGGGAGGCCCGGGAGGCCGGCCGTCTCTCTTCCTCGCCTGAGAGTGGTGCCTATGTCATTACCCCCTTTCACTGCACTGACCTGGGGTGAGTGGGACATGCAGGGATGAAGCAACCTTGGGGAAATCTGAGACCCAGAAGTTTCAGTTTCCTTAAGAGTTTGGAATTAGTACTTGACTTCGCTAAGCCCATTCATTTCAGTTCTTCCTGAATCATTCATCTGCATGAAACTCTGAAGCAAATGAAATTGGCCACCTTGGCCAACACACTAAATGGTCATAGTGCAGTACGAGGTGGGGGCTCGTGTGAGGACTGAGGGAAGGGAAAGGAAAGGAACCAAACTCTCACTCGGGTGGAATCAGGGAAGGGTTCCCAGGTGCCCACTTGGGCCACAAATGGAGTCAGGAGGGGGAGGGCAGTCCAGGGAAACGACCTGTCCAGCAAGGGGGCACTGTGAGCTCAGCCAGAGCAATTTCCTGGCTTCAGGTGTGGGAGGGTCTCTGCAACCCCACAGGCAGGTCCAGAAGGCAGCTGCTCTTCACAGAGAAGCTGCTATCTGAAACCTTGCTGTTGCAGTGGCTGAGGCACAGGGAAGTGGAGATGGGGGGCGGGGGGCACACCTGCATGAGAAAGGAAGACCTTCCCAGTGATGTACCTGCAGGCTAGCCTTGTCTTAAACCATCTCAGACACCATCCTTGTTCTCATAGGGATGACCAGCGATAATCTTTATTCAAAGATCCTTTCCTGCCCTGAAAGCATACTTCTGTTTATTCCAGAGTCACCATCCTGGTCAACAGAGGGTTTGTCCCCAGGAAGAAAGTGAATCCTGATACACGGCAGAGAGGCCAGGTGAGGAGCCTGAACCTTCCCTTGTAAGCAGGGCTGTCTAGAAACCGCCAGCCCTGGAGAACAGTCTTGGTTTCCTTTGTAGGTCGAGGGAGAAGTGGACGTAGTTGGGATGGTGAGGCTGACAGAAACCAGGAAGCCCTTCGTCCCAGAGAACAACCCAGAAAGGAACCACTGGCATTACCGGGACCTGGAGGCAATGGCCAGGCTCACCGGCGCAGACCCCATCTTCATCGATGCAGACTTCCGTACGTTGTGAGCGGCCTGCCTTCCTTTCAGCCCTGGACATGGCTGTTACTTCCTGCTGCCTGCATTTTAGCGTGTGGGAGGAGTGTCTGGTGGGCACTAAGGAAAGGAGGCCACAGGGTCTAGTTACAGGTCCAAGGCCTCACTGAATTTGACAGCTAGAAAGAGCTCTGGAAGGCCCCATAGAGACAGCTGACCAAACTGCCCTAGGGATTGTGGACACTAAATCCACTGTCTTTGCAGAGAGCACAGTCCCCGGGGGACCCATTGGAGGGCAAACGCGAGTCACGCTGAGGAATGAACACATGCAGTACATCCTCACCTGGTAAGTCCCCGCCTCTGGCTGCTCCCTCCTCTTCCCCTTCTAAACTCTTGACTGCTCATCTCTTCAACCCAAGGTATGGCCTCTGTGCAGCTACATCCTACCTATGGTTTAAGAAATTCCTACGTCGGACTCCTGGTGTATGATCTACTGAAGTAGCTCCGCTCCTCTCCTGAATAATCACTAAGTCACAGATTTCTTTTTATATGATTTATGTGGGTTAGGTATGAGCGGTATGAATAAATCCATACAGTACACATGCCGTGCCTGCCTTTTCTACCTATGCAGCAATCTGTGATCATAATCAGTGGGTTCAAGTACCATGTACCAATGTGTGGGTGAGCTGCTTGTTCAGAACCATTGCCCCCCCCCCCCCACATAGCATGTCTTCTTCCCCTAACTCCCGCCCTGCACCAAATACAAATCCTGGATTTTAAACAACTCTAACTTACCGTAACAAGATCAAGTATATTCAACCCCAAATACCCACTGACACTCACTGAAAGAGAACCTTTTATTACTTTTATGTACAGAAAATTCAACAGCGTCCACTTAGCCCAGCTTGGTGGCCAGTTCTTTAGCCTTTGCTTTTTCCAGCTTGGCGATGCGAGCCACTGACTTCGGACCCAGGACGTTGCCTCCCCAGTGGCGGCGGATCTGCAAAGACAGAGGGGTCAGCATCGGCCGTCGAGGCTCCCACTACGCTAGCTCATGCAATCTCCTACTGGAGTGCTTAGGAGGGCAGTCAGCCCCAGTCCTCTCACCAATGACTTACCTCATCGTATCTGTCATTGTAATTGGTCCTGATGGCTTCTACCAGCTTAGCCAGAGCTCCCTTGTCTTCCCTAAAAAGGCAGGGGTTAGGGGAAAATCTGGGTCATTAGCTTCTCTTCTCAGTTACCTTCCAAAAACCAGGGAGGATTTGCTGACCCAACAAGCCCTTTGCCTCAGATACAGTATGACCACATGGCTGGTTCAGGTGAAGAAATTCGTAACCATCATTGGCAAAGATTTAGATAGACACACTCCTTTAGAAAAGTATGATGTTTGATCTTTAGGGTAAAATCCTAAAGGAATTAAAGGAACTGGGTGTGTGTGTGGGGGGTCCCTGACCTCCACTGGCTGTTGGGAGTTTGGAGCCATCTTGCATACTTACGAGTTAACCTGTGTGAAGGCGACAGTGGTGCAGGTCTTCCTGTGGACCAGACGCCCCAGCCTGGCCTTCCCCTTGATAATGCAGTAAGGAACCCCCATCTTACGACACAGGGCAGGCAGGAAGACAACCAGCTGGAAGACAGAGTTAGCTCTAGAGTGTATTTTGACCAAAACGGTAATTTAAAACCTAACTCTGTAACAAGTGCTGAGGATTAAACTCCTGGATATACACTTCAAGGTTTAATTCAGTAAGAAATCCACATCATTGTAATGGCTATCACGCGGATCCCTCGTCAGTACCGTCCTCCATAGAAAGCAGTCACCCCACCTTGGCCCAACATGCCAGACAACATTCAGCTTTAGCCTTCCTGATACCAACATAAAGACCCAACCTAGGCTCGATAGTGGATACTTCGACGTACCTCAATGGGATCCACATCGTGGGCTATCACTACCAGCTGAGCCTTCTTGTTTTCCACCAAGGTGGTGACAGTGTTAACCCCTAGGACACAGAACCCATTAGCCTGAGCAGTCCGTGGGGGCTGCTCTGTTCACAAAAGCCATCCTACTACTCTGGGCCCGGCTGTGACTCAGGGTTAAAAAGCTCGATTTTACTCTTCACAGAGATTCCAGGTGAAGAAATTCCTGCATCATTGTCAACAGCCGGCCCCACCACTCACCCGTGGAGAAGGGGCCCACTCACCAGCTCGAAGGACAGGCGGCCTCTTAGTGGGGACATCCCCTTTGCCCGCAGCTTTCTTCTCGGCCCGGGCCAACAGCCTCTGCTTCTTCTCCTGCTTGGTCTCTGGTCTGTACTTGTGGGCCAGCTTAAGCAGTTGTGTAGCTGGAAAAATCACGGTTTAGGTTTGTGTTTTAGGCTCTGGTCTGTGCCACCTGACCTCACGCTAGGCCACTGTCTGTAGTGATCCCTTCAGCGGCACCACCTCCTACCCTCACATCCCATGAGCTAGAGGTTTCCTAAGTTATGATAACCCAACGTACTCGAAAATGCCCACCGCCCCCCAAACATCTGCGGGTCCAGCCGTGTCACCACCCCGTCCAGGAGGTTTTGTCCACAGCAGCTCACCTGTTTGGCGGTCCAAGGCCTGGGTGAACTGGTTGATGGCCGGAGGCACCTTGAGACGTTTATACAGGATGGCCCTCTGGCGCTGCAGCCGGATGTAGCGCGGCCACTTGACAAAGCGGGTGAGGTCCCTCTTGGGCTGGATGTCCTGTCCTGAGGGGAGGGCAACACGGGTCGGGGCGGCTCAAGCTCCGGCGGCGCTGCCGGTAGGGCCCCCCGAGGACGCGGGTGCATCAGCGATCTTGGTGGTTTCAAGCGTCATCACCATCTCTCGGATAGCAAATATTCCTTCACATCATCTGCACGCACACCGGGGAGCGCCGCGCCCCGCCCCGCCCCGGCGGAGGGACGGGCTCCCACCCCTCCGCTGCTCTCCAGGCGGCCGCCTCCCGCCCCGGCCGCACTCACCGATGCCGAAGTTCTTAGGCCTCTTCTCGAACAGGGGGTTGACCACCTTCTTGGCCTCCTGCTTCTTCACCACGGCAGGGGCCGGGGCCACCTTCTTCCCCTTCGCCTTCTTCCCTTTCGGCTGGGCGAGAAGGGAGGGACCCAGTCAGCCCTGGCCCGCGCCTCGCCGTGCGGGGCCCCGCGCAGGCTGCCAGCCGTCAGGCGCTCAACACCTCGACGTGAGCCCGGCAGCCGCGGCCGCCCCGGACTCGGAAGCGCGCGCGCCCGAGGAGCCCCGCATTGCGCGCTGCGCTCCCGCCCGGCCCTCGCCCGCACTCCCGGAGGCAGCCGTCGGGGTTACACACGGCCCAGCGCCTCCCTGCCAGGCCCCGGGGGGCTCCCCTAGCGCCCGGCGGTGGAGGGACCCCCGCACGGCCACGCCCCGAGGAGGATGGCGGCGGATAGAAGCCGGACTCGGCGCCGACACAATGAAAGCCGAGACCACTCACCATCTTGGCTTGCCGGAGAAGAGAGAAAGAAAAGGGAATTGTGGGCGATATGTAGGCGACCTTGGAGATCGCGAGAACTGGAGCCCGCGCGGGATTTCGGATTTAAAGCGACAGGACCGCTCTCGCCTACCCACTCACGCCGCCCCCGCAGGAGGCGGCGCCTAGCGCGGTAGCCGCGGCCGGTCTGAGCCGGCGGGAAGCCGGGACTTCCGGGGAGGGGCGCGCGCTCGTGCGCCTCCCGCCTCCCGCCTGCGTCCCGCCGGGCCACCCCGGGCTCCGCGGAGTAGGTGGGGACGTCGGCGCGTCGGGGCGGGGTCGCCGTCTCCTCTCGGGTGTGAGCCTCCCTGCCCCGCTGCCTAGTGGCTCCCAGGCCGCGAGCTGGGTGGGTCGGCGGGGCGCGGGCGCGGGCGCGGGCGCGGGGTCAGCCTGTGCGGAGCGAGCGGGCCCCGGGGCGGCGCGGGTGGGCGTCTGCGGGCCTCCGGCCGACGCTCGCTGGCCCAGGGCGCCGGCCCGTGCGTGTGCCCACGGCCGCACGGTGTGCTGGCCGGGACGGGGCTCCCCGAGACCGAGTCTCTGCTGAGGCGGGGGCACGGAGGGCGGCGGCTGGGGGTGGCTCCGCTCACGCCGGACTCCGGCCCGCAGGTGCCGCCCAGGCCCGGCCATGGCCCAGCAGAGAGCCCTGCCGCAGAGCAAGGAGACGCTGCTGCAGTCCTACAACAAGCGGCTCAAGGACGACGTCAAGTCCATCATGGACAACTTCACCGAGATCATCAAGACCGCCAAGGTAGGGGCGGGTGGGCCGGCTCCCGCCCTTCCGAGACAGGATGGGATGGGGTGAGTGCGTGCCGGCGGTGCGGAGCAGCAGTGAGCGACGCGGCCAGGGCCTTGCTCCCCCCACCCCGCGGCAACAGGTCACCCGGGGACCGAACCAGCCGGTTGGTTACCCGCTGCGGTGAGATGGCCAGGCTTCCATGTGCCGCACCACCTACCAGCCGCATGGACCTCGGGGGGAGTGGACTCCGTGCCTTGGTTTCCCTGCATCCTAAGGCCCTTCTGGTGACTGGGTGACTTTGTGTAAAGTGGTTACCTGCGGCCTGATGCGGGCCAAGGCGCCTTTTGCCCAAGGGCCATCAGGGAGAAAAGCTGGGAAGGCCCCTCCAGGTGTCTGGGTGGGGTCGGGCCAACCTGCGGGGCTGCACCAGGCAGACCTGCGGGGCTGCGCTGCACCAGGTGCGGGTGGATCTTGAGCCGCTGTAGACCTCAGAAGGCCGGGTAGCACCGTGATGAAGAAAGCTAGCCTGTATTAAGCGTGTGTTCACCGTGCTCTGTTGTGAGGGCTAGGACTAGCGTATATTATGCGTTTAACCTTCACAGGAGCTCTGTGGGGCAGGCACTTCTTGTCTCCGTGTTTAAAAGTGGAAACTAAGGCTCAGACTTAGTAATTCGCCAAGGTCATTCTGCGAATAGCCAGCAGAGCCAGGATTTGAACCCAGGAAGTCCAACTCCTCACTTTAAAGTGCCCTGCCCCCAGCCCAGCCTGGCAAGGCCCCCTGTGGAAGCCCTGTCCCCATGGACAGGCTGGATGGAGCCTGAATAGCCTGCACTTTGGACGAGACAGGCCAGGCAGTGCTTCTGGTTCCTCCGTTTACTGTCGGAAATGCCTTGAGTGCACCCTCTGTGCTGTCCCTAACTCAGGTTTGCACCCTGGAAACCCAGGACGGCACTCCAGGCTTCTGCGACAAACCCGTGAGATAGGTAACGACGGTCAAGCGCTGACTATGGTGCCCAGCACCCTGGAGGAACTTGGTAGATGGTTGCTTAAAAGAGATACAACGAGCCTTCCTGCATTCAGTAATTTATCGAGCGTCTGAGTTAGTGACCTGGTTTGATACTGAACAGGGCTCTAAAAGAGACCTAGACCTCCTTGGCTGTGGCACCGCAGTCAGGGTACATGGACACCCATCTTTCTGGTGAAGGTGCCCCTTAGCTCCTAAGGACAGAACTAGTAGGCACGAGGCTGAAGGCTGTCCAAGGTCTGGCCAACAGGGCCTGGCAGAGAAGGCAAAGGGGATGAGAGGCAGCGGGTGTGGGTGTGCTGCAGCCGCCCAGTGACCTGCGGGCTGGGGCACCTGCCAATTCTGGGCTTTTTTGTTCGCCCTTCAGATCGAGGACGAGACGCAAGTGTCGAGAGCCACTCAGGGCGAGCAGGATAATTACGAGATGCACGTTCGAGCTGCCAACATCGTGAGTCACTAGGTGGGGGGCACAGCCCCAGCTGTGCAAGCCTCATGGTCCCACTGGGGCTTCCTGGGTGGGGGGCAAACTACTTCTCAGGAGACTCTTCCCAGGCGGGGGGCTGCCTGGCAGCTGTGCAAGGGGTGGCAGACTGTCGCTGCATCCATCACGGAGAGTGCTGTGCACTGGTTGGAAAGAGGTTGATCCTGTCTTGCTGACCAGAAGGCTCCCGGAGATTCATTGTGAGAGCAAAAGCACATTGCCGAACAAAACACGATGTGGGTTTTAATCCGTTCTGAGGTCACAGAACAGGCATGTCAGCCAAATGTTGTCATAGATTAATGCCCACAGGTGAAGATGCATAGGAGAGAAGCCCTGGAGATATCCTGCCCACCTGGCTTGCACACTGCCCCCAGGAAGCGCAGGGGCAGGAGTTCAGCAGGACAGTAGTTTTATCTTGGGGTTTGAGGCTTTGAGAAGCAGGCCATGTACCTGCATAACCTGAAATGGGAGGTCAGCGCCTCGTGGAGCAGCAGCCAGTGTGAGGGGAGGGACTGGGGAGCGTGTCATGCCGTCAGGGCCGTGCCATGGACCCTGTCCCCCGTGGCTCACTTTCAGTTCTTATTTCCTACAATGACCCCGTCATCGCTGTAGTCCCACTTTACAGACAAGGAAATGGAGGCAGGGCCGCTTGTGGCTCCCCACCCACGTCTGCCCTGGTTCTGATGGCCGCAGGTCCGAGCCGGTGAGTCCCTGATGAAGCTGGTGTCTGACCTCAAGCAGTTCCTCATCCTCAATGACTTCCCATCGGTGAATGAGGCCATCGACCAGCGCAACCAGCAGCTGCGAGCCCTGCAGGAGGAATGTGACCGGAAGCTCATCGCCCTGCGGGACGAGATCTCCATCGACCTGTACGAGCTGGAGGAGGAGTATTACTCGTCCAGGTACAGATAGGGCTGGACCCTGCGCAGAGCACACCTGTGGGCCCGGGCCCGGCCTGCAGCCCCGAAGGCCCTGTTTTTGCAAACCCTTCCTGGTCGTGGCAGCACAGACGCCTGCTCTGGTTTCAGAGCAGAGCTCGTGGTCAGAGTGATTGATGGACAATTTACACCGACTACCAGGCCCGGGGCAGCGGGATGAAAATCACAGAACTTCAGGGGATGGGTGGGCTGAGCCCAAGAAGGGAGCGCAGAGCCAGCATCCCTCCCGGCTGGGGCTGCTGACTGTCTCACTCAGGGCCTGTGTGCTTTTCTTAGCTTTTTATCAAGATTTAAACATTCCAGCCAGGCCTGGGCTAGCTTCTCTTGGCAGCCCGGGTTCGTGTCCAGGATGTGCAGGACACTAGTTGTTGCCTAGGGATATAGTTCCAACTGGGTATCACCAAACCTTCAGTGTATGTCAGGGCCCACATTGCAGCGGTGGGGGCAAGGGGGATCCAGAGCAGAGGATGGCTTCGAAAGCTGGGCCTGGAGTGCCTGCACTACTGAGTTCCTGTTCAGTTCAGCCTGGTTCGCAAACCAGAGCCTTCCTACACATTAGGCCCATGCCGGGCCCCAGGGGTAGCGGCAAGACCTGTCTCCCCAGCCCACGTGCACCACTTTGAATCCTGAAACTGGAGTTGTATGATCTCAAGGAGTCCAGAGGAATCAGAGTCCAGGTGTGATTTACATGCGGGAACAGGCTGGAGACCAGGAGGCCTTGCACCTCTGTCCCCAAGTCAAGTCTCAATTCACACAGAGTCAGTGACCCGCGTGCCCTTGCTCAGACAAACCTGTTCCTCCTGTGGTGGCTTTCAGATGCTCCTTTCTGCCCCACGGAGACCAGCTGCCCCAGGCTGGTCTGTGGTCTGGGCCTTGGTTTCCCTGCCCTGTACTCAATACCAGCCCTCACTGTCCCTGGCTTTCTTGGCCTCTGTGGGAAGGGACAGTGCCACTTTCCAACTGGAGTGGTTCTAGACCTTTCAGAAATTCTGGGGCCACCCTTGGTGCCTGGTGCCTATCAGCTCAGTAGACATGCGGAAGCACCTCACGCACACCAGGCCTTCAGAGAAGGGCCCTGGGTGGGTCCCTGGGGGTGGGGGTTGGGGGGTGTCTGTGTCGCCAGGGACATGGCTCACAGCCCCACTGCATTTTGCAGAGTACCCTCACGTCCCTGTGTTTGTTTCCTGCTGCCTCCAGGGCTGGGCTTGTGTACTAAGTGGTTACGGACAACATTTCAGCCCTGCCTCTTGATGTTGCGGCCTGGGTTAGGGGTGGCCTGAGGGACCTGCCGAAAGTCACTTGGACAGGACTGCAGGGAACCCAGGGGCCCAAGTGCCAGGCTTCCCACGTCCTGCCCTGTCGGTCTCTGGTTCATTCAAAGGGGTTCCTTGCTGCCCCCGGTGCCTCGGGAGGCTGAGTTCCTCCCTAATGGTAAAGACCTGTGTAAGGCCAGGGCTCAGCTGAGTCACAGCTGGCAGGCTGTGTGCTCCTCCGCGAAAGCCCCCGACACAGACTGCCATGCCCTGCATGCCCGTGTCCACGCTCGCCTGCTCTCTGCTCACGACTTGCTCTTTCTCTGTCTCTTGCCCTCTGCTCTCCTTGGGATGCCACTCTGGGCCCAAAGTGCTGAGGGCAGGAGCAAAGGAGGGAGTGAGGGGTGGGGTAGGATGAGGGGCAGGTCAGATAGGTGTGGGACCTCTGTGCTCTAGCCACCCCTTGATGGCCCTAGTGAGCCACGCCCATCACCTGCATCCTCACCCAGGTTCCTCCCATGCCCAGGGAGGCCAACACTGCCGACCCCATGTTAGAGGTGGGGAGACTGAGTTCAAGGGGACTCTGAGCCTGCTGGAGGCCACACAGCTGGTCCAGTGGTGCAGAAGGGAATGCCAGGGCTTCTGGTTCTGTCACCCCATTCAGGCAGAGTCCCTGCTGGCCAGAGAATCCAAAAAGAAGACCGGGTCTGCTCTTGGGATCTTTGCGAAGTATAGTGACTGTGGAGAGACCCTAGCGAGCTCTGGACACTGGTGTCCGGGGCCTGCAAGAGCATCTGGAGCCGGGGTGGGAGGTGGCGGCTCGGTGGGCTCAGCCCTGTGGCCCCCAGTGGGGGAGCACTCCTGGCTGGTCAGCGGGAGGAGACTGCTGGGAGGATCACACAGCCTGCTGGTGGCTGGTCCTGGAAGGGCCTCCCCTTGAGGACCCTGAAGCAAGGGCAGCCCCACCTACCCACCCGCAGCCAGGCCAACCCAGAGGAGGGGAAGGCAAGTTTGGGGTGTGGTCTCTTTCCTTAACTCTGCTTCTATCTTGCTTCCCCTGCCCCTGCCCCCGCCCTGCCTGCTCCTGTCTCTCCCTGGGTTTCTGGTGGTGGAAAAGCTCAAGTCTTTGCGAAGCTAATGACCTGCCTCTGTGCGAAGCGTACTGGAGGCTGGACCCGGACACAGACTCTGCGGATGGCCTCTCGGCCCCCGTGCTGGCGTCCCCGGAGCCCAGCGCTGGCCCCCTACAGGCTGCAGCCCCTGTCCACTCCCATGCCAGTGGCCCTGGGCCCACGGAGCACGCCTGAGCTTCCCAGGGCTCCCCTCCCCACGCCCCTAGGTTCTTAAGGCTGGTGACCCCTTCAGCCTTGCCTCCCTTTGGGGAGCCGTGGTGGCCTGCCTCCTTGGGGACTTTGCCCAGGGACAGCCCCCTGCCAGGAGTGTTGGGGAGGATGAGTCCCCCCAGGGCCGTTGCCAAGGTGGCCCACCACCCTAAGTGGTCACCTCTGTTCACAGCCCTCCTGGCCTGCTGGGCAGAAGCTTCCTGGCCAGTGTGTCCTGGGAGGCCCTAGTAGTGGGGCAGGAGGATGTCCTGCTGTTTTAAAAGCTGCAGTTGGTGCTCTGAGTGGACAGTATTAGCCAACTCCAGACTCCCTGTCTAGGGCAGGCCTCCCATGCAAAGCCCCACCTGCTGCCTTGTCCCAAGGGTCCCTACACAAGCGGACTGTCCCTGTGGGGGCTGTGACAGGGAGAGGGATGGTGCCCTTCTCACAGAAGCTAGGACAGGGACCTTCTAATTCTGCCGTATATGTTCTGGTACCTTTGTGATGAGACCGTTGAATAAAAGCAGCACTGCCCTTTTGTGTTGGTTGGCTCTTTGTTCCTAGTCCTGGGTCTCTTGGACCACCCTTGGTTTCCTAGTGACTGTCGGGAGAGCAGCTTTCAGGCTCAGCCTGGACAGCCTTGGGCTCCAGGGAAGCCTGTCCTCCCCCCTCCCCCCCATAGGGGCTCTGGGTGAGCAGGGACTTGGCCAGTTTGGGGTTGTGGCTGCATTGCCATTGCCTAGAACTGCCTGGGATCTAGGTCTTGAATATCTGGCAAGTGAAAAACTGCCTCTCCTTCACATTAAAAGATCCAGGTGCCTGTACCCATGGTCCCAGCAAGCCCTCACTGCCCCTGGAGTCCCCTGCACTATTGGGAGGAGTGGCTGCAGGCTGGGAAGGGGTTGAAGTGTTGTGTCTGCAGTCACCCAGCTGGGAGATGAAGCAGCAGAAGTCAGGACTCGACCCACAGGGGGTGCTAGGCCAGGTGCTGCAGTGCCAACACCAGCAGAACTGGGACTTCAACCCTGTGCCATCACTGGCATGCCTTCTCTCAGTGGCTATGTGGGGGAGGGGGGGACAGCCCACAATCCAGCTTCAAGGGCAGGGAGGGACACAAGCTGAGTTATGTTGGGTCCCACAGATTCCCCCACCCCCTATAGCCAGGCAGAGGCATCCCACAGGTGGGAACATGGAACCCGGCCCTGGCTCTGGTTTTCTGGGACGGCCTGGGGAAGTTGTTTTTCCGTCGAGAAAACAGGTGATCTCTTTCCGACAAACCTTAATTGCTGCTAACAAATTAAAAGGAAATGCAACCAGTGGAAGCCCTTGTGAGGAAAAGGCTGGAAGGACTGGACCAAACCTGATGGCGTTTCTACTGTTTTCAATTTCTAAACACCTGAGGGGCAAGATCTCTGGACCATTGGTGTGACGCTCTCCTGGGCTCGGGATACTGTTCCCATTGGAAAATGAAACGGTTTTCCTCATCCTAAAGCAAGGTAGCTCTTTGCCACCTCCTCCTCTCCAGCCCATGTCCCTGGAAGCAGAACCCACTGGACTCATGGACCATTTTCAACTCTCCCTTGAGCCTGCTTCCGGCAGGTTTGGTCTCCAGGACTCTGGCCGAGCTACATGTATTAAGGTACCCAGTGGCCTCCATGTTGCTAAACCATGAGTGGTCCTCAGTCATACCCTTTGTATCCCGTGTTTTATTCTGAGACCATCCAAACCCCTGGCGAAGGCATAAAGGTTGCATAAAGAACACCCACAGAGACACTTTCCTGGATTCATCTTTTGCATCTTTACTTGCTCTCACTTCTAAAAACCACCTGAACGTCAGCCGCATGCCTCATAACACCTCACCTCTAAATACCTGCCAGCTTGCCTAAGACCAACATTCTTCATGGCCCGATGTCAGCATCAGGCCCAAAATGACTAATTGCTCCATAATATCCTCTAGGATCATGACACATTCTAACTTACCCAGTTCTCCAGCTGTTTTCTTTTATACTTATTTTTATTTTGCATTGCATTTACTTATTATTTCTTATAGTCTCTTGAAATCTAGAACAGGATCAAGGTGGTGGTCTGGGCTGGGACTAGATACAGTTCCAGATATACTTTTGGGGTTTCATTTTTATTTAAAAATAAAATTTTATTTTATAAAAAGACTTATTCACTCATTTTAGAGAGAGAGGGAGAGAGAGAGAGAGACTGCATGAGCAGGGGGAGGGGCAGAGAGAGGAAGCTGAGTTCTCCCTGAGCAGGTAGCCTGATGTGGGATTAGATCTTCGGACCCCGATCATGATCTGAGCCGAAACTAAAAATCAGACGCCCCCTGCATATACTTTTAAGGGAGAGCCAACAGGATTTGCTCAAGGACTAGATGTGGGGAATGAGAGGAGGAGGCAAGGTGGCTCCAGGTCTGACCTGTGTGCCTCCAAGCATATGGCGGCCTTAACTGACACATGGGAGGCAGTGGCAGGAGGCCCGGGGGGGGGGGGGGGGGGGCGGGGCGGCGGCGGAGACCTCTCTTCTCTACATACCTATGGAGATGCGTGGAGTTCAGGGGAATCATCAGCACCAGGTCACGGGCCCTGAAAGGGGTCACTGCACTGAGTTGACAGAAAAAGCAAATGAGGCTCAAAGAGGAGAGAGGGGGGAAGGAGGAAGGCCTGTCCTTTGGGGTCCCTGGAGTCCTCTGGGAACGGGATTTCAGGGAGGAGGTAGGATCAGCTGGTTAGACCCTCCAGGCAACTCTCACAGAAGACGCAACTTAATAAGGGCCATAAATCTAGACTTGCTCCTGGAACTCCACTGTTCCCTCCCTGCGGTGCGGCAGTTCTGCTGGCACGTGTCACCCCGTCCAGCAAAGACCTCAGCAAAGCCTCAAGGGCCTCCCTGGAGGTGGTGACGCAGTACGGGGAAGCCTGCCTTGTGGTGCGGGCCAGAGTCGCCCTGAAAGAGGGCCGGCATTCCTGTACCTTCCCGCATCCCGGTCCCTCGGCGCCCCTGGCTTTGGCGGTTGAAACTGGCAGCGCCGGAGAGGGCGCGCTCTGGCCCAGGGGTTTGCTCCAGAGGTCGGGCTGGGGCACCGGAGCCGTGCGGGAAGGCAGGGGCCACCCTCTCCGCCAAGCGTCACCCACAGCGGAGGCTAGGCCGCGAAGTCAGGCCGGGGCTTCAGGTAAGACCTCCCCGCAACCCTGTAACCCAGACCCGAGCCCCCGCCCCCCCCCCACGAACGTCGCGGTCTCCGAGGCGACCTCGAAAGGCTCCGAAGGTGTCGGGGCCCGTCACCGCCACGCAGCGGGGCGCCGGCGCGCGGGGCCCGCCCGACCCTCGGGGCGCTGCAGGGAGGGCGCGGGCAGCGCCGGGGCACGGACGGGGGTCGCCCGGCGCCCCCCAGCCTTTCCCCTGAGCACTCTCCGACTCGCCCTGGCCGTGCCGCGCTCAGCACGCGGCCGCACCCTGGCGCTCCGCTGCCGACACCGGCGCGCGGCCCCCTACGAGCCGACACGCCCTCGCCGGATTCCGCGGGACCCGAGCCCCCGGAAGCGCCGCCGGCCGTCCCGGCGCCGCCACGTCCCGAGCGCCGACGGCGTACGCGGCACCGCGCGGAGCGCGGCGGGCAGGGGCGGGACCCCCAGCTCCCTCCCACAATGCTTTGCGCCTGGCCCCGCGCGCCTCTTCCGGCGGAGCCAGGCCGGACTAGTCGAGCACCACGCGCCGGCGGCTCGGCGCTCGGCCGGCGGTGCCTGCGCACGCGCGGCTTCCCGCGCGGCCGGAGGGGCGAGGGCGGCGCGGTACCCTGGTCGCGTCCCCGGACCCGCCGGCATGTCTTCGCTGCTCGCCAAGGACGCCTACCTGCAGGGCCTGGCCAGGAAAATCTGCTCCCAGCCCAGCCTGGAGCCGCAGAAGCGCACGTCCGGTAACGCGCAGCCCGCGGTCGCGGTCGGGCCTGGGAGGGCTTCGGGGGGCGGGGGCTACCCCGGCTGCGGCAGCGCGGACGCCCCCCCCCCCGCCCCGCAGCCTCCTGCTTAGGGGCACAGACGAGGGACGGTGAGAGTTGCCGCGGACTGCTCCCCGGCCGGCAGCTCCTGCGGGGCTCGAGGAGGGGGCCCCGTGAGCGGGCAGCGGTGGGAGAAGCGGGGAACACGGTGCCTCCTGCGGGGACGGGGGTGCTTGCGGGGCAGGGGCAGGGCCAGGGGCAGGGCTGGCGGGGAGGCCGGCCCACGAGCAGGTGGGACGGAAGCTGCCCCCCGGGGCTGGGGCGTGTGGGTGCTGCCTGGGCGGGAGGGGGGCGCGGGGGGCAGCGGCGGAGAGAGGACGGACTCCTGTTCTCACGCAAAAAGCGAACGTAATCCGTAGACGGAGTTCGGAGTTCGAAAATTAAGCGAGTTATTTAAGCAGTTGGTAACCATTTAGGTTTGTGTTTTTCCTACAAGCGTGTCTTACGTTTGAAAATGCTTTTTGTGTACTCGTTTGCGTCCTTAAACATAAATGTTACTTAACCTGTTAGAACGAAAGCTCGTGTCATTCTTTTTTTATGGGCGCACAGCACTTTGTCAGGTAGCAGTGCCTTACGCTGCTCTTGTAGGTGGGTATTTAGGTTTTCTTGGGTTTGCCTAGTTTTTCCCTCAGAAAACGTTGTAATAAAAATCCCAGAGGCCACGGCTTCATGCACACCACGGATGGATTCTCACAAGCAGACTGCTGGGTCATGTGGATGTTGATTTTTCAGGGTTTTGATATGTGTGGCCGGTCTTCTAGGGTTTGTGGGTCTGAGCTCTATGGATAAGGGTCTCTGGGTCCTCCTTCCTGATTCATTCTCAGCCTATTCTGGGGATTCGAGCTTTTACGAGATTTTTTTTTTTTTTTTGCCAGTTAAACGGGTCACAAAACTTGGGACAGCAACCCTTTCTAATTTTGTATTTCAGCCAGTAAACCTCGAAGCTCTGAAGCTGCTGGGCCCCCCAAGAAGAAGAGGAAGACGGCGCAGAAGAAATCCCAGAGGCGGGAGGAGAAGGCTGTGGAGCCTAAGTCCCAGGCCCTGGAGGAGAAGTCTCCCCCAGCTTCCAGGGCTGGAAAGCCAGCAGTAGCCAAGGAGGACGACGCCTTCAGCTCCACGGGATCCCCAGCAGGTGGGGATGTCGGGCAGGGCCAGCTGAGATCAGGTGAAAATGTGGTCCTCGCAATCATAAGAAAACACTGTGCCAGGCACACTAGGGTAGCTTGAGATTTCCCAGAGAGTGAGCTTTCCAGGGACAGACCCCAGGGGCTCTGAGGGTGGATGGTTCCAGGCCATTTGGCAACTGGGTCTGGTGAGGGGCAAGGTCATGTCCCCCTGAGGACCTGGAGCAGTTTTCCCCGAGGAACCTCATTGCCTGCACATGTCTCAAGGGAATTCGTGAGAGCTGACCTGTGGGGAGATGTAGGGAAACCCAGGTTGCAGAAGTTGGAAGAAATGAGAGATGGGTTTGGCTTGCCCCATAGGAAGTGCCTTGTCATACCACACGGGGGTGTTCTGTTCTGGTGGCTGTCCTGGGGGCCAGTCCAGCTTGAAGAGGTGGAGTAGAACTTACTGAAGCTGCCCTGCAGGTCTATGAGTGGCCACCTGGTGGTGGTAGTGGTGGGAGGTTCAGGCTTTGAAGCTGGGCCTTAGGTAGAGGAACAGGAGGCAAGGAGGGGGTGTCTTCTCAGCTGTCGATTTTCTTCCTTGTAGATGCCCTGGTTACAGAGCCTGACTCTCTCTTTGCCTTGGAGGTTGTGCGACAGCGGCTACATGAAAAAATTCAGGAGGCCCGGCATCAGGTGACCCGGGAGGCCTCTGGGTTGTGGGGAGCAGTGTGGTTTATTAGGGTGGTTTCCCTGCTCTGTTTGGAGGAGAAGGTGCCTTGCTGCTCTCTGTGGGGTTTGTTCCCAGCTCGGCCAGCCATTAGTGGGGCTGGTGGGAGAGGCCTCAGCTGCCACTGCCACCCCTGTAGTGGGTCCTGCGAGGGCCTTAGCAGCTTCGATCAGCAGGAGATAAGGTGTGGTTTGCAGCATCTCACGGGGGCGTCTGTTCCCAGGTTTACCCACCTTGTATGATCTGTGCTGAGCTGCAGATTCCTTGTGCCCTTGGAGAGAGGCTCAGCCTCCTCTCCCTGGGAAGTGGGAAGCTCCCTTTGCTGAACACCCCACCGGGCAGCCCTTGGGTCCCCAGAAGTGTCATGACAGCCTTGTGAGGTAGGCGAGGGCCGGAGAGAAGACCTCCACGGGGAGCACAGACCTGAACCAGCCTGGGCCTTTTCTGCTAGTGGTGTAGTCCTCCTGGTCAGCCATCACCTGCCTTTTCCCAGGGGATGTCCCCTGAGCCTCTGACTGTGTGGGGATGGTCCCCTACCTTCTTTGTGTGCTGCCATGGGCCAAGCTAGGAGGTCGTTCCCAAGGGGTAGTCCAGGCTCCAGGCCTGGCCTTCCTACACACAGGTCTGGGTCACCTTGGTCCAGGGTTTTCTTGTTTGCCTCCAGAAGAAAAGGCCATCAGTGAGAGAGCAGAGGTCAGACATGTCACTAGCAGAACGCTGCTGTGGTCAGCACGGGCACTGAGTCATTCTGACCTGATGCTACATTCCAGTTGGTGGCCTTTGCTAAGCTTGTGCTTTTCATCTATAGAATGATGCAGGATATGTCATCTGTTGGAGCTTTAGGAAGTTACAGTCGCTATGCTGCTAAAGTGTCCTAGTGTGATGTAAGTCCCTAGGAACTGGAAGCTCTGGTTCTTATTTGTGGGTCCCTTGCATTCTGGGCAATAGATGGTTTCACAGGCAAGCACTGAAGTCAGTGGGCACTATGTCCTGCACAGCAATCTCCTACCTGCTTTTCTGCCCTGATTCCTCATCCCAGATTCTGGGGCCCCAAGTTGGGAGGACCTTAGGCTTGAGTTCTTCCTTTCCTCTCCAGGGCCGCGCCACGGAGCTGTCTCCTGCCGCCTTGGAGAAGAGACGGCGGAGGAAACAGGAGCGGGACCGGAAAAAGAGAAAGCGAAAGGAGCTGAGGGCAAAGGAGAAGGTGGCACAGGCTGCAGAGGTTGCTGAGCCGTCCCATGAGCCCCACGAGCCACCCCCTGAGGAGGCACAGTCAGGGCTGCTCTTCAACAAGGTGAGGGGCATGGGGACTCTGGCTTTCCCCCAGCTGGCCATGTGGTTCTAGCCTGTGGTTGCCCATCTGCAAAGTGGAGTGGCAGCAGTGCCTGCCCACAGGGGTGCTCGGGAACATTCATGGGAAAGGTTCTGAAAAGCTGTAATTCACTGGGGTTGCAACCCTTGCTCCTGAGGTGGAGGTGACTGAGGAGCAAGCCAGCAGCAAGGCCCAGCGCCGGAAGGAGAAGAGGCAGAAGCTGAAGGGGAACCTGACGCCGCTGACGGGCAAGAACTACCGGCAGCTGCTGGAGCGCCTTCAGGCACGGCAGGCTCGGCTGGACGAGCTGCGGGACCAGGACGAAGGGAAGGCTCGGGAGCTTGAAAGTAAGATGAAGTGGACCAACCTGCTGTACAAGGCCGAGGGCGTGCGCATCCGAGACAATGAGCACCTGCTGCAGGAGGCCCTGAAGCGCAAGGAGAAGCGGCGCGCCCAGCGCAAGCGCAAGTGGGAGAAGCGTACCGCCCACGTGGTGGAGAAGATGCAGCGACGGCAGGATAAGCGGCGGCAGAACCTGCGCAAGAAAAAGGCGGCCCGGGCCGAGCAGCGCCTGGAGAAGGCCCACAGGAAGGGCCGCATCCTTCCCCAGGACCTGGAGCGGGCTGGCCTGGCGTGAGGGCCTGCAGCCCGGGTACCCAGACCACGCCCCTGACCTGGGACTGCCCTCCCACATCCTGGGACACTGAGCAGGAGCTCCGTCGGCTCACCTTGCCAGTGGGTTCTCAGGGCTCAGCTCGTATGTGTTAAAGAAGGAGTGCTGCTGAGAATGGAGGCCTGGATCCTCCAGAGCCCGGAAAGCTGTGACTGGGCCCGGGGTCCAGCCTTCTCTTAGGAGGTTGTAAAGCTCCCCGGATGTTTGCAGGGTGAGGGATGAGTGGAGGCTCCGAGGGCTCTGGGGGGCATGTCACTGGCCCTTCTTCCCCACCATGTTGGCATAAGCTGGGAAAGAATGGCCTTTGGAACTGCCCATGTCAGTCCAAAACTCACCTGGAAGGGAGGAAACTCAGAACTGCTGTACCCTGAGGCAGAGGTGGAATGGGCCTCATGGGACTGGCAGAGGGTGGAGCTGACCTTGGCTGAGACTGGGAGGGAATCATCCTGAGCTGACTTGTAAGAGGAGCAAGAATTAGAGCTTAAGGTAAACATGTGCATGAAAAATGTTCAGGTGCCTACTGGGTTGGGGGTGGGGGTTGCCTGAGGGACTCAGGCCTGACTCCTGGTTTTGGCTCAGGTCCTGATCTCAGGATCCTCAGATCGAGCCCCATGTCCGGCTCTATCCTCAGTCTGGAATCTGTTTGAAATTCTCTTACTCTCCCTCTTGCTTTTCCTGCTCTTGCTGTCTCTCATTTTAAAATAAATACATTTTCTGGGAGGGGGAAGTTGTCTCCTGGAAGATGGGCACAGTATACGCTACGCTGGGAGGAAGGGAGAGGTGGGGTGGGTGGGAGGGTGTCAGTCCAGGAGAAGGCAGGAGATGAGGAGGGATAGAAGCTAGGACTCAGCGAGGCTATGGAAGATGCCCAGTGAGGTGGTGGAAATCCACGCATACCTGCCAGCAGCAAAACCACTGCAGACGTACAAGACCGGCAGGGGGCTGGTGTGGATTTCGTGGCTTGTGAATCACTTTTCAGTAAATCCTTGATAACTTTTGACTGAGCTCCAGTGAGGGAAGGGCTCAGTGTGGCCGTGCTGGAGGTGAGGATGAGCCACACTGAGGAGGGTAAAGAGCATCACGGTGTAATGGGGGGACTCTGTGCCCCCAGTCATGGAGCTGCAAGGCTGCCCCTAGAAACCCACTCACAAACAGAAGTGGGAGATTTCTGACACCCATCTTAGGCCAAGAAACACCAGACAGGATTCTGGTACTGATGAGAGGTCTAGGTGGGACCGATAAGCTTGATCTAACGACACTGGGTGTCTGGAAATGAGGTTCAGGCTCTCCGCGAGCATCTGGGTCAGCTACCAGAACTGATGGCCTGGTCTGTGAAGCAAGTTTTCCGGTTGAAGGAACCTGTGTCCCCAAGCATGTTGTCACTGCAGCATGATAAATCGATAAGAGGTAATTCTAGGAATTTCACATTCAGAAGTTTAAGAACATATTTCCGAGTTAATTTGTGGGGTGTTGTGGGAGATGTAATCTAACTCCTAGTGTTAACACTGAAAATGCCCTGATTCGTTTCTCTGCTTTCCCAGGCCTAGCCAGTCCCGCCCCTCCCTAGTCCAGAGCTGGGGGCTGGTGTTGCATAGGGTAATGTAGCATGTGATGTGTCCTGGGGCGGATGGCAACAAACAGCTCATCTAGGACCTGTAGTGGACGAAGGAACATGGGCAGTAGGGAAGAAAGGGTAAAATCAGAGTGGGTCTAAGGCCTGATAGACACCCGTTGAGTGTGGAAGAACTGAGTGTAGCATTGTGGGAGAAAACTTCCAAGGGCCAAGTGTCCGAGACCTTTCCAGAACCAAATGGTGGTGGTTCCCAGTTTCAGAGCTACCCACCCTCCTCGGGTGGAGGGAAGTGGATAAGTGCCTTAATCAGGACCCCTCCTGCCCAGGAACTGGGTTTCCGGCAGTCACAAAGGTGGTACTATGGAAAGTAATAAGGGGAAAGCTCACGAAAATGTGGTCAGGAGGTGGGAAAGAGGAGCTCCCGTGCACTGTGCCACCTGGAGTCAGTTACAGGAAGAATTGGCACTTCCACACCCCAGAAGTATCCTTGACAGGAGGGAATCAAGACTACATTCCCAATAGCCAAAGATGGATGCTGCATCTCCTACGGGAGATCCACTCCCCCAGCAACTCCCAGTGAGGACCTGCCCTCACCCAAACTCCTACTCTTTTCTGGCAGACTTGGGTTCAGGACAGCCCCTTCTAACTTCCTCCTCACGACACAGCACCCCTTTCTTTGTTGGACTTGTCTGGTTTTTTTGTAGCTTGTGTGTCCCAAATTGCAATTCTCTGCTATTCTTGAATAAGCCCATTTTATTGGTGAAGTACTGGCAGTTTCAAGGTCAGCAATAGTCTCCCTTTGACACTGGCCCTTCGGGCGAAGCTGAGCAGAAAGATCGCAGCCAGCCATCCCTCCTTTTCAGGGGCCCCAGGACTTGAACTAATGCATGTTTAGAAATTCAGTGAGGGGCTGTGACCAGTCCTAGTGAGTCTTCTGTTCACCAGACCTTGGGTTGGGTGGGGGCAGAGATTGAGGTCTCCAGACCCCGGTGGCTTGTCTCATCCAGTTCAATGCACTAGTCTGGCAGACAGTCACAGGATCCCTGAATACATGGTGCGTGGAAATAAAACAGCTGTGTGTTCTCTGCTGTCTGGTTGTGACAACTGTGTTGACCATTGGAGCTCAGTTATGGTCTCACACCAGCATTCCAGCCCTGCTGCTTTTCCGTGATCTCTGAGCCCTGCACGTGGCAAAGGTGTGTCTTCTGGATCCTCCCCAGACCATCTGTTGGGTGAATAGGCAGAGAACATGGTAAGGCTCCTCCAGTAAGCATACCTCTCCATTGGGGTTTCTTACCTTTCTGTTATTCCAGGTTTCTGGAAGCTTCACTTACCTTAGTATGGACCTCCATGGACTCCACTTTTTGGTTGGGTTCAACAGAGGAAATCACTGATTCCTTTCTAGTTCCCCACCTAGGCCACTGGATCTTAATTCCAGATGGAAGCCAATCTGAGATTGCATCTCTCCCTCTGGCCAAACGGTTCCAGGATCAATTCCCACGTATTTCTGATACTTTTCGATATAAAGCAGCAAATGTTTCTGTTCACTTAGGGAGTTAACCTTCATACTTTGACCTTGTAATTGGGTGCTTGGGGCCTGCTCGGGCCCTACTCTGCTTGTAGAGCTAGAGACCAGAAGGCGAGATGGCCGTGGGGATGAGCACACGGCTCCTCACAGGTTTGCTGTGGGCCTGAAACTGCTCTCAGTGGTAAAGTTTATCAGTTAAGGAAACAGGCAGACTATTGGATCTGAACGCTTTTGTCTGCAAGTGTCATGTATTCTGGTATCACTGGCCAAAACAAGTCACATGGCTGCACCTAAGTTCCAATGGGCACAGAAATGCATCTACTCAGTGGCAGGAGGAAGAGCCAGGATGCTTTGAAGAGCCTGATGCCTCCTGAGCAGAGGCTGCCTGCCACTGCTCTTAGCACAAATTTCCACATCAGGGCTCTTAGCTGCAAGCTACAGATGACCACTCTGTTGATCGAAGCAGAAAAGGGATTTAAGAGATTAGGGCACACCCAACTTGAAAATGTCAGCGTAAAGCTGGCATTTCTTCATTCATAAAGCACCACAGCCGACTGGGAAAATAACAGAAAACAGGACCATTTTAGCTGTAAGGAGTTGTTGATGTCCTAACCCACACAACAGGTGGACTGGGTGCAGAAGCCAGGAGAGGTTGGATGGGAGCAAAATGAAGTGAGGAGGGGATGTCCTTGGTGGTAAACTCTGGGAGGACTAGGAAGTCCCCTTCTCTAAGATGCAAATACAAGCCTGTGCAAGCTCTGAGAATGTGAGGGCAAGTCTGGCAGCTGGAGCCTGTGTGGGAGTTTGGTTCTGGGAAGTTGAGTATGGTGTGGGACCAAGACTCCACCACCCTCGCTGAAACTCCTCTGTGTTGGGGGCTGGAGTGACCATTGTTGCTTTGAGAACAGTCTCAGAAAAAAAAAAAAAAAAAAAAAAGAGAACAGTCTCAGAGCTGCTTTTTTCTCTCTGACTCAGATATAAGAGCTGAAGGTTACACATCCAGTCCTGAATGATAATCGTTTCATCCTGTTTCAGTGACGCTGATGCAAATACATAAGTCAGGAAAATCCTTAGTCCTTAATGAGTTTCAAAGTGGGAACTTGCATGAGATCTGTGTAATAATATCACACGATCCCAACAAGGAAAGAGCCAGTAACACAAGTGCACATGAAGAACCCGTACCAAAACGCTTTTGCCAATGAATTTTCTCAAATATTTCTCCATAAATTAAAAAACAACAACAAAAAGCAATCACCTCTATAAAAGAAAGCCCAAAAAGGAAAAACAACATATGGAGGAAATAGTTAACAGAAGGATTGAAGATATCAGACAAGGGGTGCCTGGCTGGCTCAGTGTAGCATATGACTCCTGATCCTGGGGTTGGGAGTTTGAGCCCCACGTTGGGCGTAGCCATTACTTGAAAATAAAATCATTAAAAAAAAATATACATCAGACAGCTCAGAGAAAGAGTGGAAGAAAAATAAGTCATCACAGAAATAAAGTTAGAAGCAGCACATGAAAGAATAAACAGTCCTAAGATTTTATACAAGAAGAGGCATTGACAAAACACAGGAAATGAAACAGGATAAAGCATTAAGAAAGTACAAAGAGAAATTCCAAAGTATTGAAAAACACACCAAAGAAAACCAACCAAAGCTAAAGGTCCTTCAAAGCTATAAAAAGCAAAACAAACACCTTCACAGAGTAAATACGATAATCCTTCCACTCCCTTATCAAAGGGAAAGAGTTTCCACCTGGACCCAAGAAGCCCGAACTCAGTAATGTGTACAAGGAACACACCCTACAAAGATGTGATGCAGATGGGCTCACAACCAAAAAGTTCCCAGGGAAACCGGATGAATGCGAAGAAAAAGTGCCCAGCCTGTGCCTGCGGCACCTGTTGCCATTGACTTCAGGGATTAGAACCCTGGCGGGGGGAGGGGGTAGGCAAAAAGACAGGCTTCTTAAGACAAGTGGCATTCTCAACAGGGCTTCAGTAAGCGTGACTGACCGGCTACCAAACAGCACATCATTAATGGGCAAAATGCAAGGAGAGACGGGCCAAGTCGGCGTCAAGCTATTTGTGTCTGTTCATTTACATCATCTAGACACAAAATAATACTGAACACTGAAGTGACAGGATTTCCCATTCAGGTGTGACGTGTATATTGAGAGTGGACGGTACAACTTTTCAAAAACTCACTGAATGGTCACAATTAGAAATGTCCACAAATGGGGATGCCTGGGTGGCTCAGTGGCTGGGTGTCTGCCTTCGGCTCAGGACGTGATCCCAGGGTACTGGGATCAAGTCCCACACTGGGCTCCGCGCAGGGAGCCTGCTTCTCCCTCTGCCTGTGTCTCTGCCTCTCTCTGTGTGTCTCTCATGAATAAATAAATAAAATCTTTAGAAAAAATGAACTATCTGTTCTCTAAACTTTTGGGTAAGATTCTGTAAAATTCTGCACCTCATTTTATTTCATCATTATCATATTTTGCATGGCAGGGGTAACTCTGGAAATTTTCCCCATTTCCTTTATGAAAAGCAGTGTGCTTTAACCTTCTCTCTCTCCCAAAATCAGCTTTGCTAGCAGACAGTCAACTGCTGAGCCACCCAGGTGCCTTGAGAACAGATAGTTTAAATTCTGTTTAAATGGTTCAGAAAATAGAACAAGTATTGCTTCTAAATTACTTGCATTAATTGAGCATAACGTTGGTAGTGACACACAACAAACAGCACAAAAGAGAAAAAAGTCCAGGGCAACAGCGCTTAAGGTCTGGCCAAGCCTGTTGGCGAGGAGGGCCCCAGCGTCTCCCTGGTTCCTGGAACAGGGCCTGCCACGTCGCTGGCCACCACCACCAGTCATTGAGTACGTGAACATGGACGCACCAGGTCCTGTTGGGGGCACAACGCCAAGATGTCTTATCTTCCACCCGAAGTCCCCATATCCTAGAGGGTGCACAAAGCACCATTCAGCAGTGTGGGGAGGGCTTCCATGGGGTGGCACCCAGTGCATTATAGGGGAACTGAGGCACAGCTCCTGACACGGGCTAGTGGTGCTCAGGAAGACCCCCCCAGGGGAGCAGCGCAAGAGGGAGAGCCAGTTGGACGTAGCTGCTGTAGCTGATCTGGGGAGGGGTGTCCAGGCAAGTCAGGGGGTGGGAGAGGAGCATATATTCTGGGGGGTAGGCAGAGTTTGCTTTGGTGAGACTCAGAGCAGCAGGTGACAGAAGGTGGGCCAAGCTGGGAGGGTCTTGATGGGGGCAGGTTGTGTGTGGTCTTGTTGTTTTTTTGTTTTTTGTTTTTAGTTTTGTTTTTTGTTTTTAGTTTTTAAAGATTTATTTTATTTATTTGGCAGAGCACAAGCAGAGGGAGAGGGAGCAGCAGATTCCCCACCAAGCAGAGAGCCCAACGCGGGGCTCCGGGATCGTGATCTGAGCCGAAAGCAGATGATTCACTCATGAGCCACCCAGGCACCAGGTTGTGTGTGTTTGACAGGATTTCACGTCTAGGGTGATCTGCACCCAGGTCCCAGGTGACCCGAGGGGTATGGGGAGAAGGAGTGAGTCCCATCAGATGGGAGTGCTCCTGGGTGACCTACGTGTGTAAAGCTGGGGCCGAATCCTGAGGCAGTGTTGGTGAGTGCCTGATAGATTGGGGCAATGGGTGGTAAGAAGGCCCTTGAGCAAAGACTGGATTGAGCAGACGGGCCCTGGGGAAAGGCCCAAGTCGGGGGTGGTGGCTGCAGGGGGCAGGAGACAGCTCCAGGGCCACCTGGGAATGGGGCCCTCCAGTCTGCAGGCAGAGGCAGTAGGAAGATGAAAGCAGGTTTGTCAAGCCAGTAGAGCAGGGAGGAGGCTGGGAGGGAAGTAACTGGAATGTGGCTGAGCTGCTAAGGGGTCATAACCCTGGGGAGGGCTCCCTGCCAGCTGTGCCTGGGTCATATCTCCCATGTTTCCCTTAGTTCCTGTTGGGTCTGGCTCTGCCCCACCTGCCCCCTGCGCTGGGGACTTTGGCTCATTCTGACCTGGTAACACGTAGGGGGCCCAGTCGCTTTTCCTGGCCTGGACCACTGTTGTTTCAGCCTCATGGTGCCACACGGTGGTCCTCGGACCCTGACCCAGGCTAGAACCTGGGAGCCCTTGCCTGCATCACCCAGGCCTGTCTCAGTGTCCAGCCCCAACAGGTCCTCATGCAGTCTCTCCATCAGACGTGCAGCCTTCAGGCTCAGCGAGGGAGCAGGGGACCCACTGTCTCCCTCACCCCCTGGTGCCTCAAAGGCCAACATTGCCCCAGGGCAAGGGGAGTGCAACCAGGAACCAGGAACCGGGAGCCCAGGTGTCTGGGGTCGGGGAAAGATGTCCTTTGTGGTTTATGAGCCAGTGGTAGGAAATAAAGCTGATTTGTGAAAATATTAGGAAAGGGTCACCTGGGTGGCTCCCATCTGTCAAGCATCTGCCTTCATTTGGTTCAGGTCATGATCCCGGGGTCCTGGAATCGAGACCCTGTGTCGGGCTTCCCATTCAGTAGGGAGCCTGCTTCTCCCAATGCCCCTCTGTGTTTGTGCTCTCTCGCTTGCTCTCTTTCAAATAAACCAATAACATCTTTAAAAAAATTAATCAAATTGTTAGGATGAAATTCATATATTATAAAACTAAATGTTTTAAAAGCGTACAATTCAGTGGCCTCTAGTCATCCACACTCTTGTGCAGCTGCCATCATTCTCCTCAGGACATCCCCATCACCCCCAAAAAAGACCCCCTGCCCATTAAATAGCCGCTACCCATTCCCTCCTCCCTCTGGCCCCGGCACCCACGACCTGGTTCTGCTGCACAGAGTTACCTACTCTGGACAGTTCACAAAGGGGAATGACAGAATGTTGGCCCTGGGTCCCAATCCTTTCACTGAGCAGAGTTTTTTGAGATCCCTTCACAGTGGCATCCATCAGGACCTCATTCCATTTTACAGCCAAATCATTTTCCATTGTGTGGACAGACCACATCTTGTCTGTCTGTTGATGGGCTTTTGGGCTGCTTCCACCTGTCGGCCATTGAGAACCTGCTGCTGTGCACGTGCATGCACAGAGACATGTTTCAGGAGGTGTTCTGAGTCCCTATGGGCTGTGCCCAGGAGTGGAGTTGCCAGGTCCGCGGCTTGCGGGGAGCTGCCAGAAAATTTTCCATGGTGGCTGCACCATTTGACATTCCCACCAGCACAGTATGAGGCTCCAATGTCCCCAGTCTCACCAGCATTTGTGATGTTCCCGATTTCTGACTGAAGCCCTCCCAGTGGGCGTGAAAGAGTAGCTCACGGTGGCGTGGACTTGTGTTTCCTTGAGGACCGATGGTGTTGAGCAGCTTTGCCCACACGTATTGACTTCTCAGGGTCTTCTTCCGAGATGCGTCTGTCTGTCCAAGTCCTTTCCAGTTTTCAATCGGTTGTCTTTTGTTGAGATGTAAGAGTTCTCTATACATTCTGGACATTAGACCCTTGTCAGATGTGATTTGCAAGTGTTTAAAAATGTCATTATATATATATTTAAATATTTATTATTTATTTTATTTATTAAATATTTATTATTTATTACATATATTTAAATATTTATTTATTTATTTATTTATTTATTTATTTATTTATTTATTTATTTATGATAGACATAGAGAGAGAGAGGCAGAGACACAGGCAGAGGGAGAAGCAGGCTCCATGCCGGGAGCCCGACGCGGGACTCGATCCTGGGTCTTCAGGATCCTGCCCTGGGCCAAAGGCAGGCACCAAACCCCTAAGCCACCCAGGGATCCCATGTCTTTTATGTTTTATAAATATTAAAACAATGTTTTTAATTGCTTAAGCTCATATTTAGGGCACGGATCCATTTTGAATCAAGTTTTGTGCAGAGTGAGGTAGGTGTGAGGGCTGATTTGTATGCAGCTTCTCCTGCCGCCATGTCACCCTGACCAAGGACCTCTCTGGGAGCAGCTCTGCTCCCCTGCCCTCGGCGGGATGGGCGCCTACACATGCCTTTGGGAAGTCATGTGGAAGGGCCGTCTCTCCAACCCCCAGGCCTGGTACCGGGCTGTGGGGCCAGGCTGGTTGAGCGTGGCGGTGTGGCATCCCCACCCTGTCCTGCCTGGTTCTTCTCCCCTCCCCCGGGCCACGTGAGAGCCTGCACAGAAAGTCTGCGCAGGAGGACAGGGCCAGACACGCGGCTGTTCTCTGCCTCTCCCGCTCTCTGCAGCGTGCTGTGTTCAATCCCTGAGTGGGCCCCCCACACCCCAGTGTGCCCTACCCCGGGCGACACCCTCTCCTAGGCCTGCATGTCGCTCATCTTTCTCCCAGGGTGTCAGAAATCTCTGGAACCTCCCCTCTAAAGAGAATTGTGGGACACTGAAGGCGTCTGAGACCATGGGGCGTTTGGAGGTTGGGTAGTTGATGTGCCGGGTGAGAAAAGCAGCTTCCCCAGGCTGGAGACAGAGTGAGGAAGACCAATGGGGCCCTCCCGGGAGCCGAGGTAGGTGGGAAACACTGCCCCTGTGCCAGCTGGGCAGCCAGCCACGGGCATCAAGCTGAAAAGTCTGTTTTTTGTCATGGGACTGCCCCAGCTGCCCACCCCTGCCAGACCTGGGCAAACCGGAAGCCTGCTGAGGTTCCTCCCACCCAGAGGGCTGGATCCAGGCAGGCGCCAGGACTTTGTTCCTTGGGCTGGTCTGGCTCTGAGCCTAAGGTCTGAGCGGCACTTAGTTTCTGAACTGTGCCCTCCACCTCCTGCCCCCGCCAGTGTGCCCAGGGCACCTGGCTTCTGGAGCCCCAGGGGAGCCATGGACCCCAGAGGTGAGTGGGGAGGAACCAGGGCTCCAGGATGGGCCTCTGACCATCTGGTCGGGGCTCCCCAGCCACAGGAGCCAGGGTCCAGACCCCGCAGGGTGGGGACAGCTAGGGCAAGGGCAGTGGGGAGGGCCTGGGGGCTCCATGTGCCCCTGTGCCGTGGGAGGGGAGGTGGTCTTAGGTAGGGTGATGGTGGCACTCAGGGAAGAAGGACAGATAGGATGTGGCTAGAGCAGTGTTTGTATGGGGGGCAGACCTTTGGAGGAAGCGTCTTGACTTGACATACAAAGCTCCCTGGCTAGCCCTCTGCCAGCCCTCCTGCCCAGGCCTCTGCCGAGTCTCCTCTCCTGGGCTCTCTTCTCTGTACTTGTCTGGTCCCCAGAGGTCAGAGGGAGGGCCCAGGAGGGGATTTCCTCCTGCTGGGACGTCTGCCTGTGGGAAGAGGGCCAAGAGCGTCCCAAGAGCTCAGAGCTCAGGCACAGCCAATGCTAGGAGTGGGGCCCTGGGCACCTGCTGGGGATGGGGGTGCGGGGAGGAGGCTGGGAGAGAGAGGGAGGGAAAGAGGAAGTAGGCTTCGGGGAGAAGAGTTTCCTATGGGTGCAAGCTGGCTCCCTGATATCAGTAACTCTGCCTGTGAGGCTGGCATCTGAGGGCAGAGGGGACAGAGGGAGGGCGAGGGAGGAGAGGGGAGCTGGAGCCAGGAGGAGGGCCCCTTCCTGCCTCCACCCTGCCCTCCCAATCGGGCCGGGATGGTGGGGGTGCTTTACTTCCCCATGGGGTGGTCTTTGCCCCTCTGGCTGAGAGATGGAGGCTTCTGGGGTCCCTCAGCCCTCTCTCCCTGCCTGGCCATCTCATGCCACCTCTGCTGCTACCTGGCAACAGACCAGCTCAACAACTCGGTTCTTGTCAGCAGGACCCACGGGCCCTAGGCCCAGCCCCTGCGGCCGTAGAGGGGGCAACCCCAGCAGAGTGCTGGGCGCTGGGAGCCCCCCACTCCCCAACATGGGAGCATGTGCCCTCTCTGGGTGCCGTGGCACCACAGCACAGCAGCAAGTACACCTGCTCTGAGCTCCTGCCTGGGACTGCCCTGTGCCCAGCTGCGCCTCCTCAGGGACCAGGAGGGCAAGGGTCTGGCTTTCATGTGCATCTACTGAGGCCCAGGACCTGGCACTGTTTATTCACCTTCTCATCCGTGGCACTCTGCTGGGGGCTGGGACACTGTGCGATCTCATTGAACCTTCCAGAACAGCAGAGCATGTGCCCAGCCTAATGGACATGAGATGGGCTATGTGGGTCCTGGTCTCCTGGGTGCCCTCACAGCTGGGCTCAAACCCTAGGTCCTGGAGTCACCCCTTCCTTGACCAGAGGAGAAAAAGTAGTCCTGGGGGCCCAGGGAAGGCTCTGGGCTCTGTTCAGCCCCCTGCCCTGACTGCAGGAGGAAGTGGCCCTGAAGAGACCGTTGGAGGGTCCAGGGAGATGAGGACAGAGCCCTGGAGGCCTCCCTCCCTTTTGTCCCGCCTCCTGGGACAGGGCCTGGCTGGGTGGGGTCTCTGCCAGAGCCTGGGAGGACGTGCAGAGAGGCCAGGGGCTTCCTCGGTCACTCGGGGAGTCAGGCACACATCTTCTCAGAAGAGAAACCAGAGACAACAGCCACTGCTTTTCCTCATGTTTAGTCATTGAAATTCTTTCATTGATTGGAGGCCTCCAGCCTGGCCTGGCTTGGGCTTGGGCCTGGAGCAGGCCTCCCTGAGGGAACCCGCCTCGGATGGGCTGAGAGGATGCACCGGGCTATCATAGTTTACTTCTGCCCTTGTTGTAAAGTCTTCTGACCTAAGCAGAGACCCCGTGTGGTTGGGGGTGGTGGGAAGGGCCCTCCTAGAGCCCAATCCCAGGCCCAGGAGGCACCAGCACCAGGGCAGAGTGCAGGGTGCTCCTGTGATGGCAGCGCCACCGACGTGGGCCTGAGCTCAGGGTTTCCTGGTTCCCTAGAAGGTGGTAGGTCAGGACCCGGTGGGTCTCCTGGGGCAGACATTGGCTCTGATGCCAAGCTGCTCAAGGAGAACCAGGCTGGCAGCCCCAGATGTAGCTGTCCCACCTCCTGGGGATGCCGCTCTGTTAGAGTCCTGCAGGCAGTGACACGTCCGTCTGGTCTGAAAGTCAGACCCTTGCTGGGTGCCCAGGGCTTCCCAGTGTGCCCAGATCTGCCCTGGTTTTAGCACTCCAGACTACCCTCCGGGGCCTGGCGGTCCAGCTTCTGGCCCTCTGGGATGGCTTCTCTTCTTCCCGAGGCCCTTGGTGACCAGGTCCTTCCTGCTGCTATGGTTTTGCCAGTCCCTTCCCTGGATCTTGCCCATCTGCTGTGCCCCTCGGGCCTCTGCTTCTTGTGTGCCCTCTGGGGGGCCTGCCAGCCCCAGTGGACCACCAGCCTGGTGCTCCGACCTTTCCTGCCCCACTTCCCTGTGTGGGCTGTGCATGCCCTACATGCTCCACATTGGGAACAGGCCAACCCAATCAGGGAGCTAGTGGCCCTTTAGGGTAACCCAGGCCAGCCTGCCCCGTGTCAGCATGGGGGATGCAGAGGGTCAACTGGAAAGTGCCAGGACCCGGACCGGGCCCCAGCCTGGACTACGGGCCACTGTGCTGTACACGGTGTGGGCCGGCAGTGTCCCATCCTCAGCTGTCTGGTGAGCTCCTACTGCGTGGGGCCACTGTCTAGACGGGGGGCCAAGAGAAGAGTCAGAACACATGGCACCAGCACCCCTGGGTCAGGTGGAGACCATGCGGGTTATTGGGGGAACTTGCCAGCAGAAAGAGTGGAGTGGTCCAGTTGGCACCCAGTAGCCTGATGCCGGCTTCCCGCAGGGCAGGTCAAGGGCAGGTGTACTGTGGACACTAGGTGTCCCCCTTGCCCCCAGCTGGGTCCAGGTGAGACGGGAGGCTCCCCACATCAGGAAACCGCCTTGCTGGACAGGGGCTACCTGCAGCCATTTGGCCAGCGCTAGCTCCGGGGCAGGGGAGCCTCCAGGCCAGTCCCACTCGCCTGCCTGCCCTTCTCATAATATATTATTGTGGTATAATGCACACAAGAAGGAATTTACTGTTTTAACCAAGTTTAAATGCATAGTCTAGCGGCCACAAGCATCACACTGCTGTGCAAGTGTAACCACAGAGCTCTTCCATCCCCCCCAAACCGAAGCCCTGTCCCTGGAGAACACTGACCCCCATCCCCGGCCCCTGGCGCCCACCATCCACTTTCTGTCTCCAGGTCCCTGAGGGGCATGGATTCCTGAAGGTTCTGTCCCTCCGTGACCTCCCTGTTTCACTCATCTCTTGTCCTTGGAGCCCGTTCATGTTGGAGCCTGGGACTACCTTACCTTCCTTTCTAAGAATATTCCATGGGGTGGATGGAGCATGTCTTCTCTGCTCCTGGGTTCCTGGTAGGACCCTGGGACACTTCCCATTTTCAGGGAATAGCACTCGGGAACATGCAGAGACCCAGCCCTGGAATTGCTGAATCATATGGTAATTGTACATTTAATTTTGGGGGGAATTGCCTTACTTTCTCCCCCAGCAGGTGGACCCGCATGTGGAAGGTGTGGCCAAGGAGGTGTGCTGCTGGGTCGGGGTTGGGGTGGGAGGAAAGGTGCCTCTGAGTTTCCCAGGCGCCCTGGTGTCTGGCCATAAGATGGGAAAAGTGCCCCACCTGGGGTGTGGGCAACAGGGACCCGCGGTCCTACTGGGCCGTGAAAGGGTTGATGGGCCTTCAGTGGGGAGGCCCATGGGGCTCAAGTCTCCTTGTCCTCGGTCCACTGACACACAGGTAAAGGCTAGAGAATCGTGGGAGGGGGATGACAGTGTAGATGCCGTAGTTCATGCTCCTGGCACGGTGGGGACAGAATAGAGGCCGGGACCACACCTGAAGCCTCGGAGGATTGTGCTCCTAGGGAGGTCAGGCAGGTGCAGCCAGCTGACAGGCCAGAGGGAGCAGAGTTCACCTGCGCCGAGGAGCCAAGGAGCCGAGTGGCCAAGGGCAGAGGAGAGAGTGCCAGGTTAGGAGGCAGGTATCCCAGAGCCAGCCAGCCAGAGGGGAGTCCCGGGGTGGTTGGAGTGACAGGCTGGGTAGGGAGGGTGAGGAGAGAATGGGAGGAGGTGTGGAGGGCAAGGGGATGACCATTCAAGCTGCTCTCTACAGGGAAGGGTGAGAACAGGGTGGGGAGAGAACGCGGAGGGAATGTCGGTAGAGAAACCTGAATGACGCACGGACCTCACGCTGATCTTTGGTGCCCTGCTCTGGTCCTGGCCGCTGCTCCCAGCTCACCTGGCTCCGCGCCCACTTTACCTGGGCAGCCGGCCAGCTCCCCGTGCACACCTGATGAGGGAAATCAGGACCTTGGGGACAGTCTTTAATGTGTTGCTCTCACTATTGATAAGATCAAATGTCTTTAACGTGGTTATTGCTGCATATCATTTGCCCTTTAAGACAGTTTGTGGGGCACCTGGCTGGCTCAGGGGGTGAAACATGGGGCTCTAAATCTCAGAATTGTGGGTTCAAGCCCCACCTTGGGTGTAGAGATTTCTTAAAGACAATATCTTAAAAAAAAAAAAAAAAACCAACTCACCAGTTGCTCTTATTTATTAAATCATAGGAAGATATTATCCTAAAGGGTTTGGGGCTTTTTTTGTGATATGAGTTCCAAAACATTTCTTTAACTTATTTATTTGATTTTGTTTGTGGTTGTCTTTTCAACCATGCGTCAAATTATTTTCATCAGGTTTTGTTTATTTGTCTTCATTTAGGGCTTTTGAAAAAAATCTGGGGCCACACTTAGGGTCTTCCCCTCTCCCAGACTGAAAACATAGGCTCTTTCTTTTGTTCTGGTGTATTTACAGGTTTGTCTAATTTTGTTATTTGTAGCGGTCAGTACATTTGTGGGGTACTGAAGTCAGAGCTGATGCCTCAGGATCTGATGGAGAAGGGTTGCCTGGCGTGGTGTCTGCGGGCTCCCTGCTCCCCGCAGTTACTTGTTCTGAGTTATTGCTTGTGCAGCCTTTTAGGTGTTTAGATAAGCATAAGAATATACAGAAGTGCTGTTCTGGACTTTATTTGGAGCTACCCCACCCCCCGTGCCTTGAGCGCTGGGCTCTTCCTTAGAGCCACACGGGGAGCTGAGTTGGCAGCTCGCAGGTGACCTCTTTCAGCCTCTAGTGCAGAGCACTGGCCATTTCCAGGCTTCTGCTGGAAACAAAGCCACTAAGAACAACCATCATCTTCTGTGTGGGCAGGTGTCTCCGCAGTGTAGACCCTCACCTGGGTTTGCTGGGTCAGATGCTGAGTGAGTCTGGCTCAGGGTAAACACGGCCAGATGTCCCTCCCTGTGGAGTCTGGTCTCTTTCTACCCCTACCGCAGTGTTTCTGAGCCTCACCCCTCCTGGCTGATGGCCCTGTAAGGAGGAAAATAAAATTGAATTTAAATTGCCCCTAAAGGGCAGCCCCGGTGGCGCAGCGGTTTGGCACCGCCTGCAGCCTGGGGTGTGATCCTGGAGACCTGGGATCGAGTCCCACATCGGGCTCCCTGCATGGAGCCTGCTTCTCCCTCTGTCTGTGTCTCTGCCCCTCTCTCTGTGTGTCTATGAATGAATAAATAAAATCTTTAAATAAAAATAAAAATAATAAAAAATAAATAAATAAATAAATAAATAAATAAATAAATAAATAAATCGCCCCTAAAAAGAGATGCACCTGACTGGCTCAGTCAGGAGAATATGGGACTGTTCTTGGGGTCATGAGTTCAAGCCCCAGGTGGTGTAGAGCCTATTTAAAACAAAACAAAACAAAAAAAAACAAAAACATTTGTCGCTAAAGAAAAAATATTAAGGAGTAAGAGTTTGCTGGGTAAAGTTAAGCTTTGGAAAGTCACAAGTCATTAATGACCAAGTTTTTTTTTTTTTTGCATCCTCAAAAACCAATTTTCACCTTCTCAGGGGCGGCATCCTGACCTCCCACTCCCTGCTCCTCCCCCTGCCTGGAGAAGACTAGTGCCACCCAAGGTGTGGACAGGTGGGATCCCTGGGGCACCTGGAGAGCCCAGGGCAGGCGCAGACATGTTGTTGGCATTTGGTGGTGAGAAATAGTATCTACTGTGACTTTTTTTTTTTAACCAGCTCCAAGAATAATTGACTTACAATAAACTACGCATATTTGAAGTGTGCTGTTAGCTAAATTTAAACATTTGCATACACACATGAAGCCATTACCAAAATCAGATAATGAACCCCCCATCCCCCCCAAATGTTCCCTCTTCCCTTCTACAATCCATCCCCCTCTGCCTCACCCCTGCCGTATGAGGCCACACCGTCGGCCTTCCATAGCTACAGACTAGTTTGATCTTCTAGAATTTCACATAAAAGGAATCAGACATTAGCCACTCCTTTCATGCCCCCATCTCTCAGTGTAATTACGCTGAGATTCCCCCACGCTGGTGAGTGTATCCACAGTTCATTCCTCTCACTACTGTCTGGACACACGTCCGCTGGCTGATCTACTCATTTGCTGCTGGTCATCCGGGTGGTTTGCAGTTGGTGGCTATGACCAGGGAAGCTGCTGTGAGCCTATGTGTTAAGTCTTTGTGTGGACACGCTTTTCTTTCTCCTGGAATGACTGGGTCACGCGGTGGGAAGTGCCAGGCTGTTTCTCGAGGGGGTTGTTTGAGATACATCCCCACCCCGAGCATCTGAGAGCTTGGTGCACCACGTCTTCACCGACATTTTGTGTGGTCAGTCGTTCTAATTCCAGTAGATATGAACTTGGGACTCACTGTGATTTTAATGTGCGTTTCCCTAAGGACTGATGCGTCCCATGGAACTCTGGCCATCGTTGTATCTTCTTTAGTGAAGTGTGTGTTCAGATCTTATATGTATCTATGAGATATATATGGGTGGAGTTTGTTTTCATACAACTGAGTTTTGAGACATAGCTCCTTTCTTCCATATGTGGTTGGGAAAGAATTTTTTTCTAGCCTGATTTGTCTTTTCATTCTCTTAACTGTGACACTCAAATAGCAGAGGTTTTTAGGGGTCCCTGGGTGGCTCAGTGGTTTAGCGCCTGCCTTTGGCCCGGGGTGTGATCCTGGGGTCCTGGAATCGAGTCCCACATCGGGCTTCCTGCATGGAGCCTGCTTCTCCCTCTGCCTGTGTCTCTGCCTCTCTCTCTCTCTGTGTGTGTCTCTCATTAATAAATAAAATCTTAAAAAAAAAGAGCAGAGGTTGTTAATTTTGATCAAGGCCAATGTATGCATTTTTCTTTTATGGACATTGCTTTTGGTGTTGTATTTTGATTTTGTTAAGTTTATTTATTTAAGTGATCTCCACACTCAACGTGGGGCTCGAACCCACAACTCTGACACCAAGAGTCATGCACTCCACCAACCGAACCTACTGAATGCTCCTCGGTGCGTCATATTTTCAAACCTTGGCCCAATCCATGACCACGAAAACTATTTTTGCATACATATCTGAGATGACCCATTTGGATACATCCCTGGGATACATCACATTTTCATACCCAGAGGGAACAGACACGACTGTCTTAGACCAAGGGAAATCTTTGGTAACAGTTTTTGGGCTGCACCCAGGTGTCTGCATGCACAGTGTTTTGTTTCTCGGTCCAGCACTTGGGGCCCCAAACACATTTGTGATCAATGAGATTCTGGTTGCTGGGACATCAGACTTGAGTGTCTTGGCTGTCACGCGGTGGGTGGAGGAGGCCCTTTATCAACGGTGGGTCTCACTGCACCACCACCTCTGCTAAGTTTCACCAACACGTGCAGTTTTGCTTCCTTCCAACGTGCACCTATTCTGGAGAGCTGATCTCTGCCTCGGGCTCTCTGGCCATGGCGTATTGTGTGTAGCTCCCCTGTGTTAGGGCTCGAGGTGTCCACAGGGTCTGGAATCCCCTCAGTGGAGCTGGGTTGGTATACCCTTGTCTGCCACAGCCCTCACGTGTCTTGTCATCCGCACTTTGCCAGTCGGATTGTGGCTACGTTCCACCTTATTCTGCATCCCTTGGGTCAGGTCATGATCTAGGGTCCTGGGATGGAGCCCTGCTCAGTGGGGAGTCTCCTTATCCCTCTCCCTTGGCCACCCCCTTGTTTGTGCATGCTCTCTCTCTCAAATAAATAAAAAAAATTTTTTTCTTTAAAAAAAGAGTTGGCCCATTCCCTCAAGACTTGTCAACAAGGAGGGGCACTGGGGCAGGTACCCAGGGACTGTAGGGTTAGGCTCAATGGGATTATGTCTCCAGGAGAGGTTGACCCACCTTGTCTGTGAGTACAGAAGAGGGAGAGGGCGTTCAGCTGGAGCTGACATGAGCCCATCACTGGCCAGTGCCCAATTTTGACCTCAACAGGGTGACTTAGGTAACCCAACCCTGAATAACTGAGACTTCCTCTCCACAGGCTTCTGGGGAAAGAGTGCCAGCCCCTGGCTGTGCGGCTTCCTGATCTTTGCTGCCTGCCTGGGCTTCTACAGGTAAGGGGTGGGGGATGATCCTGGGGACCCTATGGCAGGTTGGGATTAATTATGGCTTATTTGACTGTAGTTAACAAAACCAGTGAAGGTTGGCCCACAACAATGATCCCAGAGAAAGTGTGACCAGCACTGTCATGATCATTTTGCACATGATGAAACCAAGGGAATGTGGTGGTATCCCAGCCTCACTCACCCCACTTCACGGGGGCACAGACTCCCAGCCAGCCCACTGCTCTGCTCCCCAGTGATTTATGGGCATTTATAGGTGCCAGGGGTGTGGAGGGCCTCAACCTGTTAGAAACACCAGTTACCTCAACATACGGAACTCCCATCATGCTGCAAATATATTTGTGGAAAACATAACATTTTTTTTTTTACTGAATGTTATTAGTTTAAAACAAACAATAAAGTTGATGTTTTAAAACAAATTTGATAAAGTTGCTCCCCTTAAGAGCAATAGATTCTAGTGGATACCTTTTCAGGACACTGGTTCTTATCCCACAAGGTGAAATTGCTCTTAGCCTCAACTTTGAGGTGGATGTTGAGTGCTTGAACATATAGGTCAGATGACAAGAAGGCATTTTTAATTAGCAGTAAACCTTCAGAGCTATACACGTTTTCACTGGCAACTTTTGTAAAGAAATTTGTCAGTGGGGCACCTGGGTGGCTCAGTTGGTTAAGTGTCTGACTCTTGGTTTCACCTCAGGGTCGGGTCCTCAGGGTCCTGAGATTGAGCCCCTTGTTGGGTTCCATGGTCAGCGGAGAGTCTGCTTGAGATTCTCTCTCCCTCTCCCTCTGCCTCTCCTCTCACTGCTCACACACTCTCTGTCTCTAAAAAAAGGAAAGAAAGCAAGAAAGAAAGCAAGAAAGAAAGAAAGAAAGAAAGAAAGGAAAGAAGAAAGAAAGAAAAAGAAATTTGTTAGAAGGAGCTTCCATTTGTTGAATTTTTATTCTGTGCTGGGCACTGAGCAAAGTGCTTGATGGACATTCTTGTACTTCCTCTTGTCAATCTGTAAGATGTGCACTATTATCCCCACTTGACACCTAAGAAACAGGCCCCAGAGGTGGAGGTGACACCCAGGTTACAGGGTAGGAAGTGGCAAAGCCAAGATGCAGAACCCTCCCAACCCCCTCCCCAGGGCCCCAAGGGAGAGTCAATCTAGGCTGGCATCTAGTCTCGGGGCTGGTGGGGCAGCCAGTGCATGTTTGGCAACATGATCCCCTTGTGCTGTTGGGCACATCCACACCTTCACCCAGGCAGGTGTTTCCTGAGCCTGGTGCTCCCGGGGGTGCCGACGTGTCACCGTCCATGGGACAGCTCCCTGTCTTGAGCAGCGTCCGGTCTGGTCAGGGGAGTAGATAGGTGGTCCAGTCAGGAGAGTGGATACAGGGTCTCCTGGATCTCCTGGGAGGAAGATACCCCTTGACCTGCCAGCAGTGGAGACATGTCAGGGCTTTATAAAGCAAGTCTGAACAACAAGTTGAACAAGTCACATATGGAACATGATGGGAAAAGGGGGTGGTGGTGGCGGTGACATTCCAGGTATGTAGTGGCCGAGGTTAGAAGCTCTCACCCCAACCCAAACCCTACTCATGGGGCAGGGAGACACAGAAGCTTCCTGGAGGAGGGCATGCTTGTTCTGGGACCAGCAGTGCTTGGACAGGGGAACTCAGGGCAGGGCAGGGGGGGGTGGGAGAGCTAGTCACGCCAGGAGTAGCGTTCCAGTGTGACATCGCACACCCCTGCTGTGTCCTCAGTGCAGGGGGCAGGGCGTCCCAGGCCCTATAGTCACCCAGGGGTGGAGCCATAGGTCCCTTCCTGCTCTGACCCTTAGCTAGCAAGCCACCAAGTTCAGAACCCGCCCCCTTGGGCTTCTGTTGTCTGCGTGACAGCACTGTTAGAAAAGGGGAGGGAGGCAGGACTTCAGCATGTCTGCAGATCACTTGGGGAGCCTGTCAGAAAGCGAGGTCTCTACGCACAGCCCTCCAACCGCTCAGCGGTGTGCACATCTGGATCACATCTGGGTGAATCCAATGCCGGGGTCCCCTGGTCCCCTCCATGCTATTCATTACTACGGCGACGAGACTGTGTTGCAATGGTCAGGGTGTCTGGCAGGGGTGGGGAGGGGGCCAGCACGGCTTGGGCCCCACCTCTGTTTTCGCAGGAGCCAGAGGCGAATAGGGTGAAAATGTATGTGTTAGAGTCTCAGCCTCGAATCCACAGCCTGTCCCTCCTCCGGCCCAGCAAAGACTCAATCACACTCTTGTTTGTTTCCTAGCAACATTTTCAACCTGATTCCTGGATGGGGGCAGAGAAGAGAGTCTGAAAGGTAATGGCAGAGTCTTTGGAGTCAGGGTGGTTCCTTCTAGAAAGATCTAGAACAGAAATATGTATGTATCGAACTGGAGGTAATTATCACCAAGGAGATACTCATTTCCCAGGGGGACTCCTGGCTCCTCCTTCTACCCTGGTTCTGAATCCTTGACAAGGGACAAGGTGGAGCTCTGACTGCTGTCGGAGAGGACACGTGCGCAGGGTTAACACACTGCCCAGCAGGTGCTAGGCAAGGTCGGGGTTTGGGGAGGGACGGCCTGTGGCGCTGGCTCCAGGTTCCCTGGTCCCCATGGGCCCATCAGGGGACGGGGTGTCCTCTGACCCCATGGGGCCCAGGCAGGGGGGCCCAGTTGTCCTCTCAGAGCTACTCCCTTCCAGGGACGGCCCTCTCTGGCTGACCTGGGACCAGGTAGGTGAGAGCCCCCAACCAGTATAGCTTGTGAGCCAGCAGGATGCAGCCTAAAGCCACGTCCTGAACCCAGGTCTCCTCCTTCCCACCCACATGGGGGTCCGCACGTGCTGCTTGGATGGACAGGTAGATGAGGGCCACGCTGGCACCACTCTTGTCTCCAGCAGCACTGAGGTCCCCACCCACAGGGCCAGAGGGAGAGCCTGCCATTGGGGTGATGGCTTTCACTCCTTCCTCTTCACTCACCAAGATGGACCTTCCTTGGCCTTTGGGATGGAGGAGGGACCCTCCAGGAGCCTGTGTCCCCTCTTCCCCTCCTGGGGCCTTGTGGGGTCAGCAGGGATAGGGGGCGGGGATGCACACCTCCCCTTTGCCTGGGGCACCCATCCCCAGGACGCGGCACTTTCTTAGCAATGGCGACTTTTCCTGAAGTGACTCAGGTGGAACCCCTCCCATTGCAGCCAGGAGGCCGGGCCCGTGGTCCCGCAGAGGATGCTGGAGACAAGACAGTGCAGGTAGGGGGTGGGGACCCAGGCTCCCAGGTCCCAGAGGGCCAGGGGGGCTTCACCAGAGCTTCCCCTGGGATTCTAGGGCCCACCTGAGTGGCCACAGCTCCTGCCTTCAGGGCTGTGCACCTGCTCCCCAAACAGAGGGCCTCTGGCCAGGCTGCTGGCACTGTGGGTGTGGAATGTCCCATGGGTGGATCTGTGCCCCGAGCTCCCAGATGTGACCCGCGTGTCCAAGGTTTGTCTGCTGTGCTCTGGACCCCTGTTCTACTTGCTGGGCCACACGGCCCAAGCTCTGGATTCCCTGGGGAGCTGTCCTCCTCAGGGGCTCTGTTGGGGGGGCCCTGGAGGAGAGCCACCCGGCTGGCAGGGCTGTGTTCCTCCCAGGACCCAGCCCTGGGCTCTGAGCACCCTATCTCCCTCCCTCAGTGACCGTGACAGCCACCCGGACCCCTGCAGAGTTCCCAAGGTACCCAGGTATGGGGACACCTGTTCGGGCTGTTTCTGGGCCTCTTTCCAAGAAGTGAACACATGTCTTGCCCCCTCCCCTTCCTCATCCTCCTGTGGCTCCTGAGGCTGGTTCACAGGGAGGGAGGTACCAGGGACCCAGGAGAGGAGGGTAGGAGGGTCAGAGAGGAACAGGGGAGATGTTCAAGGATGGGGTTCCTCGGACCTCAGGCTTCCTGTCGGCCCTGGCTTAGGCATCACAGCTGTGGGGACCCAGTCCCGGCTTCTCAGTACTCAGCCTCGAGGAAAACTGGATAATGTGGTGGGGGTGGGGGGTGGGGGTGCTGGGGGACCAGGGAGGCAGCCGGTGGGTGTGGTGCGGAGGTGCGTGAGGTGGACCTGGGCTCAGTGCAGGGGCAGGGCCAGCCCTCGTCTTCTCACCCCCAAAATAAGAGCAGGACAGGGCACCTTCGTTACAGTGAGGGAGACCCCTGTGGGGACTTATGGGGCCGGGGAGAGAAGGTGACATGGGGGACGTCTAGAACCTCAATAGTCCTCACAGACCATGAGGGGTGACCTGCGGCCTTTGCTTGGGCTTTAGCCTCAGTTTATCACTGGGCAGCGTGTGACCTCCTCAGGGTGTGTGGGTATGCTCCCTGGGGTCTGTGAGGGACTAAGTGACTGAAGGAGGGGAGGGGGAGGGAGTGGGAGGAGAGGGAGGACAGGAAGGAGGCAGGAGAAGAGCAGGTAGGAAGGAGGGTGTGCGCCCTGGGGCTGGGTGCCGACCCTGGCAGTGCTGGCCCTCTGGAGGAGGAAGACAGCCCCCTCAGCTCTGGGCGCCAACTCCTGGGGTCTGAGGAGCCTCCGGGTGTGACCTGCATCTGCCCTGATGCATGTCTTGTCCGCAGGATGCTTTACCCCAATGTGAAGCTCCTCAATCCCACGTAAGTAGTGGGTCCCTGGGGCGGCGGGGGCTCCCCGGCCCCGACGGCCTGGGGGTCTCCTGTCTCTCTCTCTCTCTCTCTCCTCTCTGGGGCTGCGACCTTTCCTTGCCTTTTCTTTCCTTCTCTCAGGCCTCCCTGAGGCTGGGTGTGTTTTTCATGGGAGGGTGACAAGTGTGGGTGCTGTGGAAGGCACCTCCAGCCCTTGGGCCCTGGGGAGCTGTGGGCATCCGCAGGAGGCACAGAGCCCACTCCTGTGTGTCCTGGGGATGGAGGACAGAGCTGGGGGCGGGGGTGGCCCTGAGGTCTTTCCTGGGGTGCAGATGGCTGAGAGACCACAGTCCGTGCTGGACCGCACAGCCTGGCCTCCTGAGCCCACACCTCCTGCTTGTTCTTGACATTCAGTGCTGGTTGCCAATGAGAAGGCCACCCAGGGGCCACTCTGAGGCAGCCCTTGTTTTACAAGCAGGTAAACTGAGGCTCAGAGCAGTGCAGTGGCTTGCCTGAGGCCCTGCCCTAACCCACAGCACCTCTTTCCCCCAGGAGGGCGGATGTGCTGGTCCTGACCCCCTGGTTTGCCCCCATCGTCTGGGAGGGGGTCTTTGACTCTGCCATTCTGGACGCGCAGTTCAGAAACACCACCATCGGGCTCACCGTGTTTGCCATCAAAAAGTAAGTGGGGTCCGGGCCATGCTGCTGGAGAGGGGCGCCTGCCTGGGGGAACTAGGGAGTCCACCCGAGTGCAGGTGGCACCAGGCACGAGGTGTCCCTCCTGTCCAGGATGAGGTGCTCATGGGGTCTGGGGAGATGTGGGTGGCTTCGGGTCCAGGGGACCTTGCTGGGATTCTCAGGGGCTGCTGTACACCCCCTGCTCACGATAGCAGCCCCACCCCTGAGGGTCACAGGCTCCGGAGTTCACTGCGTGAATGTTGTCTTCGAGCTGCCCCGCCACCACTGACCACGTGCAGGGGCAGCCCCTGCGCTGGGAGCTGAACCCCAGCACAGCCCAGGAGCAGAGGTTCTGCAGCCCGGATCTGTTCCCAGAGCGGCTGACGAAGGCTTAGGGGCCTGGTTACCCAGCAGGTTTACCGTGTGGCAGAGCTGGACCCGCGACCTCCAGGTTGCATCTACAGCTCTGGAGCTTGCTTGTTTGCTTCCCACACTGGCTGGTATTTTACAGACCACATCATCACTCGGGGCATCTTGGTCGCCCTTGCACACTGGCGCCTGTGGCCCTTCCTCACTCTTGAGTGGCTGCCCACCCTTTGATCCCAGAGGTGCTTCCTTCCCGCTTGAGCTGTTTTGTAGAGTTGCCTCAGGTCACACCACGATCGATGATGTCTTATCATGAAATTGTTCAACTGGGCAGCAGTGTTGCAAAAATTGGACAGTGAACGTGTGTGTGCCCCGACCCCACATTCCACCCTGATGGGTGTGCTTTCTTCATTCCCCGCTCAGCCTCCCTAGTCTTAATGGGATATAATGGACACGTAACACCATGTAAGTGTACGGTGCAGGATATAATGATGGGACGTACGGATGCACAGTGTGTTCACTGCAGTCCCCATGCTGCTAGCTTCATTCCCAGAACTTCTACATCTTCTACCTGGAAGTTTGTTCCTTTTGACCCCCTTCATCTATTTCCCCAGCCCTGCACCTCTCTCCTCCGGTGAACCTCTTACCTGTTCTCTGGTGCTATGGATTCAGTTTTCTTAGACTCCACCTGTGAGATCATTCTGTATCCCACTGTCTCAGCCTGACCTGTGTCACATGGCATCATGGCCTCAGGTTTCAGCCCTGTTGTTGCAAACAGCAGGGCTCCTTGCTTTTTTATGGCTGAGGAATATGTAGCTCGGAAAGGAAATACAGGAAATGCTGCAGGGCATCCTGCTCTTCCAGCAGAAAAAAAAGGATGCCAATTAACTTTATAAGAGCATATTCATACATTTATACAGTACCCTGGTTACAGTCAGATTCTCTATTGTATAAATGTATGAATATGCTCTTATAAAGTTAATTGGCATCCTTTTCTTTCTGCTGGAAGAGCGGGATGCCCTGCAGCATTTCCTGTAAGGCATGTCTAGAGATGACTAACCCCCTCAGCTTTTGTTTGGGAAAGGCTTTATCTCTCCATTTCTGAAAATCAGCTTTGCAAGGGTGGTATTCTTTCAATATTTTTATTTTTATTTTTTTGAGAGAGAATATGAGAGTGGGAAGGGAGGGGCAGAGGGAGAGGGAGAGAGAGAATCATAAGCTGTCTCCATGCCCAGCATGGAGTCGAATGAGGGGCTTGATCCCACAACCCCGAGATCGTGACCTGAGCTGAAATCAAGAGTCAGACACCCAGCCGACTGAGCCATCCAGGTGCCCCAGTATTTTTTTTTAATTTTTTAAAATTTATTTATGATAGTCACACACAGAGAGAGAAAGAGAGGCAGAGACATAGGCAGAGGGAGAAGCAGGCTCCATGCACCGGGAGCCCGACGTGGGACCCGATCTCGGGTCTCCAGGATCACGCCCTGGGCCAAAGGCAGGCGCTAAACCAATGTGCCGCCCAGGGATCCCTGCCCCAGTATTTTGAATGTATCATCCCACTCTCTCCTGGCCTGCAATGTTTTGTTCATAAATCTACTTATAGTCTTATGAGAGGGGCTACCTTATATGTGATGACTTGCGTTTTTCCTACTGCTTTGGACATTTTCTCCTTGTCTTTGACTTTTTAAAAAGTTTATTTATTTATTTATTTAGTAATCTCTACACCCAACGTGGAGCTCAAATTCATGACCCCAAGATCAAGAGTCCCCTGCTCTTCTGACTGAGCCAGCTAGGTGCTGTGCCCTCCTTGCCTTTGACTTGTGACAATTTAATTATAATATCTCTCTCTGTAGCGCTTTTCACGTTCAAACTATCTGGGTTCCTTTGAACCTCATAAATCTGGATGCCAAGTCTTTCTTTTGGGAAGTTTTCAGCCCTTATTGCTTTAAATATGTTTTCTGTCCCTTTCTGTTTCCATTCTCCCTTTGGGATTCCCATAATGCAGACACTATTTCTTTTTATGGTTTCCCTAAGTCCCTAAGCTTCACAATTAAAATTTTATTGTACTGGCATGATCACTAATCTACCCATCTATCTGTCCATATTGTTTTTGATATACACAAAGGTAAATCTGGGACACCAGCACACTCCCCATAAATACTTCTCTGTGTGTATTGTCAACTAGAGTTCAAGATGTGTTTATGGTTTTTCTTCTTCCCAGGTAAAATGTACATACAAAAGTTTGCTGAGTTTTGGCAAATGCATATAGTTGTATAACCAAAATCCTTTCCTGGGGCACGTGGGTGGATCAGTGGTTGAGCACCTGCCTTCAGCTCAGGTCGTGATCCCGGGGTCCTGGGATTGAGTTCCGCATTGGGATCCTTGAAGGGAGACTTCTCTTCCCTCTGCCTGTGTCTCTGACTCTCTTTCTGTGTCTCTCATTAATAAATTAAAAAATCTTAAAAAAAATCACTTTCTATTCATAGAACATCTCACCAGCCCCATAAAGTTCCTCAGCACCCCTTCCTAGCCAACACCTCCCCCTACTTCCTCTCCCACATCAGCATTCTGACTTTTATCCACTCCAAGATTATTTATGCCTACTGGAATTGTAAAGTACAGACTGTGTTTTGTTGTCTTTTCTCACTAAGAATCATTACTTGGAGATATATCCGTGATTTGGCATGGGTCAGAGCTCTTTTTTGTTGCTTAGCATTCCATCATATGGGCATCCTAGCGTTGGTTAATCCATATTCCTTTTGATAGACACCTATTTCTAGGTGTTGAATATTAAGAGTAAATACGAATTTTGTCAGAAAAATCTTTTCTGGACATAGGATATATTTTTCTTGATTAAATATCTAGCAGTGGGATTGCTCAGTCCTAGGTTAGATACATGTTAATTTTGAAAAAAAATTCCTGACATTTTCGCAAGCAAGTTGTAGCATTTTACACCTGCACCCACAATATATGGAAGTTCTGGTTGTTCCACATGTTCCACAGCATTTTATGATATGAGTTGTCTGTAAACTTTTATACTTGGGTCTTTATACACACCTATGAGTCGACCTGTGTGGTAGAGTCCTGGAAGTGAAATTTAAAGTTTTGATATATTGGTGGCTCAGTCAGTAGGGTGTCCAACTCTTGAGTTCAGCTCGGGTCATGATCTTTGCCTGCAGGAATTGAGCCCTGCATCAGGCTCTGCAGTCAGCATGGCGTCTGCTTGTCTCTCTCCCTCTCCCCACCCCCATCTCTCAAATAAATAAATAAAAAACTATAATCTTTAAAGTTTTGATGGATTTTCTCATATGCCCTCTGGAGGGATTATAAAAATTGGTATTTTCATTAGTGGCATGTAAGAGTGCCTGCCTTCCCTTACCCTCAACCTCACACCCAGTATTCACTTACTCATTTGTTACAAAGGTTTTTGCTAAACACTTACTATGTGTGGACTATAGGAATAAGACAGTTACCAAGACAGGTAAAGGCCCTGCTTTCATGGAGCTCTATTCTAGTGTGAAAACACAGAAGAACAAATAAAACAAAAGCACAAAATATGTCAGATAGTGATATGGGCTCTAAAAAAATAACTAAGGCTGGGTCAGGGGGAGAGTGATTTGTTTTCATATTTATTTGTGTATTTATTTTCTCCTTTTGAGTTATAATTTCCACATAGTAAAATACGTGCTTCAAGTGCACAGCCTGCTGCATTTTTGCATCTGCGTTCATCCATGCTGGTACCAGCAGGAAGAGCTATAGGTCACGTTCAGTTCTGACCATTAATCTAAGAATGGAAGGTACTGCAGGGGTGAGCCTTTCAGGGAATGGATCCCAGCCTGAGGGAGGAGGAAGCACAAAGGCCCATAGGAGCATGGCAGGCATGTGTCAGGAACATCAAGGAGATGGCCTGCCCACACAGAAAGAAGGAGAGAGGGGAGGAGACGAGGTCAGAGGCAGATCTTGTAGGCTCTGGTAGACCACTGTAGGATCTGGATTTACCTTTTTCTTTTTTTTAAAGATGAGAAGCCATCAGAGGGTCATGGATTGGGAGAGAGCTATCATTTAGACATTATCCATCCTTTGATTTTTATCAACATCATGGATTAAGAAAATACATTATGGTTGGAGGCTACATGCTCTCAATACCAATCTGAAGGCCTCTGCTACTCTACAGTTGATTCTCTGTCTTTAGCTAGTAGATTGGCTATGGTTTTTATTTTTGGTTTTTGATTTTTGTGTTAAAATGCACATAGCATGTATCATCTTAGCTATGTTTAAACACCATAGTTTGGTAGTGTTAGATTTGTGTTTCGGTGCCACCAGAGGGCCGTGCATCTTCACAAGCGTTTTCCTCACAAAACTGAAGCTCTGTGCCCACTGAACACAAGCTCCCCACTCCCCGGCCTCTGGCACCCACCCTTCTGCTCTCTTTCTAGGAATTCGCACATTCTAGATACTCCCTTTAAGTGGAATCAGACAGTGCTTGACTTTTGCAATTGGCTTATTTCACTCAGTACAACATCCTCCAGGTGTGACTATGGGGTCATAAGCTGTCTATGCCCTAGTCTGTTTGTCTGCTGCTGTTTGATTCTGTTTAACACCCACCGTCTCTGGGATCCCTGGGTGGCGCAGCGGTTTAGCGCCTGCCTTTGGCCTGGGGCGCGATCCTGGAGGACCCGGGATCGAATCCCACGTCGGGCTCCTGGTGCATGGAGCCTGCTTCTCCCTCAGCCTGTGTCTCTGCTTCTCCCTCTGCCTGTGTCTCTGCCTCTCTCTCTTTCTGTGTCTCTCATGAATAAATAAATAAAATCTTAAAAAAAAAAAATAAAAACAAAACACCCACCGTCTCTGTTCTGGGGTGCCTGTCGTTGGTCTTAGATACGTGGTCTTCCTGGAGCTGTTCCTGCAGACGGCAGAGAAGCACTTCATGGTGGGACACAGGGTCATCTACTACGTCTTTACTGACCGGCCGGCTGATGTGCCCCATGTGCCCCTTGCGGAAGGGAGGCAGGTCGTGGTCCTTGAGGTACGAAACTATGCCCGCTGGCAGGAGGTGTCCATGCACCGCATGGAGATGATCAGCAACTTCTCACAGCAGCGCTTCCTCCACGAGGTGGACTACCTGGTGTGCATGGATGTGGACATGAAGTTCTGCGATCACGTGGGCGTGGAGATCCTGTCCCCCCTCTTCGGCACCCTGCACCCTGGTTTCTATGGGGCGGCCCGCGAGGCCTTCACCTATGAGCGCCGGCCTCAGTCCCAGGCCTACATTCCGAGAGACGAGGGTGACTTTTACTATGCAGGGGGCTTTTTCGGGGGGTCGGTGGTCGAGGTTCTCCAGCTGACCACAGCCTGTCACCAGGCGATGGTGGTGGACCAGGCCAATGGGCTCGAGGCCGTGTGGCACGATGAGAGCCACCTGAACAAGTACCTGCTCTACCACAAGCCCACCAAGGTGCTATCCCCGGAGTACCTGTGGGACGAACAGATGCAGCAGAGGCCACCTTTCCTCAGGAAACTGCGCTACGTGGCAGTGCCCAAGAATCATGCAGAAATCCGGCAGTGACAAGCGTGGAGCCCTGGGGAGGTCTCTGTTCAGGCTGCCTCCTTAGCAGGTCTTCCCCAGGCAAAGGATCTGCCAAAGACTGGATGGTGTGGCTGAGTCCCTGGACCTCAGTGCCCTCTCCTGGAGAGGTGCCCATTACTCATCCTTGTATTAAAGCTGGGCTCATCCTTCATGCTGCCCATAAGGTCACCTTCTCCAGGAAGAGCTTTGATTGTCCCTTTCTCTTGCTGTGGAAACACACCGCGCTTCACTCTGCATCTATGTAGCACTTGGTGTAATCCCTGGGTGAGCTGTGCTGCCATTCTGCTCACATTCCCTGTTGGCCGTGCCCATTAAGTATGAGCTCCTGAGGGCAGAGGCAGTACCTACCATGGTGCCTTATGCCCAGAGACTCTCAAAACCTGTTCCCATTTGAGCCTAAGTGATCCATAAAAATCTAGTGAACCGTGCACGCAGACAAGGGAAGGGTTGCCCAGCCTAGAAGACTTTTCCTGGTTTCGTTTGTGCATATTGGTAGCTTGTTGCTTTGGGTTGTTTGTCTTTTCCTCACGGATTTGTGGGAATTTGTTATGTGTTTTGGCTATTAGTACTTTCCTCAGACACATGTTAAAAATCTCTTTTCATTTTTATGTTGTCACTTCAACTCCTTTCATTCAGGTAAATTTATTTATTATTTATTTAATTTTTAAAGATTTTATTTATTCATGAGAATACACAGAGAGGAGAGAGAGAGAGAGACAGAGACACAGGCAGAGGGAGAAGCAGGTTCCATGCAGGGAGCCCAACATGGGACTCGATCCTGGGTCTCCAGGATCACACCCCAGGCTGAAGGCGGCGCTAAACCACTGAGCCACCCAGGCTGTCCCATAATGCAGGTAAATTTAACAACTCATCCCTTGCCTTGAAATCATGAAGATGGTGTTTTATGTTATCTTCCAGAAGCTTTGTTTTTGAGTCACACTTAAGTCTTTAATCCACTCATACTGACTTGTGTTTGCTTTTAATGTAAGGATCTGATTTAGTTTTCCTTTCTCTAGATAACCATTATCTTAGCACCACCTATTAAAATGCTGTTGCAGTCTTACCCAGAAAGTTCTTTTCCTGACTTGCAATATTATGGGCCTCATACTGTCAATTGTCCCCATGTGCCTAATCTGTTTGGGGCTCTCTGTTCTGTTCTGTTGGTCTATTGGTCTGTCCCTGTGGCAATAACACACCATCTTAGTTACTCTAGCCCCATAATCAAATCTTGGTATCTGGCCTGGCAAGTCCTCTCCGCTGATTCTTTAAAAGTAGTTTTATTGCTCTTGACCTGTTGCATTTCCATCTGACTTTTATATCTTCCGTCAAATTGCACAAAGGAGCCTGCTGCAGTTTTTTATTTTATTTTATTTTATTTTATTTTATTTTATTTTATTTATTTTATTTATTTTTTTGGAGAGAGAGATGGAATGCAGATGAGTGGTGGGCAAGGGACAGAGGCAGAGGGAGAAACTCTTAAGCAGGCACCATGCCCAGTGCAGAGACCCACTAGGAGCTGGATCTCACAACCCTGAGATCATGACTTGAGCCAAAATCAGGAGTCAGACTCTTATTGGCTGCCCCTCCCAGGTGCCCCTGGCTGAAGTTTTCATCAGAATTGTGACCAGTCGAGCCGAGCTGATCAGTGGCTGCTGGAGGTGCCCCTCCCCTCTGCCAGAAGGCTCACAAGCCAGGGCTGGGTCCTCTTGAGGCTGGGAGGGAGACCACCGCTTCCTCTCCCCCAGCCCCGGGGTCAGCTGGCAGCCATGGGTGCTCTTCGGGTGTCGGGGTGCCACCTCTAAGTCTGCCCGCATCTCTGTACACCATACTCCCTGTGTGCGTGTCTGGCCCTTCCCAAACAGGTGAGAGTTCACAGAACACAACACACGAGATCCTTCTGTTGCAGGGATTCTCTGCCTTTAATGCTGTAATTCTTGGTCACGCTGCTTCGAAGAATGAAGAGATAGACCAGGTGAAGAGTGGTGGGCAGCAAAGAAAGTTTATTGAACAAGAGTATAAGGCTCCCAGAGAGGGAGGGGTCAATGTTGTGCCCAAGATCGTGAATCCGAGAAACCACCAAGGAGCCGACACCGATGCAAACACACGAGGGTTTATTTACAAGCTCGAGCCTGGGTCCAAGTATACCCGACGCAGTGGAGCAGGGACTTGGACCCCGAGACTAAGAGGCTTAGCAACTTTATAGGGGCCAGTGGCCAATGGGATCCCAGAAAGTTGCACAGACATGCTGGTCCGCTGAGCCGGATTTCCGATTAGGGTGTGTCCTGGTCTCTGACTAGGGCGGGGCAGTGCCCTAAGTAATAAGCAGGTCAGCACAAGGCGGGTGCAGCCCAAAATAGAGTCAGTCCTGCTCTGCTTGTCCAGGGGTAGGGATTTTGTTAAATTTCCTGGGTCCCACAGTCCTGAGAGGGTTGCCCCCAGAGTTTCTAAGTTTAGAGGTTTTTATGAGCTCTTTTGCAGAACTATCTTAACTAAGCAATCAGAGCTTTGGTCACGCATCTGTCTACCTGTTAGGTTAATGTCAACATGTCAATGGTCTTTTTTTGCTGACACCTGGGGGCTTATGTCTACACTGCTCCTTACCTGTGATAGGGACAAAGTCAGTGCTGTTTTATCTTAGCTGTCCTGAGGCCATATTTTCTCACTGGGGACTCCTGTCCTGACTACCTAGCTGTCCAACTAGTCCTGACACTTCCCTCAAAAATCGCTTGATGAACAAATCGCTCTTGGTATTGAAAACCAATCCAAGCTTGAGCGTTTCATTTTCTTTTCACTTTCTCTCTCCTACTTCTTGTCCAGTGCTCTCATGCCTTGGAGCACACTGCCCTGAGGATCCCCAGTCCTCTGGTGTAGACTCTTTACACTCCCTTGATCTTAAGTGAAATGACGATTCAAGATCAGCTCCCCAAGTGGCGTCCAGCAAGAGTCACCACCAGACAGTGCTTCCCAGCCGGCCCAGGGCACCCCGCTGCCTTTCTGACTTTCAGTGAAACGTCTCTGGGGAGTCAGTGCAGGAAACTGTGTTGTGCCCAAGATTGCGAATCCGAGAAACCACCAAGGAGCCGACACCGATGCAAGCACACGAGGGTTTATTAGCAAGCTCGGGTCCAAGTATACCCGACACAGCGGAGCAGGGACTTGGACCCCGAAGTTTTTTTTTTTTTTTTTTTTTGGACCCCGAAGTTTTTACAGCTGGCTTTTTTATAGGCTGGTCTAGGGGATTTCCAGAAGGGATGGAAGAATTCTAAGATGGCCCATGGGCGTGGGCTCTGTTGTCTTTCTGATATGGGATTACCTGCCGAGGACACTGAGGACATTCTGAAGTTTTTCCCCTTAAAGTTCAGCTCTTATTCTCAGGGACCTAAGATGGCTGTACTTGTGCTAATGCTAAACTTTAGGTGGGATGGCCTTAATTTTTCTCCGCCTCCACAACTGTGCCCATGGTTGCGGCCTGGTGACCTCTCTTGTTAACAGTGAGAATGTTTCCCTCTCTTCTTGCTTAATGAGAACTGTAGTTTTTCCCCTTAAATCAGGAGTGGATTTTGAGTTTTGTCAAAACTTGTAGTCGACTGTGAGGATCATATAATCTCTCTCCTCCTGTTAATAGAAGTGACTTGTAAATGCCAAGTCCTTATATCTGGGTTTCCTACCCTCACAAATCTGAATTGACCCTACTTGGTCAGGGCATATTACTCTGGCATATTGGTTTATTCTTTCTTTTGTCTGTATTCACCAGGAAGACCCATCTATGGCCCCCGTTTGGGATCTTTCCGGGAGACGTTGGCATCATGGTCCAGATAGTCTGGGAGATTGGATTCAGAACCTTATCTTCTATGCCCTGGGATATTTGAGTCATCTCAGGATTGGTTTTGCTCAAAAAGCCTGGAGCCTACTGACATATATGGTGGTAAACACCTGGTGGGGTCTTCTTGTTCCTTCGATGATAGGAATGCAGATCAGAGTCACATTCAAGTTTTCTACTTTTTTGGTAGATATTTTATTATTTTATTTGTGTGTGTGTGTGTGTGTGTGTGTGTGTGTGAGAGAGAGAGAGAGAGAGAGAGGGAGAGGGAGAGAACGAGCAGAAAGGAGAGGCAGAGGGAGAGGGAGAAGCAGGCTCCCCGCTGAGCAAGGAGCCCAACAATGCGGGACTCGATCCCAGGACCCCAGGATCATGACCTGAGCCAAATGCAAATGCTTCACCAACTGAGCCACTCAGGCGCCCCTCAAGTTTTCTACTTGAATCAATTTTGATCATTTACGTTCTCTTGGAAAAGCTTCCACTTTATATTGATTTTCAAATTTGTTGGAAAAAGAACAGCATTTTAGGCTTACAGTGACTTTAAATCTCTAGAACCTAAAATCATACTGTCTTAGTGCTAATGCTGTTTATTTGTGCTTTCTTTCTCCTCCTTTCTGATCTTTTTTTTTTTTTAAGATTTTATTTTTTTACTTGAGAATGAGAGAGAAAGAGCATGAATGGGGGAGGAGCAGAGGGACAAGCAGTCTCCCCATTGAGCAGGGAGCCCTTCACAAGGCTGGTTTGGGGCTCCACCCAGGGCTTCACATGGGGTTCCACACGGGGCGCAGTTCCAGGACTCTGAGATCATGACCTGAGCCCAAGTCAGATGCTTAACCTGCTGAGCCACCCAGGCATCCCTCTTTCTGATCTTATTCGAGTATTGAAGACAATCCACTTTATTTTTTGAAAGAAGCGTCTAGCCTATTGTTGGTTTGTCTATTATATGGTAGTTTCTGCTTTATATTTATTAGTGTATTCCTTTAATTTTAGTTTGGTCTATTCTTTTCTAGCATTCTTGAGTGGAATGCTTAGTTAACAGGGTCATTTGTTTGGAATGCTACTTGTTCCTAAGAAAAGCATGTGGCTGGGACCTTCCCTTTGAGTACAGCGTAAGTAGGTTGTGGCCCTGGGCGCTTATAACCAGTGTGCACACTGTCACTCCTTCCTAAATACTCTGCTTTTATTTCTTCTTTAACTCTACATTATTTAGAAGAAATCTTAAAACACCGAAGTAGTAGGTTGTGATTCCTGTGGCTATCCTTTAGCTGTTTCTTTCTGGATGTATAGTTTTATAGCAAGAATAAGATGAGTGCACAATTTTAACTCTGGGGAATTGGTTGATCTTCTTTAATGGCTTACTGATGCATCATTCAAAAAATTGTTATGGGCAGTTGCAAACAATGTACACAAAATAGTACAAACACTTTGGAGAGTGTCTGGCAATTTCTTGTCAAGTTCATATCTACCTACTGTATAAACCCTTGGTTCTACTCCCTGGTATCTGCCCAAGAGAACAGATGTCCACCAGCAGAAGAGCAGACAACCAAAGTGGAACATTCACAGAATGGACAAATTCTCAGCACAGGAAAGAAATGGGCTGTTGGTGCAGGAGGAATGTGAATGAGTCTCCAAAACATCATGCTGGGCCAGACACCAGACACAAGGGCACACAGGCTGTCCGGTTCCGTGTGTCATATCCAAGCAGGGGCAATAGCTCTCTATGGGGACTGATGCCAGGGAGCGGGTGCCACAGAGTTAGGTGGTGGTAGTTGTCTGGAAAAGAAGCAGGAGGTGCCCTATTATAGGTGATTTAGAGTGTATTGCAATTGCTGAACATTTTTCGTGGATTTATTGTATGTAGATGATTTACCAATTAAGAAGACCAGGACTCTCCCTGCTGTCAGTTATAGCATTCCAAATATTGGAATTTGATTAGTGTCTGAGGACTGTCATATTTAACCAAGTACCACAAACTGAGTGGCTGAGAACAGAAATTTGTTGTCTCCCAGTCCTGGAGGCTGGAAGTGTGAGATGTACATGTCGGCAGGGCTGCGCTCCTTCTGAAATGCTGGGTAGAAGAATCCTGCCCCTTCCAGCGTCCAGTGGTGACCATGCACCCTTGGCCTTCCTTGGCTTGCAGCTTCCCCATCCCATCCCTGCCTCTGCCTGGCACAGGCTTGTCTCTCCTCTCTGTGTCTACGTGGCCCATCCCTCTGCTCCTCCGTTCTCTGTGTGAGGCCATCAGCCAAGTGGATAAAAGGTCCACTCTACTCTGCTAAGACCTCACTTTAATTTGTATCTTAATTGTACCTGCAAATACCCTATTCCAAATCAAGTCACATTCACACGCCCTAGTGGTTAGGATTTCACCCTATAGTAGTGGAGGGGACACAATTCTACCCAAACCATGGATTAAATCAGCCTTTCTGTTCAAATGCTGTATATGTCTACTGCCTTCTTTGTTTTAATTAATAGGTTTTATTTTTTGGTAAAGATATTCTTTATTTCTGAGAGAGAGAGAGAGAGAGAGGGAAAGAGAGAGCACAAGCAGGGGGAGCAGGAGAGGAAGAAGGAAAAACAGAGGGAGAGGGAGAAGCAGGATCCCTTTTGAGCAGGAAGCCCGACCTGGGGGTTCGATCCCAGGACCCCAGGATCATGACCTGAGCCAAAGGCAGACACTTCACCGACGGAGCCACGCTCGCACCCCAATAGGTTTTTTTTTTTTTTTGAGCAGTTTGAGGCACACAGAAGAACTGTCTCCCTCTCTCCTCTGCACACCTTCCCTAGTGCTGTCATCTTGCCTTTGGGTGGTACACTTATATGTGATGTATAAGACAATATTGTTTCATTCATGTTAAATGAATAGGTCACCTGCTTATAGAGGCTATATAAACTATACATGTAAAAATAAAGCTTGTCCATTGCGGCCATCAGCCGCATGGAACCTCCTATCCCATGAACTTTTAGTCTCTTGTTTCTTTCTCATCCCCTTGCCCTTGGTTCCTGAATCCGGACCTTCTCGCGCCGGCCGCAATAGTGATGTATAAGACAATATTGTTTCATTCATGTTAAATGAAGTCCACAGCTTAAATTAGGGATCACTCTTGGTGTTAGACATTCCATGGGTTTGGGAAAATATAGAATGACATGCACCTGCCATTATAGCATCACAGAGAGTGGTTTCCCTAACTAAAAATACCTAAAAATCTACTGTGTTCCGTTCCTTCATCCCTCCTCCGCACCCAGCCTGAGGAATCACCACTGTTCACATCTCCGCAGCTCTGCCTTTTCCAGAATGCCACAGACTTGAGATCATATAGGAGGTAGGCTTTTTTTGTTAATAGGATTTTATTTATTTGTGGAGAAGGGGCAGAGGGAGAGAGAGAGAATTTTAAGCACACTCTGCACTGAGCTCCATCTCAGATCACGACCTGAGCGGAAATCAAGAGTTGGACGCTTAACCCACTGAGCCACCCAGGTGCCTCCACCCCTGCTCTTTTTGATTGACATTCTCCTATAATATTTTGGTTCCTTGCTAATGTTTTTCAAGCTGTTATGTAGTCATTTCTCTTCTAAAAAGCATGTCACACAATCTGTGCATCTTTATCTTTCACCAGGGGAACTTACTCTCTTCATGCCATGATCCTCAGTGTGTTTTGGGCTAATTCTTGCCAGCCCATATCCTGTTTTCTGTTTAGCAGTAACAATTGAGCTCTCTGGTTTGTCATCCTAATTGTTCTGCCATGACCCTTAGCCTTTTCTCCTGCACTCACAGTGACTGTCTCTTGGCCCCTACATCGCTAATTTAATCACGGCCTACATCTCTTCTGTTTCCTGCTTTTTCTCCTCATGTATTCGCTGTGTAAAGGGACTTGGGGTCTTTGTTTCCAGGTCTGGGATCACCCTTTGGCATGGTTCAGGTATTTCAGTGCCTTGTCCCCAACCCCTGGTTATGGTGAACTTGTCTTCCATGCATGTCCGAGACACTGCTCTGGAATGGGCTTGTATTCCCTTTGCTGTGTCTAGCTCGTCAGCTGTCTCTGCAGCCTGGGCTGGTGTGTGCAAGGCTGTCATCAGCCTCGGGCCACCCTGTCCACAGCTTCTGCTTGCCGCCATATCCTCCAGGTGACCAGTGACCCTGTCCCACTGTGTCTGAGGTGTCCTGGTGTCTCAATCTCCCCAGGGAGCCACTGCTTGAACCCACTGGGTTGTATTTTCCCTCCTTGCTCTGTAGCCAGAGGGGCTGAGGGCACAGCAGAAGTCACCCAAGGCCATGTGCAGGGCTTTCTGCAGTACTGGAGCTTCAGCGATGTGCTGCCCCTCCAGGGTGGGCCTGGCCAGGGCCAGGGGCGATGTCCCCATCTGCCTGGAGGCAGGGAAGGGGTGAGGGGCTGATGGAGGCACCTAATGGTGAGACACCCGAGCACAGAGCCGAGGCCACTGGGTTTCTGGCGGTGCTGCTCCCTGACGGCAAAGCAAAGCGGAAACTGACAGGAAAGGATCTGGCTACCTGATAGGGGCCAGGGGCGTAGGGTCATGCAATCCAGGACTGAGCGGAGCAGCAATCCAGGACTGAGGCAGTCCACCCTCAGGCCCGCTTCCCTCCCCGGGCCTCAGCTCCTCACCTGTAAAAGGAAGATCAGGAGGGCACCAGGACATGTTTGGGGTTGGGGGAGGACACCCGAAAGAAGCCTCTAGAACAGCACCCGGCTTGGACTAGCTGGAGACGAGTGGGCCTATCGTGGTGACCCGCCCACCCTCAAGATGGCCCTTGCAGCCCCCGTGATGGGGACACGGGGTCCTGGTGAGCCTTCCTGGGGCGCAGCTTGGGCGGCACTGAGGGGCGCTCAGCCAGCATCCGTGGACGCTAAGGGGCCCCCGGGGTCGGGGTGGGGGGTGGGGGGCATGGAAACCGGACGTTGGGCGGGGTGGCGGGGTGGCAGGCGGGCGGGCCGGCCGGGAGGGGGGCGCGCTCCGCGGGGCAGGGTCAGGTCTGCCCAGGCCCCTTTCTGTCCAGAAGGTTAGAGGCCCCAGAGGGGTCCTGGGCCGGCGCGGTCAAGGCCGAGCCGGGCGGGGGGCGCGGGCGCCGGGCGCCTGGCTGGTGTAGGTCTGGGTCAGCTGGCCCCCACCGGGCCAGGGCCTCCGGGACCCGACCGGAGATTGCCCCCCAGGGCCCCGCTCCTCGCTCCCCTCGCGCGGTCAGGGGTCGAGGGGTGGAGCAGCCCAGCCCCCCCCCCCCCCCCCCCCGGGAAGCCGCGCGGGAAGGTCGCGGAGGGGGTGGCGCGTCGGCAGCGCCCAGGGGACGCGCGGAGGCCGCAGTGGGACGCGGGGCCATGGCCCGGATGCGGCGGACGCGGGCGGGTGCGTGGCGGTCCCGGGCCCTGGCGGGAGGGGCCGTAGGGGAGCCTGTGAGCAGCGTGTGCCCTAGTGCCCGCAGGGGGCGCCGCCAGCGCCAGGCCGCCACGGGGCGGGAGCCTCCTGCTACCCCAGGGCTGCGACCCAGCAGGCCGGCTGGCGCCCCCGGGGTCGGTGGTCTGGTCCCGCGGAGGGCGGGGACCTGGAGGACACGCCCGCGGCCTCCGGCCTCCGGGTTGGCGCGCGCCCCCCTGCTCCCGCTGCGGCCTCTCCCTGCACTGGGTTGGGGGGGGCAGCAGGAACGTAGGCGCGGCGGGAGGGGGTGCTCCCAGGGGCCTGTGGCCCGGGGGCGGGGGCGGGGGTGGGGAGTGGCCCCGCAGCACCAGGGACTCTAACTCCAGGACGGTCTGTGTCTGCGCCCCGGGGCCAACACGTTTTCAACAGCTTAGTTGCAGTACCACCTACAGACCATGACAGTCACCTTTTCTAAGGGTGCCCCTCGATGATCTTTCATCAGCTTGCAGAGTTGTGTCATAGACTTTGGCACTTTCCCCAGAACCCCTGGGGCCCACCTGCCACCCCTGTTCCTGTCCACCCCAGGCAACCACCATCTCTCTGTAGCTTTCCCTTTTCTGGACTTCCATATAGTCGGAGTCTTATGAGATCTCTTGCATGGAGCTCCTTTCCCTTTAAGTAAATGTTTTCAAGGGTCATCCATGCTGGAGCCTGTTGGTCAGTGTTTTATCTAATTTCCTGCTGGGGCCTTCCGCTGGGGGCCGCTCCATGGTGTGTTTCCCCACTCTTCAGTGGATGGACGTTGTGGTTGGTTCCACTCTGTAGTTTTGGGAACCACACTGCACTGAGTATTGCCTACAAGTCTTTGTGGGGGCGTATGTGTTCATGGCTCTCTGGGGGACACCTAGCGGTGGCCTCGCTGGTTCATAAGGTAAACATGTGTTTCACATTTTCAGAAACTGCCCAATTGTCTTCCAAAGTGGTTTGGCCACCTGACGCCCCTGCCTGCAGTGTAGAGGGCTCCCCGTTCTCTACATCCTCACCAGCACTTGTTCCAGCCAAACTTGGGGAGAGATCATGGTGTCTCCCCAAGGTTCTGATTTGCTTCAGCTGATGACTAATGACATTGAACACCTTTCCGTGTGCTTATTAGTCATTTGGGTGTCTTTGGTGAAAGGTTAGTAAAAAAATGTTTGCCTTTTAAGAAATTGGAGTATTTGTCTTCTTTGTTGAGTATTAAGAGTTCTTTTTTCTCCCCTATGGCTTGTCTTTTCACTTTCTTCATGGTGTTTTGAATGCACAAGTTTTATTTTTTTTTATTTTTTATTTTTTGAATGCACAAGTTTTAATTGTGATGAGCTCCACGTAGTTTTTTTCTTAATTGTTTGTACTTTTGTTGTCATAGGTAAGAAATCTCTGCTTGACCGAATGTCACAAAGATGTAGTCCAGGGACGCATGGAGGGCTCTGGTGGTGAAGTGTCTGCCTTTGGGTCAGGTCATGATCTTGGGGTCCTGGGATCGAGCCCCTCATTGGGATCCCTGCTCAGTGGGGAGTCTGCTTCTCCCTCTGCCTCTGTTGCTCTGCCTGTTCCTGTTCTTTCTCTCTTTCTCTCTCTCTCTCTCTCTCTCTCTCAGATAAATAAAATCTTTTTGAAAAATTAAAAAAAAAAGTTTTCTAGTTTGTGTCTTTCAAGGATGTGTGCATCGTATCTTATCCAAGCTGTCTCAGTTGTCAGCAAGCAGTAGTTAATAGTGTTCCCTTAAAACGCTTATATTCTCAGTAATATCCTGGTGTCGGTGCCTCCTCTTCCCTTCCTAATTTTATAGCCATTTGTGTGTCCCCCAACCCGCTCTGTCCCCATCCCCCAAATTTTGCCAGTCAGCTACAACTTTGTCACCTCTGTTGCTCTTTGCAAAGAACTAGGGTTCGGTATCATTGTTTTCTCCCCTTTCTGTTTCTTGTAGTTCCTTAGGGTCAAAACCTAAGCATGGAGCTGGGACTTTTCTTCTCTATGCTAGGCATTTACAGCTATCCATTTCCCTCGAAAAGTGGCTTTGGCTCCATCCCATGAATGTGGGCACACTGTGCTTTCCTTTTCCTTCAGCTTCAGAACATCTTTCGCTTTTCCTCTTTGCCCCGTGGGTTATTTAGGGGCAGTCTGTTTCATTTGTGCATGTTTGTGGGATTCCCAAGGTGCCTTTGTCATTGCCCTTCTAATCTCTGGCCGGCCTGCTGTGGTCAGAGTGCATGCTTGTGTGAGAACAATCCTCTTAAAGGTATCCCAGCTTGTTTTGTGACCCAGCTCTGGGTGCATCTTGCAGAAAGTTTCGTGTTCCCCTGAGGATAGTGTGCATTTTGCTGTTGGGGGCCGGGTGTTGTTCGGTGCTGTCAGGTCTCATCGGTTTGCTGTGTGGCCCAAGCCTTCTGTACCTGGGCTTGTCTAAATTTCCATCCACTGTTGGCGGCGAAGCAGGATTTCGAAATCTCCAACTACAATTGTCGAATGGAGCATTTCTCCCTCCCATCGTGTCTGTGTTTGCCTCGTGTGTTTTGGGGCTAGGTTGTTAGGTGTATGCAGGTTTGTGTTTGTCGTATCTTCAGCATTCATCTCGTGCTCATTTCAGACTCCGAGGAAAGGAGGTGCTTGGTGGAAAGAGGCCCTACCTAGAGAGGCCTGCATAGCTCTGGGATCCAAGGGGACTCCTGGGTGATGTGCTGGGAGGAACCACCCACTTCCCTCTCTGTGAATGAGAGAGAAGCCAGTCTCCGATGGAGTCTTCCAGAAGTTAGTGGAATGATCAAACCACCTGCAGGGGAGATGGGAGGAGCAGGAGGGAGTGATCCGGGTCCCACTGCTGTTTTCCAGGGAAAACAAAATGCTGCTCACTTCACACGGTGACCTTCCTCCTAGTAACGCTCTTCTTGGTCCTTTTTGGGTAAGAAACGTGCACCCCATCCAGACCTTCCAGACAGCACCAGCAGCAGCCCCCACCCCAGCACCATCGCCATAACGACAGGCATGATATGCTGCCCCTTCACACACACCCTCCCACTGAACCCTGCCTCGCCAGTGAGCTGTCTCCCCCCTCCCCCAACTGGGGAGTCACGTGGCTGGGGAGTAGGGATGGCCAGCAGGGGAGCTGTGCTATTAGCTTCCAGATAGAGAAGATTCTAGAAGTAGGAGCAAAGGCCCATGGCTGCCCTCCTCGGGGTTGGGGACACAGCCAGGATTTGCTCCCTGGGGCAGCCTCAGGGCTGTGCTGTCCACACACAGGGACCCACTCTGGCTGCCGTAGGAAGGAGCTCAGATGCGAACAGTGTCCACAATGACGGCCCTCCTGCCACCTCACAGGTTGTGATGTGTCACCCGTGCTTTGGGGAAAATTGCTCCTGGCCCCGCCCAAGCCCCTGCAGCAGTGCCAGGGAGCTCTGAGCTCCCCATATGGGCTCCAGCTCCTGTTTTCCCAGGGATGGATGGACAGCCAGCCCAGGCAACCCTCCTCAACAGTGACTTTGGTGGCTCTTTCCACAGCACTGGTTTCCGGATCCTAGGAAGCTCGATGCTAGGGAGCAGGCAAGCAGGGGTAGGGTAAGTTGGATGAAGGCAGGGTCCCAGTGCCTGACAGCCTTGGGGACGGGCTGTGTGCTGTGTGCTGTGTGCTAGCAGACATGGCTGCTTCACGGGCTCACTCCACACCTGGGCTGATGCATCGGTGACCTGGGCCTCACCCCCGTTCCCCTCTGCTCTGCCCAGAGCAGCCAAGCCACTTCCATGGCCTTGTCAGGTCATCTGGGCAGCACTGACCCCTACGTGGGCAGGACTGACCCCCACCTGTCCAGCTTCAGCCTCAACCTCTCTTCTGACCTCCCATCTCCTGCCTCTGGAGTCACCTGTGTGTCCCACCAGTGATCCCCTGCTCCTGCCACTCCTGCTCTCAAGTCCCTGATTTAGTGAATGGCCTCAACTCCCCCAGCCCAAGGTGGAAGCCTGGAGATCATACCTGCCTCTTCCCCCTCACCCCTACCCTGCTCACAACAAGCCTGCCAGTCCTGCCTCTAGGTACTTCTCTGTTCACATGCCTCTCTCTGCACTCTCAGCCCCACTCTCTGTGAGGGCCTCTCATCTTTCCAGCAGCTTCCATGCTGTCTCCTATCCCCCACTTCACAGAACCCATTCTCCTCTGATAGCCAGAGTGATCTTTCCAGAACATAATCAACAAGCCCCTCTGTGGTCTGCTTTCTGCCTGCCTGTCCTCTCCTGCCTCACCTCTCCTCCCACGGCCCCCTTCCCTGTGTTCTGAGGTCTGTGAGCACAGGGGTCTGTGCTCATCCTGCACGTGCCCCATAGGCCTGATTCCAAGCCTCTGCCCGTGCTGTGCCCTCTGCCAGGACCCCTCTTCTCTCCTTTTGCTTCATGTCTGGCTTGTTCCCCTTGGATCAGGCACCTGCTGCTGAGAAACACCCCCTGGTTTGCGGTGTGAATCATCGCAGTCACTTACCCCACATCTCACCGGATCCTAGGGTTGACTGGCCCCAGCTGGGCATTCAGGTCCCGGTCTGTCCTGAGGGTGTAGACATATGGAGGCTGGGCCGGGCCGTTGACGGCCTCCTCCCATTTGTAGGGTCGCTGCTGGCTCTGGCCTGAGACACTACTTGGGCATCCCCTTGGCCCCCCTTCTCAGCGAGTTCAGAGGCTCAGGATCAGTGTCTCCAGGACAGACAGAAGTGTGTAGCCCCGGACGGCATGGTTTCAGAAGACCCATGGCACCAGCTGGTGGCACTAGATTAGTTAGAACCCCGAGGCCCCCTGTGTGCAGAGCTGGGGACGGACCCCTTCCCAAGGGCAGTGGCCTCAGGATACAGACACGGTTTGAAACTACCAGCTGCTTGGTGTCAGCTCCGGAGCATGTGGAGAGCACAGGGGCTGTGGCTGAGCAGAGGGCAAACTTGCCACCACTGTGTCTGAAGTCCCCTTTGGGGACATGCAGGGACACAGGCCAGCTCCAGGCCCATTGTCCACAGTGACGGCTATTGTAGCAAGTCTCAGACAGACTCCGTCTTCACTCTCCAGGCCACCACTGTCCCTTCTCCAGGACCCCAGGCAGGATCCCTGATCTTGTGCCCTGAACCCTCCTGGTAAAGCCCTCCTCTGTGTTCTCATTCACAGCAAGAGGGGGGAACTGGATGGCCTGCAGGCCGTGGAACCTTCCAGGTAGGACGTCTTCCCGGTACCTCTGCCTCTTACCTCTGCCCGCCAGCCCAGGGCACAGGGGAGCTGCCTGGATGGCTCCCTTTCCTCCTGGGCCTCATACAGGGACAACCTTTCTTCCTGAGCCCCAGGGCAAACTTGCTCCTCCTCCTGCAGCCTCAGAAAGATCTGGGTGGACCTGGTGCTTCTGTTTGGACCCACTGCCCAGCATGTGGTTCTCAGTGAGGGTCGCCAACTGGCCTGGCTCCTCTGGACTCAGGGGGTTCCTGGGAAACGGGTCTTAAAGGAGTCGAGATCTGGAAGGTCAGGCAACCTGGCTGGTGGTGCCCGAGTTTTCTTTTCCTCCAATTCTTAATCGTGCCAAATACCTGCGAGGTTACCATCTTCAGCATCGTTAGGTGTACAACTCAGGGCAGGGGGGCCTTCACCGTGTGGTGCACCCATCCCCAGGTCCGTCTCCGTCTCCACTTCCCAAAGGGGACCCTGTGGCTGGGAAACACTAACCCCCACCCCTCCCAGCGCTGGCACCCGTCTTCCACTGCTGCCTCCGGCTCCCTGTGCAAGTGGAATCCTAGGCTTTGTCCTATTGCACCTGGCTTCTGTCCACAGGCTCTTCAGGGGTTGCTGCTGCTGTCTCCTGCCTTTTCCAGGCAGATGCCCTACCCTGGGATGCCACCCAGGAGGCGGGCACAGGCAGCATGCACCCTGGCCGATGCCCGCTGGCTCTTTGCTCCTGGGGCTTCAGGATCCTTCTGCTGGGACAGGGTCGTAGGGCGCATGTTCCCCAGAGTGCAGGGCACTATGGGGTGGGGCCCGAGACACCCAGTGAGGCCCACCTCCCTCTGCATTTGCAGACAGAAGCCTGGGTTCCCGGAACTTCAGAGCTGTGGCATCACCCCGCCTGGGAGCAGCCAGGCAGGGGCAGGCCCCGGGGGACCTTGTGGGCCCTTTCCTTGGATGAAATGCCTGGGACAGTGGCCACTTCCAGCCCTTTCCACCACTGTGAATTAGAGCACTGCCCCTGAGGGCTGTCCTTTAAATCATGAGGGAGGCCACTCACCCTGAAGGGAAACTGAGTCGCAGAGGCCCTGGGACTGTGTTGGAGAAGATCATGCAGCAGCCCCAGTGCAGCTGGTGGGGTGGGTCCTCCTGGAAGGACCCAGAAGCTCTGTCACCTGCAGCGACTCCCCAGCCCCAGGGACTGGGCACAGCCTGCCAGCTTCTTGCAAACTCACATCGCAGGGTGTTTTTTTCAGGATGGTTTATGGACAGCCCAAGGTGCTAACACCCTGGTAAGTAAATCTATTGAAACTTCCCCTTCCAGCCCCTCCCCTCCCTCCCCCCTCTACTCCCCTCCCTCTGCCCATCCCCCTCCCTCTCCACTACTGCCTCCCTCCCTCTCCCTCCCTTCCCTCCCTTCCTCCTCCTTCCCCTTCCTCTTTCCTTCCTCCCTCTGCTCCCCTGTCCTCCCCTCCTCCCCCCCCACACTCCCCTCCCCTCCTATCCCTACTTCCCCCTGCCCCTCTCTCCCTTGCATCCCCAAACTTAGTGAAATTTGAGGTAGACAGGGAAGCGCAGTTTCACTGAGAGCTCAGCTGGTGCTTGCTTGGCCTGGTTCTGTTCCTCCCTGTCCTGAGATCTGAGCATGGGGCCCACAGACTCTTCTCCATCCTTTCTCCTCTGTGGCCTGCATTTCCTACTGTGTGTCTTGCCCACTGGGGAACTTGTGAGGGGTGCTTCCTCGTTCCCTCCCCGGGGAGGCCCCCTCTCCTTGCTGGTGAATCCCAGTTCCCACCCTGAGGCCCAGGGTGGTGTGGTAAGAGCTGCACGTGACATGCACAAGGTTGAGTGTGGATTTGCATCTCAGGGGCTCCTTGGAAGTGTGAAGTCCTTTGGAAGGAGGGTCAGGCCTGGGAGTCCCTGGAGGGATGGAGTTGGGGCCAGGGAGGGCCCAGGTAGGGTGGTAAGCCCTGGGGCCCTGGCCCTGTCACCTCCCTCCCCACCGGCTCACATGTTGCCGTGTGGATCTCTGGTGCAGCAGGAGCGATGTGTTGGTCCTGACCCCGTGGCTGGCGCCCGTTGTCTGGGAAGGGACCTTCAACACTGATGTCCTGAACGAGCAGTTCCGGCTCTGGAACGCCACCATCGGACTCACGGTGTTTGCTATCAGAAAGTAAGGTTACCATCTTACATGAGACATGAGACATCTCACATGTCCCCTTTGTGAGGGGACATGAGGCATGTGTATGTTCCACACAGGGTGGGTGGGGACCCCTGCCCCCCAGCCCATCCCAGGGATTAATGTTAAAGTGCCTGCATTCAGCAGTTGTCCTGGGCTCTTGGGTCCCCAGTGAGTGGACACCCTCTGGCTCCCTCTCAGGAGGCTGCCCATCACTGAGGACAGCACCTCCAGCCCGCTGCCCCCCTCAGGGCAGACACAGCACTGACCCCAGGCCGCTCTCCTGCTGAGCCCAGGGGCAGAGCACCCCTACATCCTGACCACTGGGAAGCCCTCCCCCACCCTGAGAAGTGGAAGGGGGGAAACACGCGTGCCTCCTGGATTGCGACAAAGGCATCGCTTGTAGAGCTGGCTCCTCCTGTGTGTCATTTGTAAGATGAGGATCCTGAGGGGGACAGCCAGGCCAGGCCCAGTGCTCAGTGCCAGACCCAGAGCCCGAGAGGGAGCCAACCAGCGAGGCCCTGGGACATCAGGGTCAGGGGATCAGTGAACGTGCTGGGTGGCTGTAGGCAGGTGGCTTGGTGTCTCTGAGCCTCAGGAAGGCTCAGCGCCCTTGCCTGAGGATGGGGGAGCTGGTGTCCCTATGGTGGGGAGCAGATTGCCTCCTCTAAGGGGGCCCAGCTGTGGGAGGCTGTTGGACAAGGCTTCCAACCTCTTGGGGCTGGACCCGGATGCTTACACCCTGGGATCCAAGGCTGAGGCCCAAGCAAGCCCCCTCTTATTCCAGGGGTCCTCTTTCCCTTCCCTACCCGTGTGCTGGATCTGAGTCCCCGATCTGGGAGAGTCCAAGGGTGACTGCTCCGAGGCACACCAGTGGTTTACTGGGGGCCTTGTCAACAAGATGCCCAGTAGGCTTCCAGGGAGGACCTCAGGGGTGGAGATAGTTTGTGGGGGCTGGAGAAAGCCCACTTAGAGCAGCGTGGGACAGGTGGCCCTGCTGTCCCACCCCATCCGTGGGGCATAGAAAGGAAGGCTGTGCCCCAAGGAGCTCATGGCAGGTGGGGACAGGATGGGCAGGGTGGTTGGCCAGGGAGGGCACCTTCAGGGTCTGCCCGGGAGCTGAGCACCAGGGTTGGAGGTGTTCCTGGCTCCAGGAGGCTGAGTGTGGGGCGGTGGTGTGTCCAGCCTCCTAAGCCTCAAGCTCCCCTTTGTGAGGTGCCGATGACCCCATCTCTGGGAGTAGAATCAGGGAGGCCCTGGTGGCAGATCGCTCAGGCCAGGCCAGGAGAGGAGCTGTTGCTTAAGGGTTGAAGAAGGTCCCCACGTCCACTTCAGCCCAGGGTTGAAGAAGGTCCCCTGGCAGTGACCGTCCTCCCGTCCTGCAGATACATGGTCTTCCTGGAGCTGTTCCTGCAGACGGCAGAGAAGTACTTCATGGTGGGACACAGGGTCACCTACTACGTCTTCACCGACCGGCCGGCCGATGTGCCCCACGTGCCCCTCAGGGAGGGCCGCAGGGTGGAGGTCCTCAAGGTTCCTGGCGCCCTGAGCTGGCAGGAGGTGTCCATGCACCGCATGGAGATGATCAGCAACTTCTCACAGCAGCGCTTCCTCCATGAGGTGGACTACCTGGTGTGCATGGATGTGGACATGAAATTCTGCGATCACGTGGGCGTGGAGATCCTGTCCCCCCTCTTTGGCACCCTGCACCCCAGTTTCTACGGGGCAGCCCGCGAGGCCTTCACCTACGAGTGCCGGCCGCAGTCCCAGGCCTACATTCCGAGAGACGAGGGTCACTTTTACTATGCAGGGGGCTTTTTCGGGGGGTCGGTGGTCGAGGTTCTCCAGCTGACCACAGCCTGTCACCAGGCGATGGTGGTGGACCAGGCCAACGGGCTCGAGGCTGTGTGGCACGATGAGAGCCACCTGAACAGGTACCTGCTGGACCACAAGCCCACCAAGGTGCTGTCCCCAGAGTACCTGTGGGACAGACAGAAGCTGGGCTGGCCCCCCGTCATGAAGAAGCTGAGATTCGTGGCTGTGCCCAAGGGTCACCTGGACATCCGGGGCTCCTGAGGGGCAAGTCCAGGCCCCCGGCCATCCCCACACACTGAGGCCGCCTGGCACAGGTCCCTCTCTGTGGTCAGTCCATGTTCATCAGCTGTGCCATCTGCAGCCGGGATCAGCTCCAGTTTCCTCTTGGTGGTTTTCCTGTATCAATGCCGAGCAACCAATTTTAAAAAGAACAATTGAGGGAAAAGGTTTTCTCCCTGGTTCTAAGCAGACCCAGCCTGGTGGGGCAAGGGGCAGCCAGGTCTTCCTTCCCAGTACCCGTGCCAGGTCCCAGCCACGGGGTTTCAGGGTCAGGGGTGCTTGGAGCCGCCTCTCAGACCCCAAACCCCTGCCCGCCAGAGACCTTGGTGGGCTGCTAGCACGGCCTGGAGGAGCGTGGAGCCCTCTGCAGTATTTCCAGCTCCTGCCTTTGTTTTAAATGGATAGTTCTGCGCTGGTGTTTGGGAAATGTGGGCACCCACTCAGTCTGGACATGGCCCTGTTGGGATTCCTCAGTGGCCACAGTCGGTTTGCACTTGTGCACTCTCTCTGGGACGTGTGCATGCACTGCATAGCCAGCATGTACTGAGTGCCTACTATGAGCTCCATCTCCTAACGGGGCAGAGCATGAGGACTAGAACTGAGACAGGATCATGTCCCTGGGCCGTCCAGGGACTAGTGACAGCCCCGGTCTCCTGACTTACCTCTTCTGCATGGTGGGGGGAGCAGACACCCAGCCAACACGGTTGAGTGTGCTTAAGTGTACAATTCAGTGGCCATAAGTACATGCACTGTCCAGCACCTGTCGTCTCCTTCTGTGGCCACAACGTTTTCATCATCTCAACCTTAACCTCTGCCCAAGAGACACTTACCCCCTAGCCCCCAGCCCCAGCCCTGACAGCCAGCAGCTCCTGCCACTTCTATGAGTTGGATTGCTCTCCATCCTTCGGGATTGGGGTCCTCTAGTATCAGACCTTTAGGGACTGGCTTGTTCCATGGAGCACAAGGCTTCCAGTTCTGTCCCTGTGAGCCTGGACCTGACCCACTTTCCCCCAAGGGAGTGGCTCTCTCCTGCTTAGTCCCTTTGGGGCCCCATCACCTTCCTCCTCTGCCCTAAGGGCCCCAGGGCAATGTCCCCAGGGCCTCGGTGATCCCAGCAACTCTGCAGCTTTGGAGACCTGTTCAGTCCAGATGCCAGACACTCCCACCTGAGGGCCCGGGCCCCACCTCCCTCCCACCTGTGCACCTCAGGTACCTCCTCCCCCCACCCTCTGACCACCTGCTCCTCCCGCAGGCATCCCCAACTCAGGAGAGGGAAGCGCTAAGTCCAGACCCTGGGAGTCATCCGTGGCTTCTTGCTTGCCACCAAACCTTCCAGTGGTGAGGTGGCTACTGGAGGGCATTCACTGTCCAAAACATTTAAAGGCATATGCGAGTCTCTGCTGCCCAGAGCAGTGGGTGACAGTTGTCGCAAATATAAACCAAGCAGAATAACTGGAAGAAAGGCTGCTGAGGAGGAGCTTTAGGGAAGAAGGGCCTTATTCCTGAGCCCCTGGGATACTTGTATGCCTGCCTAGGTGCATGCTCAGGGCAGACCTGAGAAGGCCCTAGGCTTTCCCCTCCGATGATCATCAGACTCTGTAAGCAGGAAGTGATGGCCAGGGCAGAGTTGGAAACGGCCTGTCAGGTGCCAAGGCTGTAACCTTTCACACACCCAGAGCCCTCTTTCCCCGTGTGCCACAACCAGGACTTGTTTCCTCGATGGTCCAGATGTTTAAGGAAATCCCCCCAATCAACAGCTGACCACTACGTTAACAGATCAGACACTTCAGTGGCCACACACAACAAGGAATACAGGTTTGATAAAATTAGTGAAGAAAAGTCACCAAGCCAATAGTAGCAGCTACAAGGAGCAGCAATTATGACACCCAGAGGGGGAAGGTCTGATGTTCGGGTTGTTCATTTTATAATATTCCTTTTTTAGTTTTTTAAAAGGGATTATTTTTATTTATTTATTCATTCATTTATTTATTTTAATTTATTTATTTATGATAGTTAGAGAGAGAGAGAGGCAGAGACACAGGCAGAGGGAGAAGCAGGCTCCATGCACCGGGAGCCCGATGTGGGACTCGATCCCGGGTCTCCAGGATCACGCCCTGGGCCAAAGGCAGGCGCCAAACCGCTGCGCCACCCAGGGATCCCCAAGGATTATTTTTATTTATTATTCATAGAGACACACACACAGAGAGAGAGGTAGAGACACAGGCAGAGGGAGAAGCAGGCTCCATGCAGGGAGCCTGATGTGGGACTCGATCCAGGGTCTACCAGAATCACACCCCGGGCTGCAGGCGGCGCCAAACCACTACGCCACCGAGGCTGCCCCATATTATAATATTCCTAATCACAGCCTGGACTCATCACGGGGGCCACATCCCCCGGCTGGGGGTCAGGTAGCTCCACAGGCTCCCCCAGCCTCTCCCTGACTCCCCTTGCCGTGCCGTGCATGTGCTGCGTCCCAGCAGAGGTCGGTCTGAACCGAGGCCAGGAAGACAGAGTGGCTTCTCCTGCCTGCCCCGCTTCCCCAGAGCCCAGCATTGCCAGAGAGGAAATCGTTTTCCTCAAGCCTCTTAAGGTCCTCAGCTGGGTCTGGATGTAGACAAAGGCAGATGAACAGGAGAGAAGCAGGCCAAGCGTTTGGTTTTCACAGGTATGTGTGAGCCTGACAAGACCCGGAGACCAGCAGAGGTGACAAGCACACAGAAGTGTGACAAAGCACACAAAGAGGTGACAAAGAAGCTGTAATGTGTGAAGCTTAACAGACACAGGGTTTGGGTAGGGCTGCTGCACGCTGTCTTAGGAAGATAAGGGCGAGTCTGACCAGATGTGTTTGGACAGCCTAGGTGGCCCTCAGTCATCCTGGATCCTCTCCACCACCCCCTCCAACAGCTCTGAATGTGCCCAGGGGCCGGGTGGCAGGAGGGGACTCAGGAGGGCCTTCCCGGATCCGTGCCCTGAGGGGTGAGGTGACAGTAGCTACAGGGCCTCCTGTCAGGGGGCCTGGGACCGGGGATGCCACCCACCTCCTCAGGCACTAGTGTTGTCCCTTCCCTGCCATCTCCCCGACCGTCGTGATGAAGGCTCCTGAAAATACACCTTTGAAAAACCGTGCCAGGGTTTCCGGGACGTGAGTCTGAGGCCGAGAACGGCAGGTGATGTGTGCACCTGCTGGCTGGGATGGGTGCTGCTCCCTGTTCCCCCAGACACGGGTGCCGTCACCCTTCTCTCCAGTGACCTGTGGGGGCCTCTGTTCCCTCACGTCCTCACCAGGGCCGCTGGTCCCCGCACCATGTACCTGCTGGTCAGAGGGTGACCAGCACTGCCCCATAGGGTTTCCTTTGCCAGAGTCCCTCCCGGGAGCTCCCGTCTCTGACACATACTCCCTGCGTCCTCCCCTCCCCTTGCACGTGGGTGTGTTGGTCTCTGTCCCTGTGGACCCCATGGACATGGAGCAGTGTTTGCACCAGAGGCTTGTGAAACCTTTCTCTGGCCTTGGGTTGTGACAATGCTTCTGCCCTCCGAGGGGTGTCTTCCAGCTTTCTGCATTTCCCCTGTTTCTGTGTTGGCCACAGGAGGAACCCACTGTCTGGGTTCCTGCCTGGGGTCTGGCTGTGGGGTCCCAGAAGGATCAGGGTCTCGACCACTAGAGTGTGCCCATATTTATTCAAGGGGCCTCTGTTATGATCTCCTCTTTCATCCTTCAGGGATTTCAGTACCGAAATAGGGGAATTCTGGGTCAAATCCACACACACATACGGGGTCCTGTTTGAAAATCTGTGGGCAGTCAAAGGTACCTCCTGGGTGATTCCACTTCAGGAAACATCCAGAACACTTAAAGGAACAGAGAGGAAAAGCAGTTTAGGGCTTCCAGGGGCTGGGCGGGGTGAACAACGGGCAGGGAGGGCTTCTGGGTCAGGGTGTCCTTTGGGGACTGAGATATTCTATGACTACACAGTAGATGCGGGGCATTCAAACATTCTTCATGCTCATAAATAGTGAAATAAAAAAATGTACTTTTATTTAAAGCCTAAAATATATGATTCCATCAAAAGTGAAATGACAAAAATAACAGAAAAAATCCCCCGGGAGAAACCATGATAAAGAACAACATTCCTAGTGGGACATCAGGGTGACTTTGTGGAGCAGGAGGTACATTCAGGGTGGTGGCAGCTGGCGCCCCCTGCGGGTCTACCCCATCCAGAGCAGGGCCTGGTTTCCTGCAGGAGGAGGGGGACCAGGAGCCAGGAGCTCTCCCTGCATGGGTGGCACCTGTCCCTGCACTCCTGTTACCTGCTGGCTCCAGGGCCCCTTCAGGAGTCTCTGTGGACACCCCCTCTCCCCCCAGACCTGCTGATGCAGGAGCAGCCTATGCAGGGGGCCCTCCGGCTGAAGGGGACCATCCTCTGGTTCTGCAGGGGTGCGGGCTCCCACCCCTGCACCTGGCTGCTCCACCTCTGTGAGAGGGGCCGTGGGAGGGGGTTCTGAGGGGTCAAATGGAGTCCCGTGTGGGAGGAGAGAGGCACCCCCAACATGCCTGACTCCCTGTGAGCCCCTATAAGGACAGACCCAGCCCAGAGCCTCCCAGAGGGGCCATAGCCAGGAAGGGATCCCCGAAGGCATCTCCCTGACGACCTGACGACCATCCCCCAGCTGGGTGCTCTGAGCCGTCTTGGCTTCTGGCCCCACCTCAGCTTCTGAGGCTCCTCCCTGTGGGGCCCAGCACCCACCCCTGCCCAGACACCCACAGACACCCGCCCCAGCTTCTCACCCTGGAAGTCAGTCTCCGTGAGCTCCGGCTCTAGGACCAGAGTCCGATATAAGATGACCAGGGACCGTGGCCTGGGCAGGGTCATGGGCCTTCCCAGGCAGTCCTGGGTACCTGCTCCTGGAGATTGCTCTGTGGAGACTCCGTCCCCACGTCCACGCTGGCCCTGCTGGGTGGCGGGGCACAACTGTACCTGGTGTCCCCCGCCTCTCACCTCCAGCCTCTGCGGTGCTCTGCAAAGAGGGGGACAGGCAGCCGCCCGGAGGCCTCACAGCCCCGCCCGGCCCTCCTCCCTGTGCTCCTGCCCACTCCCTCTGTGCTCCCAGATCACACACAGAGCTGGGTAGTGCACAGCCCTGCACTGGGGACCCAGTGACCCATCCCTGCAGGGCACAGGGTCAGCCCTGGGCAGAAGGGCACGGCCCCCCTCCATCCCACCAGGCAGCCTGGACCTGGAGAGTGAACAGCACCTGCCCACCAGGCATCTGTGCCCTCATCAGCCTTCTCCTGCCCAGGGTGGGCACACCCCACATGACCCCTCTTTACACACACACACACACACACACACACACACACACACACAGGAGGAGGGCGATGGGGCTGCTCGGTGGGATCACAGCAGTGTCTGGCCGGACTGGGCCTCTCTGTGTTCCTTGTGGGCCCCTCCAGGCACATGGCAGAGCCATCGGGGTGACAGGTCACCTACAGTCTGTAGCATGGAAAAGGCTCTCCCTGCGGGCTTCCTGAG